ACTTACATTGGGTGTTTCTCAATGTCAAGGAGCCTTGCCTTGATGTCGTGGCCCCGCCCCGATTGCCAAGGAGATACGTCATCAGGAGCCACCAAGACGTGTTCCAATCGGTTCCAATGTTCATGTTCTACCGAGGCATGTGCTCTCCGTTTGCTAGCCATTTAGCTAGCTGAGCAAGGACACACGGGAGTTGTCTTGTAGCCTAGCCTTGGTCAAAAATTACCCACAATACACTGCGGTATTTTCAAAAAGACGGCGGATCAGAAGCCGGCAGCTACTTCGGGGACAACTTTCAAGTTTTAAAGTAAACTAGCTAATTTAAAATGGTTTTTTTTAGATCCAAAGAATTTATCTATTGTTGGTCAGTTGCTTAGCAGTTGTGGCTTCGATGGCTAGCGGGTAGTAACTCGCTTATATTTTTAATTTAATAAACATATACACAATTTAAAAAGTAAAACTCGTTATATATTTATATTGAAACTAATACATATAAAATATAATGTTATCTCCCTTGTTACGTGATGTTACGTGACCGCCGTGGAAGCCGCGGTCATGTGATGCAAGTCTGTTCTAACTGTTTAACCGTTTTCTTTGACCAAGGAAGGACAGTGTCCTTGTAAGCAAGGAGCCTGGCCTTGCAAGACATCGCCTTGCAAGGCCACGTGCCTTGACATTGACGTTAAAGTTAAAGTCCCATTAGTTGTCACATACACAGGTGTGTGTGCGAAATTTGTTCTCCGCATTTGACCCATCCCCTGGGGGAGCGGTGAGCTGCAGACAAGCCGCGCTCGGGAACTATTTGGTGGTTTAACCCCCCAATCCAACCCCTTAATGCTGAGTGTCAAGCAGGGAGGCATTGGGTCCCATTTTTTTACAAAGTCTTTGGTATGATCCGACCAGGAATCGAACCCCTGATCTCCCAGTCTCAGGGCGGACACTCTACCACTAGGCCACTGAGAAAGAGTGTCCGCTGAGAAAGGGAACTATTTGATGGTTTAACCCCCCAATCCAACCCCTTCATGCTGAAGCCTGATTTATGCTTCTCCGTCTGCATCAGTGCGGAGCACACGCAACGCCATTATACGTCCTTGCGTAGGGATCCGGCAGGCACGCAAGTACATACGGAGTCGAGCCCACTTTTTTAAACATCCGTCGAACGAGGCGGATTACGCAAGCTTGTGATTGGTCAGGACGCCACTGTTGTTTACAGCGCCGCCATTGCAAAGAGAGCCGAGTTTAACTAGCGGCAGACACGGAGAAGCTTGAAGAATACCTCGCGAAAAAACTCTAAAAATATGAACGTTTCATTCTCCCGTGACTGGAGGAGTGAAAAGATGCACAGCAAGCGTTTTATTTGTGGACGGAAATGACAGGAAACGTGGGTTTAGAGGTGGGGAGCGCATGAAGCGGTGGGAGACTGAGAGACAAATATGTCCGTGTTAAAAGTCTCTTATATACACAAAAAACACAATATAAACAAACGATCTTGGACCGATACATGACATGATACCACAGAACAGCGCTACGCCCTCTGTGGTCCTGCCGGGCAATTGCTTTGCAAAACTCTCCAGGAGACGGAGAAGTAAAAGTGCAAAACGCTTCCGTCAATCCGTGCGTGTCTGTCCCTTGCGGAGCTGATGGAGAAGCATAAACCAGTCTTGAGTGTCAAGCAGGGAGGCATTGGGTCCCAATTTTGAGAATTGAGAAACACCCATTGTTTTATGCTAAGCTAAAGCAAAATGTACTGCTTCCAGATTAGGAGAATGACTGAGCTTGTTAGCTACAAAATCCTTTTTCTCACTTATCTAACTCTTGGACATATAACAGACTAAAGTCCTTAGGGGTGGAATATTCCTTTAGGTGTAAACAATAAAAAAGGTGCCTTATTTTTATTTTTTATCGCCTTAAAAAACAATTTCGACTAATGGCCGATTTGGAAAAAATTGAATATATTGGCCTGATATATCGACCAGCTGATATATCGGTCGGCCTCTACTTCGTGCCAAATAACCATAAAAATCTGGTCTGAAATACATAGGGCGTGGGTCTAGCGTCTATGGGGGACGCCATATTTCCTTCTGACCGGCTCAGGGTCCTGCGCCTGTCGATGTCACTTTTGATGATTTGCTGGAAGTACGACTTACAGAAGTTACGTTACCATGTTCCAAATTATTCAGTTAGTAAGAAACATGAATTCATTAACAAAACTGCTAAACTCTTTCCAAAAGCTATGTGAAAGAATAAAACTGAAGGAGACTGCATGCTTTCTGCGACAGTCACGGCGATGTGGTGTAAAACTACCCTGAAATGTATGGACTGCCCCTAGCGGCAGGAAACTACACGCTGCCACTTTAAAGAACAGTTTTTGCACAGGCGAGTTTCTTGGAGGCATTACAGTCTACAATGCATGCTGGGAAAATGGGTAATTATTTTAAATAGCATGTCCAGAGACCCCATCTGTCTATAACAGTTGTAAAGGATGGGTAGTTTACATCTTAATTATGAACCATAAAATGTGAGATTCCGTAGAATTATGAAATATCAATGATGGATCTTTGAATATTTTAACCAGAAGATCAGAACTTTTTATTGCAGGGATTAAGCGACACTTTGTATTAACTCCAAGGAAAGAGAGAGAGTCAGGTTTAAAATAGTTAAGAAATTTATTTCTACACAATTTAAACAAGACTGACTTTAACACTCTGATGGACTAGGTGGAATGAGACGTGAGAGGATGGTTTAAGTGTGGAATGTTGCTATCAGAACCAGCGGATCTGGAGAAGTATTTAGTTCTGAGTGGGAGTGAATGTTTCGCTCTAAACTATAGTTGAAGATTTATAACATGCATGAGACGCCATCTGTCGGTCTTCGTACCCCAGGGGAAGCCTCCGTTTAGATCCAGAATGTCGAGGTCCTCTTGGACCCTCCTTGGAACCGAAGCCGGTAGAAAAGCAGCGGTGCCGACCAAACTAGTCTGGGAATGCTTCCAGGTCATGACATGTTATTATGGGCGTCAGCGAAACCCTGAAGGGTCGTGAAGTTCAGCTTTTATTCTGAAGGAGCCGTTGCGGTCAGGTGTAACTTGCAACAGATTTTATCCAGTTTGTCGAGGTTCTTTTGGTTGAAGAGGAAGTCCGGATGGCCTGTCCGAGACTTCTCTAGAACGCTTGAACTAAAGAAAAGGTGGCGTGGAATAGTTTTTATAATTGTCATATTTTGGTTTACTGGTGAATCAGAATTTGACGTGCAAAAGAGGGTTTATACTGACACCACAGAAAACCACGCCTCACGTCAGAAACGAAGGTTCTGATTGGATCAGACAAAAGGAAATGTGTCGTGTGGCTTTAGCATTACGTGTCATTAGTGTCTAGTGCAAATGTCCAGGATTATAATTACTTGTAAAATACCACTGATCACAGGATTATAATATCAAATAATAACATTGTCATTTCACAGATTGATTGAACATTGGGCTCACATTATTATTGGTAATAACAAAGTTGTTGATTATGTGTGGGGCAGCAGTAGCTCAACAGGTTGAGCGGGTTGTCCAGTAATCGGAAGGTTGCAGGTTCAATCCCAGCTCCGGACAGAGAATTCTGCTGTTGTGTCCTTGGGCAAGACACTTAACCCACGTTGCCTGCTGGTGGTGGTCGGAGGGACCAGTGGCGCCTGTGCTCGGCAGCCTCGCCTCTGTCACTGCGCCCCAGGGCAGCTGTGGCTACATCGTAGCTCATCCCCATCAGTGTGTGAATGTGTGTGTGAATGGATGAATGATACACTGTAGTGTAAAGCGCTTTGGAGTCCTTACTCTGAGAGGCGCTATACAAGTGCGGGTCATTTATCATTTATCATGAGAGTTCTTCATCTTCGTCTTGGTAACAAAGGTGAAGCAGTTAAGATGAGCAGAGTGCATGAAAGACCTTGGCCGCTATCTCATGTAGATTAGCCTGTCAGAGACTTTATGTCTCAGCTCGAGCAGACGCAGCAGATTATGACCTTTAGGTCAGAAAACAGGACATTCATGACGCTACACAGTGGAAGCAAGTGTCCAGTTTCTCATTTCTTCTGCTGTTGTGGTTTAGACTAACTCTAAAACAGTTTACAGACTTTAGGTAGATAAAACAAACACAACTTAGTGAGCAGTAAAGTGATTTCAAGTTTGTCTAATAGTTTTTAAACATATGTTTATTGGCCATGACACCAAAGTTGGTCATTACTTAGCTTTGTCAGATGAAAGTGGATATTTTGGTATCATGTTCCAGGGGTATTCAATTCTGGGCCTCGAGGGCCGGTATTCAGCACGTTTTAGTGGTTTCTCTGCTCCAACACTAGAATCAGTGGTTGAATCACCTGTGCAGCAGCTCATCAGGCTATGCAGAAGCCAGTTAATCACCCACTAATTGAAATTATGTGTGTTGAAGCAGGGTTAAAACCAAAATGTGCTGGATACCGACATACCAACCCTCGAGGCCCGGAATTGAATAGCTCTTTAGGCGAATATTTGAATACTGAAAACAAAACTAATAACACATCTTTTAGAGCACACTTCACAGCTGGGCAAATTTAAATATGGCTTTATTTATTACAACTATATAAAAAATAACCTGGCCGTTGTTTAACTGGTATAACATGCCCTTTTTAAAAGTCTTACTTTAAAACACTGTCTGGGGAAAAGGAGTCATGCTTCCCGTCTTCCTTTACAAAATCACGTGCCATCTCGTTTTCAAAAAACATTGTTTTTACTGTGTTATCAAAAACCATAAAACCTTTTCTAGAACAGCAACACCTCCGTGAGCTCTGACCCCTGACTGAACTCCTACATGAATTATGTAACCTCCGCTGGAGCTGCTGTCAGTCTGATCTTTAAGAACTTTGTATGTCAGCGAGACGTGTGACGGTGGACGTGTGAAGGCCAGCGTTAGAGATTAAATGAGTCAGCTCCAAGTGTGGCCGTGAGCAGAAATAGAAGGAGAAAACGTTTCTCAGAGAGGACTCACTCTTGTATGTGGAAGGGGACGACTCCGGTCTGGGCTGAACAACGATGAGATGATGGGACTTCTGTGAGATGATAAAAATAAATAAAAAGTAAATTAGGAACAAAAAAACAAACAACAATTATGTAACGTAACTTGTCTGTTTTTCCTGTTAGGCTTGGTTCATACGACAGGACAATCGTGCCGATGTTTGGCCTGATCCTAACATCTACCATTCTAGAAATGAAAGTGGAACCAACCTTTTTTGACACACCTAGTCAAAATTAAATAAACTGCATAACAATAAAAAAGCCAAACACTGAATATTTAAATCACGTCTGATCTTTAACGATGAAGGCAGCACCACAGAAACTTGAGTTATTATTAAAGGTGTGGTTTACTTATTTATTCAATACATATGCAGTTTAAATCAATGCTTTATGAGTCATTAAAAAACACAAAGTGTGTTTATGGTCATAAAAGAAGCAAAGAGCCATAGAATCTTCTGATTAAACATTCAAAGATCAATCAGGTTGAGAATACATATTTATGTGGAATTATCGCATCTTATTGGTCATAATTAATATGTAGAGTCAATCAAATCAGGTTCATCACTCTACACCATCTATTTTCTATCATACACAATAACGCAGGAGATAGGTGTAGGAGACTGTTTTCATGTTCAGTCTGCACGTTAAACTCAGAGTGACCGATTATAATCAGAAACGGTTTTTCAGTCAACCACACCTTTAAAGTGTTGGAGCTTTGACACTCTTACCTGCTTGCTGTCAAGTTGAAGTGGATCTTTAACTACAGTTGCTCCACAGAGCTCCACCATCCACTCCATTTCATCTGGGAAAAACACACAAAACAAGAGCTCATCAGCCAATACAGATGTTTAATCAGGGTATCTGCAGGTTTAAGGGAGCCAAATTTAAGACTTTTTAAGACCTTTTTTAAGGCCACTTTGACCAAATATAAGCTATTTTTTAAATTAAATTTAAGCTATAATTTCCAGCTATTGCCTGGAACCGGTGCTAACCACGTCACGAACTTGGGATTAACCATCCAGTTACCATTAAACTTGCACTTCTCCATGGCGCAAGCTCCCACTAGCTTAATAAGCTAATGTGCTCATCTAAAAATAGCCCATTTCACAACCAACTGAATGTGTACGGTTCCGCTTACGCCAACATCATACACAAAAAATGCTGAACACTGACTAGAAATTCACGAAAATTTTATAGAAATAAAATAATCTTGTTTATTGGGTCTTTGGTAATTTAAGATCTTTGGAAACTGTATTTAAGGATTGTCATTTTTAAGGATTTTTAAGGCCTTAAATTTGGAAAAGAAAATTTAAGACTTTTTAAGACTTTTTAAGGACCCGCGGATACCCTATTAATTCTGTCTGCTTTATCACTTTAACCTCGAGGGCTCAAACACAAGACTCAATCGTGTTCAGTTTCATATTTACTCGGGTTAGAAGAACCAAGAACAGGACAAACAAAAGGCACCTTCTAGCTGATTCTCATTCTGCTGATAACCTCCATATGTTTCTCGGTTGAATAATGAATGAAATCATGTTGGGCTGAAGCAAACAGACTCCAGCTCCATGTTTGTGTAGTGTATAAGAAAGTCTTCAAGCTAGCAGATGTCAGCCCATTAGCAAAGCTTCATCGATCCAGCAAGCAGCAGGAGGATGCTGCAGAAACACTCTAAGAGCGGCAGGAAGACGGAAGCTATGGAAAGTTTCCTCATGGGGATGAAACATGTCCCTGGGACTGCCGCCGTAATCTGGATCTATCCAACCACACTGGAAAGGTAAATTAAATCTGGTAATACATAAGAAAAAAAATAACTTTTTATCTCTATGGTTTGAGTCTATTATCAGTATAAATCCTGAGATATAAAAAAAACCCTCATCTAAAAGCTTTTATTTACATTCTTTTCAGAAATAGTTGTCAGGCTGCTTATTAACTCCATGGCAACCACTGTGCGGTGTGACAACAGACCAAAAACATCTCACACAAGTCCTTAGACTGTATTCAGTCCACCCACATGCTGGAATCACTAGTTATTGTTCAACACTGCGGAAATGACAGGGGTTAAAACAGCTCGGGTTTCATGCTATTCCCAGTGTCACTCAAACAGAGTCTTACCTCAGCTGTCCCATCTCTCTCTAGAGAGGGGGACGTCTAACAGAGTCCAGCAGGACAATGACATTAACGAGACTGAATGTTTGAAGTTTTTGATATGGAAGCGTATAGCCATCAGGGCGAGTAATAACGAGTAACTTTCTTGTTATTATGAGACACCGCTCCTGTATTTTGTCCCTGACTGTAATATGCTTCCGCAATTTGAAGCAGGAGAGCAGTGCAAAAGTGGAGACCATTCCTGAAAATAGCTGGAATGGCTGTTTTGTTGAAAGGAAACGCAATTTAGAAATTTTGTATTTTGAATTTCCAGAGACGCCAGCCAGGTGATGCAGTTAGCTGCAGGGGTAACTAAGGTAGGAGGAGGGAAAATACATTTGAAATAATTGGATATGTTCATGTCTAAATGAATACTTTGTGGTGGATATTTATTTAATTTTGTCTGAGATTTAACAAAAACCATTAAGAATAATCTCATAAAGTCTGGTGGGAAAATGGAACATGGCCAAAGTAACAATAAGTTTTGGTTTTTGCTTTGGTGGTAAAACCACGGCCTTTTTAGACCTCAGTAAAAGTTTCACGGTGACATACGTCCTTTTTCTAAATATAAAATAACAGCAATCAAACTAAAGGCTGTAATTATTACACTAAGGCTGCATGAGGCACACAGAAGGGGGTAAAGTGAATTACATGCATTTAATTATGAATACAAATTAATATATTAGCAACAGCATTCTGTTTGTTCATTAGCAATAAACTACAGATGGAAACTGTGGGAAATCTGCACAGTAAAAAAATGACCCAAAGTATCGAACTTATAAAATGTGGTTTGATGGGATCTGGACATTTCTAGCATCAGGCTTTGATTATGAATCATTTAGGTTGAAATTATTCTTTCCAAAAAGCAGAGATGAGTTATTCCCAAAACATCAGACCCTTTCTTATTGTGGTAAAAAGTCTGAATGAGCAATGCTCACATCTGGGGATGTCTAATGTTATAGGATGATATTGGCATTAAAATGTAATATCAGTAATGATCAGGATCAGTTTTTAACTCTTTTAATGACACAATTTTTACATACTACTCGCATGTTACACATTAAACACTTTTACACTCCCTCAAAAAATTCTAAATATGACTGATCTGAGGTTTAGTTTTTGAGATAATTTTGTTTGTTTGTCATAACATGCCTATATTGCATGACAGGAAATTATTTAGTTTTTTTTTTTTTTTGGTGGGGGGCGTAACATCAGTATCAGTTTATTTTGTAATGGTATCTCAATGAGTGTCTCAATGATCCTGGGAGCTACATTGTCTGAGGCTTTATGCCCCTGGTAGGGTCACCCATGGCAAACAAGTCCTAGGTGAGGGATCAGACAATGCACAGCCCAAAAACCCCTTATGAAGAAAAATATATAGGGACATATTCCATCCTGTCGTTCTTTTTTTAAAACACAGAAATGGTTTCGTTACCTGTTTTGTCACTACGTTTCGCCGGCGGCTGCAGACTTCCTCAGGCTGACGCTGATGGTGGCGCGTCACTTCCTTCTCCGTTTATCCGTGGGCAGCAGAGGACGTTGTCGCCCTCTACTGCTCGCTCTCCCCTCTCCGACGATGCAGTCCCATGCGCGGTCCAACGTGTACACTCCGTCGTCCCTGTTCATGGTCCCACATCCACGTCTCCTTATCTCGATTGCTTCTTTAATCCATCTCTTGTATTTTTGTTGTTCAATGTTCATGATCCTTGTCTTGTCCCAGTCCATTATATGGTTTTCTCTTATGCAGTGATCTGTTACGGCCGACTTCTTTATTGTACTTTCTGCTTCTTCTTTTGCTGCTCTCGTGTGTTTTCGACTTGCCTCTTTCTCGCACTCCTTTCTATGTTCTATTGTTCGTGTGTTGAGTTGGCGCCCGGTTTCTCCTGTGTATGTTTTATTGCAGAGTTTGCATGGGATTTCGTAAATGACTCCACATTTAAGTCCAGCTGATATTTTGTCTTTTGGGTGTACTAGTCTGTTTCTAACTGTTGTGAATGGTTTTGTTGGTGTGTTTATGTTGTGTTTTTTTTTTTATTGTTGCTCTTATTTTTTCTGTTATGCCTCTGATGTATGGTAGGGTTATCACTGGTTTTGGTTCTTGTCTTTCTGGGTTTCTGGTTCTTTGCTTTGGTTGTTCTTTTCTTTCTGTTTTTGTTTGCCGTTTTCCTTTGTTTATTGCCCATGTCGGGTATCTGCAGGTCTTTAAAGCGTAGTGTATGTGTTTGTCTTCTTGTTTACGGTCTCTCTCTTCTGTTATTATGTTTGCTCAGTGATATAATGTTCTGATTACTGACATTTTGTGTATGGTGGGTTGTTCTGATGTCCATAATAGATATTGGTCTGTGTGTGTTTATTTCCTATATGTGTTTATGTTTAGGGTCCCGTCGGTCTGCCTGGTGATTTTCATGTCCATAAATGCTATACTGCCTTCTGTTTGTAACTCATAAGTGAATTTTATGTTGCCCGTGTCGTCAATGTTATTTAAGTGTTGTGTTAGTGTTTTTGTTTGTCCTTTTGGTATGATTTCCAGTATGTCGTCTACGTAGCGTTGCCATAGTATTATTTTACAGTTTGGGGGGGGGGGGGGGGGGGGGCGCAGTGGCTATGGCTTTTTGTTCTAGGTCTTCCATGAAAAACTCGCACAGGGTGGCTGATAACGGGTTACCCATGGCGAAGCCTTCCAGTTGTTTGTATATTGTGTTGTCGTATGTGAAGTAAGTGGAGTTAGCTACCAGTCCTATCAGTTGTGCTACGTCGTCTGCTGTGAGGTTTGTTCTTTTGTGTAAAGTCTTGTCCTGTCTGATTCTGTTAACTACTATGTCTATGGTTTTTTGGGTTGGTGTTTTTGTGAACAGGGATGTGACGTTGTGTAAGATGAGTATGTCGTTGTCTTCTATTGTAATCTCCTTTAGTTCTTTTGCCAGTTCTATGCTGTTTTAGCAGTGTTGATCTGTCTTTCCTAATAACGGGCTGATGATTTTGCTGACATCTCTTGCCATGTTGTATGTTGGTGTACCTATGCTGTCAACTATTGGTCTAAGTGGGGTGTTTTGTTTATGTATTTTTGGCGTTCCATAGATTCTTGGGGTTATGTTCGCCGTAGGAATCCAATGTTTGTACATTTTTTCTGTTATTTTGCCTTTTTCTTGTAGTGGCTTCAGTAATTTTTTCATGTTTTTCTTAATGTTTTCTGTTGGGTCTTTTTTTAAGTATTTTGTATGTATTTTTGTCCTCTAGCATCTGATTCATCTGTTGTTTATATTCTTCTCTGTCCATTACCACTGTGGTTCTTCCTTTAACTGCCGGTAGAATAATTATCTGTTCATTTTTGGATAAAGATGTCATGGCTGAGTGAACATTGAACAACAAAAATACAAGAGATGGATTAAAGAAGCAATCGAGATAAGGAGACGTGGAAGTGGGACCATGAACAGGGACGACGGAGTGTACACGTTGGACCGCGCATGGGACTGCATCGTCAGAGAGGGGAGAGCGGGCAGTAGAGGGCGACAACGTCCTCTGCTGCCCGCGGATAAACGGAGAAGGAAGTGACGCTTCACCATCAGCGTCAGGCTGAGGAAGCCTGCAGCCGCCGGCGAAACGTGGTGACAAAACAGGTAACGAAACCGTTTCTGTGTTTTAAAAAAAGAACGACAGCATGGAATTAGAACTAACACACAGCAAGATCACACCTAAGATATAGGGACATAGTTTTCCCTTGCTCAGATCCCAGGTCCCCTCTGGAGCCGGGCCTAGACGTGAGGCACGCCGATGAAGCTTGGCTGGGCACACCCCGAAGAGGAGACGTGGGCCCCCTTTACCATTGGATGCTGTGTGAGATGGGTGGTAGCCGAAGGCGGAGACACCAGCAGTCTGATCCTCAGAAGCTGGCTCTTGGTATGTGCAATGGTGGGGAAAGCGCCGAGCTGGTGTGTGAAGTTGAGAGGTTCTGACTGGATATAGTCGAACTCACCTTGACACGGAGCTATACTGTAGCTCCGGAACCAGTATCCTTGAGAGGGGCTGGACACTACCACTCTGGAGTTGCTCTTTCTGAGAGGTGCCAAGCAGGGGTGGGCATACTTCTATTCCCCCATCTTGATGCCTGCACATTGGAGTTTACCCTGGTGAATGAGAGGGCAGCCTCCCTCCACCTACGTGTTCAGGGACAGGTCCTGACTGTTTGTCCTAATGCACCAAAATGCAGGTCACACTACCCGCCACTTTTGGAGTCCCTTGGAGGAGGTTCTGAGGAGTGCTCTTTCCACTGACTCCCTCGTTCTCCTGGGGGACATCAATTTTAATGTGGGCAACAACAGTGAGACCTGGAGGGGTGCAGTTGGGAGGCGAATTCCAGTCAGATTTATTAAAATTGTCCACTTCGTGTTGGTTCTGTTTCATTAATTCTTCAATAAATAAATAAATAAATGAAAATTATTTTCTGTCTGGGTGGAAAACGAGGGCAATCTCGTTATTCGCCACCAGGGCACACTGTCCCTACCTATTTTACAAACGAGGAGACTCCCGTCCCGCCACCAGAGTGCTACTCTCTCTTGCCACCCAAAGTCTGTGTATCAATTATGAGCTACAGCTAAACTGCCAAGAGATTAACTGTTTGTTGATATTGAATAATGATACTGATACTGTTCTGGAACTGCGCTGCTCTGGGTGGCTGCATGTTGGAGTAGCTCTGTTGACTATATGCAAGTTTTGCCTTTTCTTCGACTTTTTTTTTCTGGTTTCTCGGGAGGAACGGTATTTTTTTGGACATTTAACTTTTCTGTTTCTGGTGCTGTGAAGCTTGGAGGATTTTTACTGCTATTTTTTCCACTTTTTTCACTTTTTGAGCATTTATTGTGATGTGTAACCATAGCAACAAGCTGGTTTACAATTGGGAGCAGCTGACTAAGATTGGGAAGGCTGAAATAATACCTCAACTGAAGCCACAAATCCCAAATGAGCTAAAACGCAAGAAGCGTGGATGCAGAGCGGGAGCAAAACGGAGACAGAGAAAGAGGAAAATCAATTTCCCTCCGGGATTAATAAATTATTTTTGAATTTGAATTGAATTTGATTTTGAAAGGTAAATCCATTTATGTGTGTGACGTTGTCACGTCCTTTGAGTGATTCTGTCACATTTATTTGTGTGATTTTGTCACTGTTGGAGAAGCTTGTGCAACTTGGCGACAGAAAACGCTGATCTCCACTTAGCACTTAGCTACTCCCTCGCTAATCCAGCCTGATCAAACTGGTAATATTAGCATTCTAACGCCGCATGCCGGACGTTTTCCAACGAGAATACCGGACATTAATTCTGTACTCATATCGGAATTAGCCAGGGATGCCTGAAGCTGGTTAACAAGCCAGAAAAGCGCTTTATTTCCCACAGCTTGGTTAGCAAGAAAGCTAGTCTTAAGCCCTATGTGGAAGAGCGTAGCGAGGTACATACCGCAAATTAAACGCTATTGCCGACAAATTAACGCGAGAACCTGCACACGGTATGCCGCCGGTCGAAGGGCTGATTCCCGAGTGAATGAAGCCGAGAGACACCTCACAAAACGGTGTAGGCCCTGTTAGCTTAGTAAGCTAAATATTAGCAAGGCCCGACAGCGCCCACGGACACAAAACCGACGGCACTGTCAACCGTTCGACGCAGCGTTTGCCTTTGTCATAACTTGCTATACTAGCAGTTTGGGCGTATTTGTGACTTTTAATGTGAGAAGCAATCTCTACCCGGCCCGTCCACCATTTTGGACCGGTGTCACCATGCGTCACGCACACTACCCCTCCCGCACTGTTGCCTAGCGCTCTAACGCCAGGGGTCAAATTTCTTCCACATTAACCATGAAACATGAAAATGAAACCATTCAAAGTCAAACATGTAAAGCACAGACATGTTTATGTCTTCCTTTTACCTGTAGACATGTCTGTAAAAGGTCCCTGGAAGCAGATCTTGTAGCCCTTCATTAGCAGCTGAAGACAAGAAGAAAATGTGGGGTGAGAATTAAACACTGAGCATTAATATTTCTGCAAAACTATGGTAAACTTCCTACAGTCAAGGACAATAACTCAGAGGTTTAACCTTCAGATAGTGCTCAACGGCAGTGTGTAAAGGCAACTATTACTTCCATTACCAGCACAGCGGAGTGTGTTTCTGAACCCTACACCTGTGTAAAGGGTTACAGCAGCGCAGCTGAAACACTTCTCCGCTCATCCTGCAATTTAAAGCCAACGCTCCTCGCTTACAGCTTCAAATAAAGCCTCTAGACCTCACTGGCAATGTGCTCCCACGGTTAACACTGTAAATTTAAGGATGAGTCAAACAGCCACCTTCACAGAGGTAATATCCCGCTTAGAGCACATGGGGAAAACGACATGCCCGAGACCAGGGACGCCTGCTTTTATTACACTCAGGGTCAATAGGTTTTTCTTGAAATGGGAATGGAGACTTGTTTCCTTAGAGCGACGACAGAAGGGAAAACTCCCATCATGATCTCATTTAAACTCTGTGGATAGAAATAATCTGTCCCACCTTCCTGTAGGTTAGCAGTGATCATTAGCCCGAGGTGTACGCTGACACAGGCAGGATGAAAAGTGTTTCTGTTACAGATTTTTAATTTAGACAACAGCTAATGTCCTTCAGGAGGATTTAAAGTGAAACTCAGTCACTTTGATTTCCTGACCATCTACATCCGGACTCCCTGCCTCTCCGTTAGCTTGTCACATTGTTGCAGGTGAACAACCGTGAACACGAACAGCACGGTCTGTCCAGCTCCATCAAAGTGTTGCCGCTCCGGTCAAGCCTCTTCAAATATTAGCAGCTAATTCAATCGAGAGGTTTTTCAAAGCAGGAAGACAACCAACATGAAAATGAGCACTTTCTAATTTTCCCCCTCAGTGGTGGCGGTCCGAATCTGTTGGCTTTACACCAAGAGGAAAAATACAATTAGCTCCTCACAGCAGGGTGCAGGCCAACAGGACGGTTCAATCGGACGAAACAAGTCCAAACCCCGCCTGTAACTGGGATATCAAATCAAATCAACTTTATTTATATAGCACTTTTCATACCAAAAATGCAACTCAAAGTGCTTTACAGATTAAAATGGCCCCATAGATCCCACATTCCCATCCCAGCCCCCCTCCCCAAGTATAAAACAATTAAAAATTACAGTTCCCCTCCCGCACCCAACTTCCAAAGTGGACATACAATCACCCGCACACTCGTCCATGCACACACACACACACACACACGCACACACACACACTCGTGAACACCAGAGGAAACAATAGGCTGAGTTCAGATGGGTCAGGTAATGAACGACACATCATCAGCGGAGCCATCTGCCCTGGCAGCAACAGATCCACGGCAGCAGCCAAGACACCGGCCCATGACGCCCAGTGGCGTACGGCAGAAACCCCCACCAGTGCCCGGGCACTACCCGGGGAGCGCCCTGGCCGCCGCCGCCCCTGACCACCGGCCCCAAGGCAGAGGGCTCCGCAGAGGAAACACTGGAGGATTTAAGATATATAACATATAAAATAATAAAAGCTAATAATGATAAAAAGTGACTGATAAAAAGTGATTATAAAGATAGTAAAAGAAAACATAATCATGTAAAAACACTAAGATGTAGATAAAATGATAAAAATAATAAAAGAGATAAATATGTATTTATAGATAAATAGTAATCAGTTAAAAGCTAAGCTAAAAAGGTGGGTCTTGAGCCTATTCTTAAAAGCCTGGATGTTCCCTTCGGACCTGAGGTCCTCCGGCAGCCCGTTCCAAAGGCGAGGGCCGTAATACTTGAAGGACGCCTCGCCGTGGGTGTGAGTCTTAACTTTAGGGATAACTAGGAGACGGCTGCCAGAGGAGCGCAGAGACCGCGAGGGTTTATACAGTAAAAGCAGTTCTGAAAGATAAGAAGGCCCAAGACCATTAAGACACTTAAAAACCATTAAAATAACCTTAAAATCGATCCTGAAACATACGGGGAGCCAGTGCAGTGATTTTAAAACCGGAGTGATGTGCTCCCGCTTCCTGGTCTTCATCAGGACACGTGCTGCTGAGTTTTGTAAAAGTTGTAAACCTGAGATGCTTTTTTTGGGAAGACCAGAAAGCAGGGCATTGCAGTAATCAATTCTACTAGTTACAAAAGCGTGCACTAGCGTCTCCGTATTGGCCCGAGAGAGAATGGGTCGGACTCTGGCGATATTCTTAAGATGGTAAAAACCTATTTTTGTGATGTTTTTAATGTGGGGGATAAAAGTCAGCTCAGAGTCGAAAATAACGCCCAGATTCTTCACTTGTAGTGATGGATAAAAAGACATTGACTGTAGTTTAGGTAAAAGTTTCTCTCTCTGGGCCTCAGGACCGATGACTAAAACTTCAGTTTTGCCCTGGTTGAGCTGGAGAAAGTTTTCAGTCATCCATGATTTAATATCTAAAATGCAATTAAAAAGTGTTTCCATTGGCTGTGCGTCATCAGGAGACACGGAGATGTACAACTGTGTATCATCAGCGTAACTGTGGAAATTCACCCCATGTCTCCTGATGACGCTGCCCAGAGGAAGCATATAGAGGTTAAAAAGCACTGGGCCTAGAATTGATCCCTGAGGCACCCCGCATGTGATGCTGTGGACCCCAGAGGAACAGGTATCCAGACTCACCATAAAAGTCCTGTCTGTGAGGTAGGAAGTAAACCAACTGTGAACAACACCAGAGAGGCCGATCTGTTTTAAACGGGTTAAAAGAATAGTGTGGTCTACTGTATCAAAGGCAGCGCTTAGATCCAGCAGAACCAACACTGTTGCCCTCCGAGCATCATAATTCGTTCTAAAATCATTTAAAATCTTCAGAAGGGCCGTCTCAGAGCTGTGGTTCACCCTAAAACCAGACTGAAATTTCTCTAGGACATGTTGGTGGTTGATGAAATCATTAAGTTGTATTAAAACAAGCTTCTCTAAAATTTTGCTTAAAAATGGTAAGTTGGATACCGGTCGGAAATTGTTAAAGTCATTAAAATCTAAATTGCTCTTCTTCAACAGGGGTCTGACCACCGCCCGTTTAAAAGCAGCAGGAAAGACCCCCGTCTGAAGGGAACAGTTCATCAAAGTTAAAATCTCATCTCTAAAAGAGTCATAAAATTGTTTAAAAAACCTTGTGGGAATAGGGTCCAGAACACATGTGGTGGGCCTCACTGAGGAGAAAACTTTATCAATAGTCTCAACTTCAACCAAGACAAAACTGTCCAGTGTTTCCTCAGGTAGACACACACTCTCAGATTGATCGGGAGCAGCATGACATTGGGAGGATAAAATTTTATGTCTGATGGTGTCTACTGGGCCATTCCCATCTGTACCGGGTCGGCCCGGGCCGGGTAGCCCCAGTCGGCCCCAGCCTGGCCCGGTTGATTCCACACATCCTTGTCTTAAGCCCATGTGGGCTGATTCTACCCACCAATCAGAGGCTTGCTCTAATGGAAGGTGTGAATGGGCTGATTCTACCCACCAATCAGAGGCTTGCTCTAATGGAAGGTGTGAATTTGCTGTCAGCAGTGGGCGTGTTGGCCCTGGTCGGCCTGAAGCAGTACCCCTCGGGAAGAGGGCCGAGAATGAGCCTTGGTTGGCCCGGGAAAATTCCAGGCCACCCAGATATGTAAACAACCTACGCTACCCGGCCCGGGCCGACCCGGTACAGGTGGGAATGGCCCATACCTTCCCTCTGAAGTGGGCTGCAAACTCCTCACAGAGAGAGTCCGAGGGGGTTTTCTGGAGAGAACTGAATTCACGACCCAAAATATTTGTGACTGTAGAAAACAGAATTTTGGGATTATTTTTGTGTTCCGAGATGATTTTAGAAAAGTAATTATTTCTGGAATTTCGAACTGCTTTGTTGTATGATTTTAATAATTCCGTGTATATTTGTTTATTAATTGTGTTCTTATATTTCCTCCATTTTCTCTCCGCCGCCCTGCAAGATCTTTTCAACATTTTTAAGTTTTCATTGCTCCAAGGGGAAGCCGGTTTTGGCTGCAGTTTTTTAATTTTAGGTGGAGCGAGCAAATCCAGAGTAGATTTAAGTCTACTGTTAAAATCATTAAAGATAGAATCACAGGGGGCATTTAAATTAATAGGAGGGATCTTTTTAAAAGTTTCCAGAAAACCAGCAGCCACTTCAGGGGTTAGATGGCGTTTCATTACAGTTCTCACAGAGGTCTCCTGCTGAATTATGCTGGTAATGCTAAAAAACACACAGAAATGATCTGAGATCGCTAAATCCACGACAGAGGACACACCAGGTGGACAGACCATACGTGATGACCAAGTCCAGGGTGTGTCCTCTGTCGTGGGTTGGTTGTGCAACATGTTGTGTAAAATCCATATAACTCAAAATGTTTAAAAATTCAGTGGTAAAAGGGTCTGCAGGGTCATCTATGTGTAAATTAAAATCACCAGCTAAAATAATACTATCAAAAGAGTTGTGCACAATTGATAAAAACTCGGAAAATTCCTGTATAAAAAGTGCACTGTGCCTCGGAGGCCTATAAAGAGTAACACATAAAATCTGACGATCGCTGAAAATGGCTGCACAATATTCGAATGTGGTGTAGTTATCAAATAAAACATGTTTTGCGGAAAGTGTGGAAGAGCTTATAAGAGCAGTTCCGCCTCCCTTTTTTCCGTTTCTTATTGAATAAGTAAAATTAAAGTTTGGTGGGGAGGCCTCTGTGAGAACAGCAGGAGCATCTGAACTCAACCATGTTTCTGTCAAAAATACACATTTAAGGTGATTATCTAAAATGAGGTCATTTATAATAAAAGTTTTGTTCAGCAGAGAGCGAACATTTAAAAGAGCCATATTGATAGTAACTAAAGATGGAGTGACTGTGTGATTGAGTGGGGGTGAGATTATTGACAACTGTTTAAGATTTTTAAGATTAGACCGGTTAGTTTTATGTTTATGTGATCGCTCTCTGCTGATGACAGGAATGTGAGAGGTGTGCAAGGGTCCAAGTCCGATATGTGGGTTACTGTTAAAATCATAACTGGGTTCATAGGACCATGGACCAGTGGGACATCATGATGTGGGGGGAGGAGGTTGGGGCGTGGGGGCAGCTGGGGGTGGTGTGGTGGGTAAAGGTGGTCGTGGGCAGGCCAGGCTCATTTTAAGTGTGTGGGTACCCTGTCTATTTAGATGGAGCCCGTCAGGCCCAAACAGATGCTTCCTGCCCCAAAAAATGTTAAAATTGTCAATAAAAGCAATGTTGTGCTGCACAGTGACAGAAGAAAGCCAGGTGTTCAAAGATAAAATTCGGCTAAAGCGTCCAATTCCTCTGTCAACCGTGGGGATGGGGCCAGAGATAAAAACACACAGATGTGTGCTTTTTAACAAGTTAAAAAGATGAATAAAATCACGTTTGAGGAGTTCAGACTGCTGCATGCGGGTGTCGTTGGTGCCAGCGTGGATTATTATCTGATATCTGATCTTCACAGGGTCAGGCAGCTCTCCGTGGTCAAAAACGGTTTTTTACAAACAGTAATGATAAGAGCCCCTAATGGGTTAGTCTGTTGTTAAAAAACGCTGACGCTTTCAGGTTTCTGAGTGTTTGAGATGAGGAAGACGAGCGGCTGGCTGCCTCTTCACCACATCTATAATCCAGACTATTAGAATGGGTTGATGATCTGATGGGATGAACCGAGGTGGAAAATAATGCCCTGATAAATGCTTCAGTGGCCCATAGGGTGAGAGGAATAGAGAGCTTTGATATACTGATGAGGTTATAAAGAGGGAGCTGTCACACAGCTGATCTTCAGATGACAGCATGGCTGCAGTTTGGATGAAGAGTGTTTCAGAAGTCCTGTATGAGGACTCTGGCAGGCATCTTAAGCTAAGCGTACACTGTGTAACTTTTTCCCTCATAGAGTTCACCTCCATCTCAAACTGTGGGACTTAGAAAATGTGCTAAAAATTGAAGTTTTAACACAACACATCGGACCTTTGAGTCCGAAAACCCGGAGACTGTTGTGTTGTTATTGACGCAGTCTGTTGTCCGTCTGGAGGACACGCAGGGGTTTATGGGGGTCGGAGAAGGAAGAAGAATGCAAGGAAGTACACAATGTTTTGGGGTCTGTTTTACTTGACATGAACAGCAGTAAGAGAGACGATCATGTTTTAATGTCAAAAATGTGATTTGGGGCTTTAGTAACTCACATTACTGTCCTCTGTGTTCCTAGCTCTGGAGGGACCCTGGTGGTTTGGCCCGTTCACCACATCCCCTCTCACTTCAAACGGACTCTGGTGACGAACAAAAGAACTTTAAAATCCATAAAGAAAAACATACATATGTACACATATATCCAGATAACTTCTTGAGTATCACGAGATTCATCAGGCAGCCTAAATCCAACACCAGCTTACCTCCTCTAAGAGTTTCTTATGTTTGAAGCACTCAGAAATCCCTGAAGAGAGGAAATAAGAAGCTCTTACTGAGGGGAACAAAACACTTCTGATTTTCTGTAATAATTCTGCTAGTTCTAAACTCATCACTGATGGAGCCAGAAGTCCAACTTACACCTGAAGCCGACCACCCACTTCCTGCCTGCGATGCCGAGGAAGTATTTCAGCGTGCGCTCACACACCAGCTGCTCATCTGGTTGAGAAAAGGGAAGACAGCTCGACAAGATGTGGACAAGAATCCTCATTCGCATTTTATCAGGTTTAGTCTAAAAATGCAGACATGGCGTAAAATTGATGTCGTTTACTCAGTTATTCGACATGTTTGCAGTGGTCTCTAGTGTAAATAAATGCCTTACGAATAATAAAAAAAGCTACGATGCGCCTACCTTTCACATTTGGGTCGATACGGTCAGGTTCGGGACCAGAATTTGTTTTCACACCTGGGTCAGATTCACATTTTCAGGTGACACTACTGGTTGGATGAAATTCACGCCTACCACCTCTGACTGGTGAGTAGAACCACCTAGCGGGGGTACCCGCATGCAGGATTTATTTTCATGCTGGATGCTGTCGAGTAAACATCTATCTGTAGCACGGAGCTCCTGCTCAGTGGGAAAGGGGAAGGAGAGCCGTGTGGGTGTGTTTGACACTCGCTCTGTCCTCTAGAGCAGCAAACATCTCTGCACGGAGCTCTCGCCAAAGCTGCTCAGTGGGAGGAGAGAGCAGCAAGTGTGTGTGTGTGTGGCCCGCAGAAGCCGAGGACAGAGCATTATGAGGACACACACACACACACACACACACACACACACACACACACACACACACACACACACACACACACACACACACACACACACACACACACACACACACACACACACACACACACACACAGCAGTATCAGTGAGAGAACAGAGAGCAAATTAATAAAATAAGGTGGTTCAGAGTCTCCAAATGCAACACAGCTCACTCCCACTTTTGTTTATATTATTAAGGACACCACAGACTTTTCTGCGCATCTTAAATGGCGCCCCCGTGCTGGAGGATTTCCGCATTCCTGGGAAGTCCTTCAGAACTATATGTGAACAAAAACCACCCAAATGAGACCAAACTGACACGATCCTCCCCGACCGTACTGACCCAGATGTGTAAGCGGCTTAATAGAACGCGTTCAGCTATGTTGCAAAGTCACTTTCACCAAGACCCTCTCTCTCCCCACCACAAGCGTGAGCCAAGATGGGCGTGGCCATGAATGCAAATTCACAGCGTGATGTAGATCTGTCAGGCTTTTGTAATTCTAGCATTTCACCGTCTATTTTCTATCAGAAGCTAACCGGAGATGGGTGTAGGAGACTATTTCATGTTCAGCCTGGATTAAAAAAACAAGAGCGACTGATTATAATCATAATATTCAGTCAAACACACCTTTAACATTTCAGGATTTATTTCTTTAAGTAGTGATTAGGAAGAGCCAGCCTGAGTGAAGCATCTGTCATGGACGTAGTTAAGTCCACGGCTGACACGTCTCTACGCTCTGATCTCCGTTTCACAACCATGAATCTGCTTGTTAAGTCTCATGGTAGGAGGTGTTGGTTTTATTCCTGCTGCTCTTATAAAGGTTTTGATTCACACTAGTTGTGTTAATCCACACACACACACTTTTAAGAACCTGCTACATTTGTTGGGTATCTGTTTGTGCAAAACTCTTGATGTAAAAAGTCTAATCTATGACCTCATCTGCTTTCAAAACAACAAAATCATTATGAGAAAAGACTTTTTTATTTTATTTCTGAGGCTATTAAAGCCTTGTTTGCTGCTCTTTCTTGTGGAATATTACTCTCTAGAACTATTACCAAGACTCCAAAATGTGATTAGACAAGTTGTTAGTTGTTAAAATGCCAAAAAGTTTTTATTCCAGCTAGGTTTAATTATTTAAAACAGTTTTAGCACTATGTCTGGTTGCCCAGGAAACAACTGCCATTAAAACTGGTTTCTTGGTTCATATAGTGCTTTAGAGACAGAGAGCTCGGAAATTAAAAATAATCTATCAAAGAGGGTAATTAGCTAATAAACAAAGTGGTGTGTTTATGTGTGTTTTTGTGTCTAAAAGAAAGTTTCTGCAGAAAAAATATAGAAATGAACAAAAAAATCAAGCAGAGCGAGAATTGACTTAAGAGAAAATGTTCTTTGCAGAGACAATAAATGAAGCAGCAGCCAGAAGAACACCCTCAACTCAAAGATCAGCTGCTTGCTTTTACGCTAGCATCCGTACCTGTTCTAATTACGACATGAGTCACTTCTGACGTCACGTGAGAAACCATGCGGGCTCCGACTCCTTTAGCAAACTTCTTCACCATCATCTGCCAACAAGATCTGATCAGTCCATGTCTGTGGTTAAAACATGGCTGACTGTATGAAGACGCACCTGCTCAGCGGGACCCAATCCGGACGACACGAGCACGAGTTTAGCGTTACATCTGTCTATCGGTGGACTGGTGTTCTCCTTGTCATCTTGCCCGTCCGAGGGTGAATCACACTTTTTCATCGTTTTGGTTGCATCAGAGCTCGTGGAGGGGTTTGAGTGCTTAGCAGACTTTTGAGCAGAGTGCTGCTCAGCTGTAGAGAGACAAGAGAAACAGAGTCAACAACAGACCCACGGAGTATAATCTCCAAGCATCTATACGACGAGTCTTTATTAGTGACAGATCTGGGCCACAATGCAGCAAAACCTGAACTCAGCTTAACAAAAACAGCTGCTTATCCGTGTTATTATTCATTTAATTTCACTGAAAAGCCTGTTTCTGTGCCTTCTTTGTGTCTCAACACTATCAGAATCTTCTTACGTGTCTGTGTAACACCACCATGCCTCCACAAACCAGGCTCAGTCACCACGTTATCGCCAGGGGGCTTCGTGTTTGGGTCTTCTTCTGCATCTGGAATATTTTTCCTGCAAGAGACCCAAATATCAACTTTATTAAGACCTTTATAAGCTGGAGAAAGTCTCTTTAAAACATGTCAAATAAGTAATTTTCGCTAAACTCTAATAATAGGTGTAACACCACTTGCAACAACTATGATCAAGTATTTGAGATGACTGGTTATGAGTCTGTGGAGGACTTGTCTCCCACTCTTTACAGAATTGTTCTAATTCAGCCACACAGGGAACATATTCAATTCAATTCAATTCAAAAATACTTTATTAATCCCAGAGAGAAATTGATTCCAGTATGAACGACCTGTTTAAGGTCAAAGGTCATACATTCTCTTAGGATATTGTGGTAGAGAGAAGAGTTCCATCATCCCAGACCATCACACTACCACCACCATGCCAGACTCTTGGTCTGATGTTCTGTTCCTGATATTGTTTAACTCCAAGGTGGGACTTTGGTTTGGTTAAAATCTGATGTTAGCCTAGATCTGGACAAGTGGGGGAGTAGAGGGAGGTGGAGTGTACAGTCAATAAAGACGACTCTCCCTTGCCCTGCCTCCATCTAAAAGGCTAGGTTATCCAGAGTTATCTCTGTAGTTATGCTGCTATAGGCTTAGACTGCTGGAGGATACACTGACCACATTCCACACTCTACTACTTTCTTCTACAATCTGCTCTTTAACTGTATTATTTCCTGCTATTTCAGCTGTTAACTTTATTTTTTCTCTAAGTGTTTTTCTCCCCAGAAGAAGCTACAATGGTGTTCTGCTGAGCTGTGGTAGCCTCATGGAGGGGGCCATCATCTTGAACACTGTTGCTAACCATTTAAAACATTCTCCCTCTCCTGATAATAACACTTCACTTTCTTTGACATTGAATGTGCTACTACTAGTTTACCCGTTTAATTATAGATCCACTAGGATAAATACAATAAAATTTATCTCTCACCAAATAGAATATTTACTAAGAAGTCACAATGTAACCATAGAAACACTACATGGTATATATGTTGTGTGTGTGTGTGTGTGTGTGTTCTGTCTTTTCATCCCAGTGAGTCGTGGAGGATGGCTGCTTATACTGAGCCAGGATTCTCTGGAGGTTTCTTCCTGTTAAAAGGGAGTTTTCCTCTCCACTGTCGCTAAATGCTTGCTTAGTATGAGGATTGCTGTAAAGTCACTGACACTAGTCAGTGACTTGATGCAATTTGCTGGGTTCCTTATAGGAAACATTTTAATGACTGGCTTAATGACCTGACCTGTATTGGAATGTTTATTATGTGAAGTGCCTTGAGACGACTCTTTGTGATTTGGCGCTGTATAAATAAACTTGAATTGACTTTGTGTTGTTTTGGATCAGCAGAGGTGTTTTATATTGGATCATGTCTTCTGTAAAATCTGCAGCTGTACATTAGTTTGTAACTCAGACTGTTAGAAGCAGAGCAGAAACATTCAATCAGACCTCGGTACAGAGTAGACTGAACATAACGACACATGCTCTCACCAATCAACAGATGACAAGCTATTCTCCGATTAAAATACAAAAGTGGAATAAACTCTTGGAATGAGCTTTGACTGAAAGACTTTAATATTACTGAAAGCTGGCAGCAAGGCTGCATTAAATCATCAGTGAAAACTCCAGAGCCAACATATTCTAATTTCCCCGCTGCACTCCAGGAAGATGTGATTTCAATTTAGGACTTCAATAACAAAGCCCATTCCTTTAGTCAGAGACCTGGCGGTGATACTGAAGGGAAGCTCTCGGGCAGTGGAGATAAATTACCGTGGCAACACGAGTTCCTGTCAAGTGCTCTAAATGACACAAGGAGCTGTCTGTAATGGCTTCTTTTATTCTCACAGCATGAGCTGATGCAGGGTTCATTTGTGAGATAATCAGTCTGACCTTTTGAGATCCAACACACTTATAGGGTGTCACTTAAGCTACAACCTCCGTGACGCAACCTCAGATAAGTGGCCGAAAATGAATAGAAGGACGCAAAAGAAAAACTGATGAGCACGGAGATAAAAACTCATAAATCGTTTGATTTCCATGAAGGTTTAATGAAAAAGAGATGAACAGAACCAGTTTACTTATGCCGTGATTTCATCACTTAAACTATTAACCCTCCCACTGTCCTAGTGGGTGTGGCCCTGCAAGGAATGTTGACCATTGAGCAGGATTGATAGTTTATCCCTTGGGTCCATGAGGCAGGGGTGAGGAGTGAGCACCACCTCACCCCTGCCTCGTGGACCTCAAGGGATAAACCATCAATCCTGCTCAATGGTCAACTTTCCTCGCGGGGTCACCCATGAAGACAGTGGGAGGGTTAATGTAATGCTGATTAGCTCTTATGTGACTTTTTGTTTCGTTTGTCTTCACACTGTTTAACTGAAAACATTGAGATGATGATGTTTATACTTTTGAAATCTTACCTAATACCTAAAACTGCTTCAGGATAATCCTGAGCCAAGATAATGGAACTCCTAGCGTCATACCTGCATGATTCCTGGTCTGGATTTGGTTCATCCATCATCGCTTTGGGGTTGTCTTCGCCTAAAGACACATTTTAACAACACATTTGAAAAACCTGCACGGGGGAAATCAAAAGGAAAACTAAAAACTGGAGGACGGACTACAGATTTGCTCGAGAACTTAGTCAAAAAATAGTGAAAAATGACACACGTAGTCATTTTATAGAATATAAATCCAGGATATAAGTATGAAAAGGCCCACTGGTCTGGTTTAATCACCTGCATCTTTACCACCCTGGCAGCTTTCCGAGGGCACGTCTCTCTCCGGACTGCCTTCCTTTTCCTGAAGCACCTCTGTCACCAGAGCCATCAGCTTCCCCAGCCTGGCCAGCTCCTTCTGCATCTCTAGTTTCTGCTAGATGGGCAAATAATCAAGAAGTCAAGTGTAGAAGTCATTTTAAATCCTAACTGGCATTTATTAAAGTACATGAGGGGATAAGAGGCAAAGAAATCTGCAATGCAACACTCCCAACAAAATAAATAAATAAATAAATAAAAGCACAAACTGGCTGCTTTTTCAAGCAAAGCTGTTTGAAAATGTATTTTTTTGCTATTTCAGTTCCATTCTTTGTGCTTATAGGGCAGACACATTCATTATGTACCAACACCCGTGTGTGTGTGTGTGTGTGTGTGTGTGTGTGTGTGTGTGTGTGTGTGTGTGTGTGTGTGTGTGTGTGTGTGTGTGTGTGTGTGTGTGTGTGTGTGTGTGTGTGTGTGTAAGCCCGGGCCTCTGGCAGACCGCAGGGTTTGAAACAAACTCCTGAGTCAAATCCAGACGACAGATCAAAGTGAGTGTAGGAAGATGGATGAGGTACAAAACAAAAATCATCCTCTAGGCAGCATTTCCTCCAACGTAAATGAAAAGCAATTTAGAAAGCTGCTGAGGGGGAAATTTTTTTATAGAGCGAGGTAGTCTGTCATCCTGGAGTTGACAGTTGAGATTGAGGGAAATGGGATGCTGCCCTCTACGGGTGTTGACGTGTCAGTGCAGCACACTAAACGCAGGTACAGACGAGCTGGTGTCTGGATGAACAAGAGGCCTCATCGTGTCACTTTACAGATAAAAGGTGCTGTTGTGTAGCTAAAGAGGACAAAAAAAGAAAGATTTGATGGAATATGTAATTATATTCACCTGTGTGACCAGAACTTCACTGGAGAACTGTGAAGATTCTATGGACACGCCGATCTCATTCTCCGGGACATCGCCTGCAGAAAAGGAGCAACTAAGGGGCTCCATGCCTGGAAAACAGCTTGGATCTCAAATGGTTGCAGGAGAAACCAACTGATCGTTTCTGAGCTTACGTTCATCCGGCGTGCCGAATAAATCCACGGACGCCTGGCTGGAGTTGATGCAGTCTGGACTGGGACACTCAGCTGGAGGGCTTCGTGGTTCTGCTGCATCAGTTTGACCCTCCTCCCCTCCGTCAGCCTTCCTGGAGTCCCCCTGGTCTTCAGTCCCAGCTGGTAGACGAGTTGATGTTCCAAAGATTTGAGTCAATGTTGGTAATTCCTCTTTGGAACCACTTCCATCGGACTCTGATGAAGACTCCAGCTTCTGAGCCTTCTTCTTCTTCCTCAGGTCAGTTCTGATGGAGGAATGGGCGCTAGCCTCTCCGCTACAGTTGTCTTTGTGGACAATCTGTAGAGCAGGAACCATCAGACCCTCAGGGGTTACAGAAGACTCTGCAACGCTGAAATGCTCCTTTGTGTCTCTGACCTCAGTCCTTTCGTCTCCTACCGTAGAGCCAAACGGACCCTCGTTGGTCTGAGGGCCCTTTGGTTCGGGTTCGACGGCCATGAATCGTAGTCCAGAATCTCCAACTTGCGGAACAACAGAAAGAGGAGAACTTGCCCCTTCATGCTTTGAGACTTTATTTGGACTGAGGCCACTGCTGAGACCATCAGGGATGGAGGCCTCCACCACCGTTAGCTCCCTTTTGGCTGCTCTAGCTGTCTGGTTGGGGGAGTTGGAAGGAGAAATATGATCAAAATGAGGAGATTTCTCAGCATCTTGAGATGCTTCAGGTGTTTCTCTAGACATCTTTGCTGGTGAAGATTCACCAGCATCTTTGTCTTCTGCTTTGTCTGCATGACGACTCCTTTTCACCTTTGGCTCCCCGAGGATAAACGATTTTCTTTTGGTGGATTTGAAGCTCATGAGGAGCTGCTCTGTGTCCAGCTCACCATCTACGTTTTCCACGCCAGCAGGAGCCTCGGGAGCAGAGACTTCCTGGTGAAGGTTGTTTGGTGAGTTCTCTGTTGGACCTAGCACAGACGCATCACTAATGGAGTTTGGAACCACAGAGACAGAACAATCCACCACAGCTTCCGGGGGCCTTTTCTCACCCATCTCCATATTTTCAATCCCTCCGATATCCTCCTGATAAACGCAGCCGTTCCTCTGAGCTGCTGCAGCTGCGTTCCTGCTGTCAGGCGGTGATTTATCCACCGTTTTACCTCCAGGTAGGTTCGAAGCCCTGCGTTTTTTTTTCAGCAAGTTTGTTTTCATGGTTTTCTTGTGACTGTCTTGAACTTCCTCGACAAAACGATGAAGTCTCTTGGTTCCCCTGGTGCTCCTTGAGGAGGGCTCTTGGCCCTCGCTGCTGGGGTAAGTTTCGATTTGTACTTGAACATCTTCTGACCTCCCTCTGGCTTTAGGGCTGCTGTCCCTGTTCTGAATTCCAACCAAAACAAGAGGCTTGGCCACTTTGGAGGGCTCGTTTTTTTCAGACGTAACGTTTTTACCTTTCCTTCCGTTAGGCCTCCTCTGCTCAGAAGAGTCTGATTTTGGCCGAGCTTGCTCTTGCAGATCACCATCCACATCCAGCAGAGCTTTGCGAGCTCTTCTTCTTGTGACAGTTCCAGGTAGAACGTCTGACCCAGGAGGGAGACTGGGTTCTTTTGAGTCGTGTACAGACAACCCGTTCGTGTTTTTACTCGTATCAACCTTCTTCTGCTCCACTTCTTTAAAAAAGTCGCTGCTGGCGTCGTTTAGATTTTCTACCGTTTGCTGCTCTTTAGCGGTTGTTGTGTTTTTTTTAGAAATGCGTTTCCGGGTCAGTGTTTCTGAAGTGGTTGAGGGTTTGAAACCCTTGCCGCTTTTTCGTTTGTAGACCGCTCCAAAGACCTGTTCTTCCAAGGCTTTGGTGCGATCTTCTTTTTGAAGAACTAGGTCGGCATCAGGCACGGACGCAGACAAGCAGCTGTCCGAGTCATCTCCGTTATCGCGTGGTTTCTCTAATTCATCTTCAGCTGGAACCTTCAAGAGCCACTCGGCGACTTTCTCTAAACTTTTCTTCTTCTTCTGCTCAAGTACCTCGTCCGACTCCAAATCTGTTTTCTGCTCATTTCTTGTGGGCTTTCTTAAACACCCAGTCTTTTCTCCAGCCAGCACCGGGCGAGGAGGTGCATTTTCCAGAGTGGGACATTTCTTTTTGCTCCTAGTCGTGCGCATCACCTTTACCCCAATGGCAGCTGCTCTTGTTTCCAGGTGATCTTTAGGGCTCGCCATTTTCTCGTCAGAAGTTGTAGGAGCACTATCCGGGCCTTCATTATGCATCATCAAAGGACCCGAGTCCTCTAGTCCCATGAGTTTAGCAAATCCATTCTGAGCTATGAAACGGAGCAAAGAGGTGACGTTAGAAGGAGACAAACCTTGAGCTGAAACTGCTTCTTGTGTTTCCAACTGAAAAAAGAAACATCCTCAAGCAAAATCCTGGGAGGTTTGAGAAAGACTGTTCCTGTCTGCTGTAGTGTTTTATTCAGCTGAGGCCGAAGAATATGAGCAATGGCTCAGGAACGTTACCCAAGGGGAGTGTTTTGTGTTTGCGTTCAAAACCTAGCTTGATCTGTAGATTTGCTATAACAGCTTTAATGTGCAGCTCCCATACAGATTATTGTTTATTTGTCAATTAAACGTGATAATGGATTGTTAAGTTTGGCTCTCCTTCCCCGTCTCAGCTTGAACAATAAGATTTGACAGATTTGAAAGAATATTAAAGGAAAATAAATGTGTTCTTTACAAATGACAGAATTCTTTTTGTGCGTTGTTCTAGAACACCACTAAAATAAAACTGTTAACATGTTAGGGAGTTTTATTTGGGTGCTTCAAGCTTAAACAAATTATAAAGTTTGTCAACTTCATCAAAAAACACAAGTTTAGCATTAGGTAAGGGCAAGAGCTGAGAGAGAAAAGAAATCTAACAAGTCAGTGCGACAGAAGCTGGAGTCAGTCTAGAACAGGGTCACATTTGGATGTAATTATCGTCAGTTTATTTTAAGGTGGGACTGACATTTCCTACAGGTAGAAGCTGGTTTTAATAATATTTGATTTTTTACCTTCTACAGTTGAGGAGGACTTTGGAGGATCATCGTTGGTCGTGTAATCCTGGTTAGTAGCAAACGTACCTCCAGATAATATAGTACAGGAATTTCCAGCCAATTCGGCATTTCTGATGCTAAGAATGAGACAAAAAAAACTAACATTACCTAAAAACCAAAGCGAATGAATGAATGAATGACTGGTTCTTACCTTAAGTGTTGTTTTTGATGGGACAATCCAGTGAAATCTGAAAATATAAAATCCTCACTCTTTAATGAGTCGATTTAAGCGAATGTATTAATTTTGTCTATAAAGTCCGTTGTCTTACAGTTTGTGCACGTGTCCTGCTCATAAGCTTGAATCATGTCCTGCAATCCTGCAACAAGTCTCTGAAACCCGGGACTCTCCTGCAGGCTTCTGTGTATCGACAGACACAAATTAAATAATAATAAAACCGTATTCATCAATAACAGTGAGTGTGGTAAAAGATGATGTCTAACCTTTTGGTTATTCTGGATTTACACACAGGACAGCTGGCTCGGTTCTGTTTGGAGTTTTCCAAAAGTTTTTTTATACAAAATCTGTCAAAACAGAAAACATATTATTTAAGAGAGAAACTCATTTTGGCTAAACTTTATTAACTACTGTATTTTCCGGACTATAAGCCGCTACTTTTTTCCCCACACTTTGAACCATGCAGCTTATAATGAGGATTTTCCTTCACCTGCCAGGGGCGCTTTAGCAGAAAGTGAAACAGGTGGAAGTCGAAGAAAGTGCTCATTTTAATTTAGCACATGCAAGCAGCCGGCACGACGAAGAATGTTTTTCAAATCCATACCCCCTTAAGTTGAAGGCCATCGATCGGGCAGTAAAGGAGGGAAACAGTGCTGCCGCACGTAAGCTTGGCATGAATAAATCCATGGTTCGGCACTAGAGACAGCAGCGGGAAGAACTAAGCTTCACCCGGGGATGATGACAGCAACAAGGACAGCGACACTGACATCGCCACAGAAAAGGTATGTGACGAAGCTCTTCTGAGGCTGTTCAACTCCGACACTGAAGAAGAGGACTTAAATGGCTTTAGTGCGCAAGAGGAGGATGAATAAACTAATCAATAACTTTTCTGTTTTGTTTGATACTGATCAGTTCAGCTACGTTCAGTTAAACTACGTTTTCAGTTCAGTAGATATCCGGTAGATATCTGCGGCTTTTAGCCCGGTGTGGCTTATTTAAGGACAGTTCCATGTTTTTTTTTTTAAACTTAGTAGGTGCGGCTTATATTGAGGTGCGCTCTATAGTCCGGAAATTATGGTATCCAAAAAGATCTCAGATCATCTCCTTACTTGCAAAACTGATGGTTGCACTTGGTGGACATTGGTGCCGTCATTAAGTCCAAACTGAACACAGTGAATACACACACACACACACACACACACACACACACACACACACACACACACACACACACACGTTAAAAACAGATAAAGGACATTTTTAAAACTCTTACATCCAAAGACTCTCACCATATGGGACACTTCAGGGTCTCCCACAGGACTGCAATCCTTTTTTTGACATCTGATACCTTTTGGCTTTCCATACTTATATCTAAAAAATGCAACAAAAAAATCAAATAGTTAAATCAAATCTGACTTCAATAAATGCTATTAATGACATGTCTCTGTCCAAACACAAATCTACTCTTTAGCAATTATAATTGAAGTAGCGATAAAGCAGAACAGATAAGAGTGAAACTGCAGTAATAATATTGACTAAATCCCAATAGTGCTGTACAAAACTGCTTTCTTTGGGAAAAAAAGTCACAAAAGTTGTCTATATTTTACAAAAGATTGTCAGACAGCACTTGGATGTTGTCATCATCAGTCTACTAATACATACCTAAAGTAAACACTAATAATAACTAATAACAGCTCATCTTTACTGTGATTTATTAGGACTATCGGAAGTATTTTGTTGACTGTGTGATGAGCTACAGTTAGCTGCGTCAAACTCATGAAACCTGAGTGAGTCTAGATAAATGGTTAATGATCCCCGGGAGATTGTGCTCATAAAAAGTTAAAATGTTTTTAATAAGCACAAAACGTGTATTTAAAACATTATTTACATAACGCTTGAAAATAAACAAATCATGTAAAGTTTGTTGACAGTGAAAAAAATTAATTCAGATTGGAAATGTTCCCCCTATTGATTTTAAAATGTGTGTGTGTGTGTGTGTGTGTGCGTGCGTGCGTGTGTGTATGTGTGTGTGCGTGTGTCAGAGTTGATCTACTTTAAACAAAAAACAAAACAAAACGAGATAATTTGTGAAAATATTCCATCTTAGCAAATGTCATGGTTCATAAAAACAAATGAATATTGTTCAAATACAAAGCAAACATATTTTGAAATGTCAGCAAAACGCGGTTGATCACACAGAACTAACAAACTACTTTGATGTTTCTGCTAGTGCTAAACACACAAATAGCTAGTAGTAGTCGCTACGAAAAGAGTTTTAGTTGCGCAACCAGTTGTTTTAATATTGTTGATATTAATAGTGAACAAAAATAGGTCACGGAACTGAGATTAGACAAAGAAAATGACATCACGCTATTTGATAAAGGTAACACAACCCAAACAGGTAGATTTACCTTACTTTTTGACAGCTCAAAATCACAAACTGATGTCTCATCTGCTTTTGTTTTCCCGCAACTCTTCTTCTTCTTTGGCTTTGATTCATCCGGTTTCGGTTTTGTTTTACAGCGCCCCTTGTGGTTTGGATGGCGCACATAGGTGATCCAAAAAAGTGATTTTTCATGCTTTATTTCTCATTATTTTACCTCTCATTTTTCTTTTTGTTGGAATGAAGTGTTGTTTGCTTACACTTATTTATTAAATCCTCATCTTAATGGCGATAATCTGAAATGATTTTATTTTGTAAATATGTCAAACAAGATACGTCTTTTTAGTTATTTATTTTTACTAATTTGATGTTTGTAAAATGTTACTTATCTTATTTCAATACTAAACAACACACATTTTAAAAAGCAATAGACATGTGAATAGTTTTAAACATGTCATTCCAATTATTCAATTATATCTTTCACTGTAACCTCTGGAATTTAGGTTTGTAACACAAGTTGTACATTTTTTTATTCTTTCTCCACGTGTTTCTTGGTGTTTTTATATCAGTTCATTAATACAAAATATACTATATATGTTTTATTTCAGAATTTAAACCAACTTATTGTAATTAAATACTACATTTAACATAAAAAGGGCCAAAATCCTTTTTAGAGCAATTTAGGACATTACAGCAAAAGAGCGTATAGAAAACAATACAAATAATAATAATTAAAATAATAATAATAATAATAATAATAATAATAATAATAATAATAATAATTAAAATAATAATAATAATAATAATAATAATAATAATAATAATAATAATAATAATTAATGCACACAAATAAAATAGGGTGAGATTATAACCTTCTAAAACCTGAACAGTGGAGAGGAAACCTGAACTTGAGGTTTAACTCAAGTTTTTAAACATACTGAAATAGAACATAAAACACACAAACAAATAGGTAATACTCCTGTGGTGTTAGACTGAATAATAATAATTAAAGCTAATGTTGATTATGGTAGTTAAAGATTTAGAATTGAATTTATATTACTATAAATTCATTTGGCACCAACGATACTAAAATACAACAAAAAACTGACCAAATAATTCCATTTATGGCCACTGGGGGCAGCAATGCGCTAATGTAATGTGAACTCTCCATATGTTAAAGACAGAAAAAGAAACCAAGGCCACCGTAAACAAAAATAAGGAAGTGTATAATGTATATCCACGCTATCACCTCTGAGCTGAATTCTTATCTTGACTCCTAAATCGTTATTATGATGTGATATATTTTCTTTGTTACAACCAACTGTGAGTATATTTTCTCCTCACACACTCTAGCTCTCTGCTAAACACTAGCTAACTGCTTATGTCGTATGTAAAGTCTATAGTCGCATCAGATTCTCCTTTTAATTTTGTCGCGTCATAGCTAGCTATGGAGGGCTCCAAGTCGTCGAGCACAACCATGCAGGTGAGCTTCGTGTGTCAGCGGTGCTCACAGCCGCTCAAACTGGACACGTCCTTCAAGGTGCTCGACAGAGTCACCATCCAGGAGCTCATCGGTGAGTTCTGCCGCAGATCTAATGTGTGTACGTGTCTGTTGCTGATCGGATGACTTTAATGATCCTGGTCCTCTCTACAGCCCCGCTGGTCACCGTGACCCCCAGCAAACAGGCTGACAGCAGCGAGGGGGACACACAGCCAGAGGTGGGTAGGCTTCAGCTGATCGCATTGATAAAGAAGTCAAGAAGTCAGCATCCTTTAGATTATGTTGAATTTTCACAATTTTAACTATTGTAGGAGACATTTGTGGAAAACAAGCAAGATGGTGTGTCGAGGAAATACATCCCTCCTGCACGGTCAGATACCCAGATTATTCATTTTCATTATCAGTGAGTTTTTTTCATTTAAATGTGGATGCCCTTAAAAATGCTTCACGCTCTGGAGTTGATTTAAACCTTTTCATTTCAGGATGATGTCAACGGAAAGCGCCAACAGTTTCACCCTGATTGGAGATGCCTCTGATGGGGGCACCATGGAGAACCTCAGTCGTAGACTCAAGGTGGCCTTTTGAGTTTGTTGGTTACTGTTAATTTGTCTGGAAGCAGAATTTTGATCAAAAAACACATTTAACTGAAGTCGACCTTTTGTCCACTCAGGTGACGAGTGATCTGTTTGACATCATGTCGGGCCAGACGGATGTGGATCATCCTCTGTGCGAGGAGTGCACTGACACGCTGCTGGACCACCTGGACACACAACTCAACATCACAGAGAACGAGTGCCAGAATTACAAGTGAGCTGGACATCTTTAAAGATCAAAAACAGGTGTTTCTGTTACACTTTTAAAAGTCTGACTGACATATTTCTCAGGCAGTGTTTGGAGCTGCTGTCATCCCTACAAGTGGAGGAAGAAGAGACGTTGCTGAAAGAGCTACAGCAGTTGAATGAGGAAGAAGATACCCTGGTCAAAGAGCTGGAGGCTGTGGAGGAGCAGAGAGCGGCTGTGGCCCAGGACTTGTCCCAGACCAGGACCCAGTCCCAGCAGCTGGACAAGGAGGAGCTACAGTGAGTGACCCAGCAGTGGTGAAGTCAAGGATCCACATGGGAATAAAACATTTGTGTTTATTTCCTCTTCTTTGTTCAACAAGGTACCAGAAGGAGTACAGCGAGTTTAAACGGCAGCAGCTGGAGCTGGACGATGAGCTGAAGAGTGTTGATAACCAGATGCGTTACTGCCAGATTCAGCTTGATCGCCTGAAGAAGACTAATGTTTTCAATGCCACGTTTCACATCTGGTACCTTTTTATTTCCCCGCCGACAAATAAAGTGTGACTTTGCAAAGATCGGACCTGTAAGCAAACAGAAATGATCTGGGAAGTTTTTTTCTTTCTTCAGGCACAGCGGTCAGTTTGGTACCATCAACAACTTCCGTCTGGGTCGACTTCCCAGCGTCCCCGTGGAGTGGAACGAGATCAACGCAGCGTGGGGGCAGACGGTGCTGCTGCTGCACGCTCTGGCTAACAAAATGGGTCTGAGATTCCAGAGGTGATCAGTGCTTGCCTCCCTTCAGAAGAATCTGTTAAGCTTTCTCACAGAAATGATGCATTTTGATGTTTTTACAACTTGTCTCCAGATATCGCCTTGTTCCATACGGAAACCACTCGTATTTAGAGTCACTGACAGACAAGTCAAAGGTAAATTTATTCTCAGCATCCCCCATCATTATTTAACACATTCAGGGTTGATTTCTACTTTTCCTGTTCCCGTTGTGTCCAGGAACTTCCGCTGTACTGCTCAGGCGGTCTGAGGTTCTTCTGGGATAATAAGTTTGATCACGCCATGGTGGCCTTCCTGGATTGTGTCCAGCAGTTCAAAGAGGAGGTGGAAAAGGGAGACACTGGTTTCTGCCTACCCTACAGGTCAGATACCCGTGTGTGAATCCTGAAAAAAATGTTTATTTATATTTTATTTCTCGTACTTTCGATCACTACCCAACGCTCGTGACCATAGGTGAGGGTAGGAATGTAGATCGACGGGTAAATCGAGAGCCTTGCCTTCCGGCTCAGCTCTCTCTTCACCACGACAGACCGGTACAGCGCCCGCATCACCAATCTTCCTGTCGAGCTCCCGCTCCTTCTTTCCCTCGCTCGTGAACAAGACCCTGAGATACTGAAACTCCTCCACTTGGGGCAGGACCTCGTCCCTGACCCGGAGAAATCATTCTACCCTTTTCCGACTCAGGACCATGGTCTCGGATTTAGGATATTTTCCCCAAATAAACTTAAATATAAATGCTTGTTTAGGCAGGATAATGACGAATAATGAAGAGTTCAAATAACTGTTCTGACCACTACAAAGTAACTCAAAAGTGTTTTGTCTTCATTAGTTTTAAAGCTCGGTTATTTGGGGTTTAACACGATGGCGAGATTTGGATGATTCTTATTAATAAATAACTCGGTCCCCGTCTTTTCCCGTTCTTCAGGATGGATGTGGAGAAGGGGAAGATTGAGGACACCGGTGGCAGCGGTGGTTCCTACTCCATCAAAACCCAGTTTAACTCTGAAGAGCAGTGGACCAAGGCGCTGAAGTTTATGCTCACCAATCTGAAGTGGGGGCTTGCCTGGGTAACCTCTCAGTTCTACAACAGATAAACATCCTGGACTTTACACTCCTCATACACACATTCACCCTCAGCTGCGTAGCAGAGATAGAAATTGTTCCTGAATTATTATTTTCTTATCAAGAATAATGAGTCCATCTGATCAGCTGCAGCATTTTCCGTATAAAGTATAAAGGACACATTTATTCAGATACAGCTGTTAGTCCATGTTGTAGGATGTATGGTTACCTGCTGATAAATGTTCTTTTTAAATCTCAGGATTTGATCAGGATGTCAGATTAAAATTGTAACACCTATTCGTGCTCATATTATAACAAAACTATTAATGCTAAATAAACTCTTTATGCTGTAAACTCAAATCTGGAATGGATTTCTGCATAAATCAAATACGTTTCCCAGATGAAATAATCCACCATAACGTGTTAAACAAATGATTTTTAATATTCTCATTATTTCCTCTGAGTTTTCATTCACATCCCAACATTCACCTACTCAGCTCCTTTTAAAGGTTAACACTGACATTAGAGGGTCAAGCTGATGGAAAAATATGGACTTCGTTAAAATAAAAATTCAGTTAACAGAAACACCAACCAGTCGTTTCGGTTTCAAGTCTTTAAAAGGTGCTGTGTCTAACGCAGCCACCCAGTCCGTCTCCAGTTCCTCCCAACCAACCCCAGCTTCTCTCCCACTCTAAAGTGTTTCTGAGGAACAGTTCGATGGATGATGACTTTCAAGTATCAAGGAATTAAATGGTATTAGGTGTCCTCCATCCTAGGGATGAGTTTCCACTCTTAACTCTGGACTTGTCTGTTGTGCAACTTTTCCAAACGCTTTTCTTTTTTAGCAAAGTGAAACAAAAATACCTCCTTTGACCTGGGCCAAGGTGTGTGTTAGTGCATGCATGGCAGCAAGTCTTTGGCTTCTTCTCAGCCAACAAGAGGCTGGTCCTTCATGTTCACCGTGGGCTCATTTACAAACACAACATCACTCCTTCCTGTTCTGCAGACCAGAAAAGACTGTTTCACATGTGAGGATTTACTCTTTTCTCCTGAATCTAAACCGCATTGGAGGTGCTACTGCAGCAGCAGTTGGAGGGACAAGGAGGCACCCACGAGGTTGTGTTACTCTGGACTTTACGAACAGCAGGCATCAGGAAGGGGTCGCTGGCCAGCTGTAGCACATCCATTCGGTCCTCCTCGTTGTAAGCCAAGCAACGTCGAATGAAAGCCTTGAAAAGAAAACAGAAAATATCTAAACCTTTTCATTTTCCTGGGAAAGGGGGAGTGGTTGTCCCATGACTGTAAATCTCACACACACACACAGACACACACACACCTTTGCTTCTGTGGTGACGACAGGTTTAGGAGGAAACTGCACCTCCGTAGATTTAGGTGCTGCATTTTCTTGGAGGATGTCCTGCTGCGACTGATTGTGACCAAATGGCTTCAGGGACAAAAATAAATACACATTAAATGAAATGAAACCGTTTGTGATAACCTGTTAAAGAGGTCAGTAGTCACCTTGTGTCCATATAAGCTCTGGTAGAAAATCACCCCCACTGACCACACGTCCACCTTATTGGATACTTTGGGGGCATCTTGTCCTACATGGAAGCACTCAGGTGGTAAATACCTGCCAGACAGTTACAAAATAAAAGCTTCAGAGATATTTCCCTCAGCAGCATCAGAGTTCCCTGGTGATAAATGGAGTGAGCCGTGTTTACCAGTAAGTCTCCCAACCCTGTGAGGTCAACTCCGCCCCTTCTGAGGAGGTGCGGCCGTCTCCATCCATGATCTTAGACGAACCAAAATTGGTGATCTTTATTTCGCTGCATGCTGTGCTGTTAACCAACAGGATGTTTCCTGCAACAGAACATTTCACAATTTCATCAGTGGTCCAGAGACAGAGGAAGGCTAAACAAGCGAGAGGCTACCAGGCTTGAGGCCGTAGTGGATGACGGGCGGTCGGATCTGACTGAGATACTTGAGAGCGTTGGCGAGCTGCATGACGATGGAGCGGCCCTCCTTCTCCGTCACCCACTTATTCTGCTTCAAGTAGAAGTCCAGATCCTTGCCTGCACAGTACTCCAGAACTGTGCAGAACCTGCAGAAAAAGTAGAAGCAAAACTCAAAGAGAATAAGTGTGGTGACAGGAAACAACACAAATGATCTAGAAAGTCTCTTTAGGGATCAGCTATCCAAGAAAAGAGGAGAAGTTGCTGGATCAACTTTCTTTAGAGCACTTACGCGTCTCTGTTGATGGAGAAATAGTCATAAAGTTTGACTATTCTCGGATGATCGAGTTCTTTGTGAATCCTGTACTCTCTACAGGCATGTCTGAAATGAAAAACAAATTAGGGCAGAAAATTCTGCAGATTTAAAAACAAACTGATCAGAATGGAAGACGAATAGAGACTCTGATGCAGTAACAGATTTAAACTGACTTGTGGTAGTTTTCCTTTTTCTCCTCCGTCCAGTTCTTGTTGAGCTGATGGATTTTAATGGCCACATATCTTTGTTCTGTTAAATCAAACGCCTGCAAAATAATTATTATACCTCATGAACATGAAGTTGAGCCTACTTCGTGTTCTCTTATTGTTTCAAATCCAAGACGAGAGGTAACACTGGCAGTGGGATGGCAGTCAAAGCCACACAAGTGTGTCAAACGTACTTTAAAAACTTCACTGAAGCCGCCTCGTCCAAGTAAACGCAGCAGCAGGTATCGGTCATTCAGCGTGGGATGGTCACTAAATCTGCAGAACAAGACTTAGTTAAATTGCTGTTTGTTTATTATTTTTTTAAATAAGAAGCGTTTGCTGGAGCTGAGGTGGATGATGCATACTGCGAGTTGTCCTCATTGTGGATCCTCCTCATCTCCTGAATGTGCACGTTTCTGACCCGCTCCAACTGTTCCAGCTCGGTCTGGATCTCCACATCTTGCTGTGTAAAATCACAACTCTTTTATCACAACTCTAATTCTTAGAATAAGTTAAAAAAACAAACAAAAAATATGTAAATGTTGAGCATGGACCTTTTTTAATCGACCAAGTCGCAGTTTGAAGATCTCCTCTTGTGCCCGGTACTCTGCCAGTGACATCCTACAGGTCGTTAGCAGAAAAGAGTCAGATTCTGAGGAAAAACCCTATTTTACCCTTCAGTCCACCCGATTTAGTGTGATCTGGAGCAGTTTCAGTCTTCTGATATGTCGGGGTTTCATTTCACTCTTTAAAAAACTAACAACTCTTCTTGATGTCTTTGTTTCTCTGGAACCAAAGGCAGCTGCTCTGGTTGCTCTGCACATTCAAGTTCAATTTTTGATTTCATGAAGCAACTATTTTAGCCAAATTGGTCTAAAAACTCTCTGAACTCCTTTTACCGAGACTTAAAAGACAAATGAAACGTGATGCATGCACAGACGTAATCGTCCTTAACAACCATTGGCCAAAACTCCCCGAGACCCAGGCTTATGAAGAGAGCCAACTAGAAGAAAATGAAAAGATCTGTTCATGTGCTGTGCATGCTCTCTTACATTTCATTTTCCCGCCCATTCCTTCTGCTTCTTCGTTTGCTTTGCTCCATGTTGGCGATCTGGGTGGTCGGAGGTTTCCTCTTTCCCAGCAGCTTTCTCTGCCGTTCGATGTCCTCCCGCTGAGAGCTGATTTCTTCTTGCTGCCTATAGAAGAACATTCTGGTGTGATTCAGGACTGACTCAATGCCATCAGCAGACTGTTCCTCTCTCCATTCTGACCTGATGAGGTTCTGGAAGGCATAGCCGATCGTCCACTGCTCTGTGAAGGAGGCTCCATGGCGCACGGTGGTGACGTGTCCTAAACGCAGACGATCCTGCATGCTCTTGTCCCTGCAAGCCATCTTCTCCTGTTTTGTCTGCAAAACCCAGAAATAGAGAGAACCGTGCAAGAGCACAGCAACACGATTTAGCTCAGAGTGTGAAGTGGTTTATGATCGTTGGGATTTCCGTTGGAAAAGCCAAGCAGCAGAGTGATTTTGGAGGATTTCTGTTGTTCTCCAAGTCACACCGACCTTCTCAATCAGCAGCTTCTTGCTCATCTTCACACACTTGTATAGACGCTCTTTGTAGCACTCGAGCATCTTCTGCTGCTCTTCTACTTGCTGCTTCAAATCACAGTTAGCCTGCAAACACACACACGCACACGCACGCGCACGCAGTTTAACATTTATACCAGCTGGGCGTTTGTTTTGTCCGCTCATGTAGCAAAGCTCACCCTCATCAGGTCGTCTATCCTGCCGTCAGTCTTGACCAGGTCAGAGTTCTTCACCTTCTCTATTGTTCTGAGTTTCAGCAGCGTCAGTTCTGACTGCGAGACGGACAAAACATTTTTTATCAGCTGACAGTCACATCCTTCAAAGACAACAATCTGATGTTAAATTGTCCAAAATCAAGCAATGTTGTGTTTAAAACTAGATGAAAATGTTTATGAGTAACCCTAAGAGCTTTTTAAAGAGTCCCCCACTAGGAAACCGTGTTTACGTGTTATTTTTACCATACATATTTTTACTTGTTGAGCTCGTTTAACGCAGCATTACAGCTGACCGAAGCGCTGCACGTTAAAAACGTTCCAGAGGTTGGCTGCACATTTAGAGGAGGCCCTTTAACCGTGGGTCTTCAAACGTGCCCTAGGAACAGCGAGGAGCAGCTGATCCGCGGACCTGAGGGCACGAGGAGGATGGTAGCGATGGAGCAACACACTCAGACTGGAAGGTGCTTGACCATTTAAGGACTTGAAAACTAAATGAAGAATTTTTTTTTTAATTTATCCTAATTTGAACTGGGAACCAGTGAAGAGAATCAGCGTGATGTGGCGTTTTCTACTAGCTCCGGTCAAGAACCTTGCTGCTGTGTTCTGAACCAGCTGAAGGCTGGACAGAGCAGCTTTGCTAATGCCACGAAGGCAGGAGTTGGAATTGTCAAGCCGGGATGTAACGAAGGCGTGGATAACGGATTCTGGGTGACGTTTACTCAGGATGGGCTTAGGTTAGGAAATTCGCCTAAGGCTGTAGAAACAGGATTTAACTGTGCTATTAACCTGAACGTCCATCTTTAATGCTGTTTCCATTTTACCCCAAGTCTGGAAACAGTCGAGGTCACGTGAGAGGAGAGAGAGTGTAGGTCAGGTGGCGGGGCCGCTCTAACATCATCAGGACTGAAAACAATTACCTCAGTTTTAGAGTCATTAAGATGGAGGGAGTTTTCAGCCAGCCACTCCTAGATGCTACGAAGACAGTCGAGCAGAGGCTCAGAGGAGTCAGTGAGCTTGAGAGAGAAGTAGATTTGGCATTTGTCTACATATAAGTGACAGGAAACTGCATGCTGGATGGAAACGGCTCCTAAGAGCAGAATATAAAAGGGAAAACAGTAACGATCCAAGGACGAAACCTTGAGGAACCTCCTCAGGGAAGAGAGACCAACTGGGATGGATAATCATCCAACATGACTCTCCTGTTGGACAAGTATGACCTAAACCAGTTGGGCAGAACCTGTTACCCCGGTAGTGTTGCGTTACGGTTAGCCAATCAGAGGCGAGATATCCAAATATCAGGAAGTAAGACTCCAAATCCTGCCATCTGAAACTACTTTCTCCTCCAGCCGAATTCTCCGTGGTGAAACGACTTAAAAGGTATTCATTCCTACTAGAGACCACTGCAAATGTAATAGAAATGTGAGTGAGGGCCCTCTTTAAAATTTGACCTTTAAGCTCAGCGTGAGCATCTCAGTCAGTTGTGGTATTTTTTTTTTACCATAAAACAACAGAAAAGAGTTTTCTGTGTTGTTTTCACACACACACACACAAAAAAACGTCTTATACCTAATCAATGATCAACATGCAACGTGGGTAAACAGAATAATTTTTTAATAGTAAATAGTAAAACTTTCAGTGCAGTGTTCTATTCCAGATTACCTGGATGGCTTTGTGTGAAAGAGACAGGAAAGGAGCGGTCGTAAATGAGCTGCAGGATGAGGAGTCTGTGTAGACGGAGCCTGTGGACGAAGGGCTGGTGTACTGAAACTACAAAAACAAAGTAAAAAGTTACATTAAGCAAAAACGTAGAAAGTTGGTTTATGAAATGTTACGATTTCACAAAACAGAATGAGAACTGATAATTAGCTGAATAATAAAGGGGGGGGGGGGGGGGGTTAAAGGCAGGCCAGCTCACCGGGGGATAAGAAAGGGAATGTTGAGAAGGAGAGCGCAGCAGCATGTGGACACCTCCAGCAGGACCAGAACCAGAGCCGCTGCTACCAGCAAACTGCTGAGAGAAAGCACAGTGTGGGAATTAAAACAGGATTATGGAAAACATACCGTATACAGGAAAGGAGCAAGAAGACTGCATTCATCAGGACCAAGGAGGTTCTTCTCACCTCATAATAATCACTTATTTTGTGCCCCTTTTGCTTTCCTACAAGGAAATAATGCAAGGATGTTAAATTAGGGCAGCACAATTAATCGTAAAAAAAATCTCGATCTCAATTCATACTTGTATGCAATCTCATTTCCAAATGACAACAATTTAAAGAGCAAGTCAACCCCAAATCAACACTTTTTTTCTAATAAACTATATAAATGCGTGTCTAATCGTGCTGCAGACACGTGTAGTCAATAGTTTGGCACTTTAGTGCATTTTAGTTCAAATTTAAATTTTCTGCCTGAAACTGTCAGTGTTGTGCCATTGCCAGGTAAAAACTCTTCACTGCATTTGAATTTAAATCTAACACCGCTATTGGCTAAGAGGTATGCTATGATGTAAACTGGTACATTATGATGTCACAATGTCGTGAGTGTGTGTATTTGTTAGTGGCTCCACCCTCTCGGTCTGCTAGGCAACAGCATTTGTTGCATTTTTCAAACATGAAGCGGGAGTGAAGTACGCTTCTTGCTAGGGGTGACTTGCTCTTTAAGCAGCTGGCTAGATTAAAAAAAAGGACAATGTTCTGTGTTGGTGTCCTGCCAAGGTCAACAATCATGTTGTCATGTTAAGTGTTATATTTTGCTATTATTTGTGGTTTACATTTTAAACAAACCTATTACCTACTTCTCTCATCACCTTACAAGCAGAGACAATACTGTTCTAAATTGTTATTGTTTAAATATTTCAAAAGTTGTGTACTTAAGAGACGACGAGAGACATCTTTTGTTTACGTTCAGTGACAGCTGGTACGAAGTTGATGTGCAGGTAATAAGTGCAATAAATACTTATGTTGGAAATAAAACGTGAGAAAATCGTGATCTCATTCTAAGCAAAAATATTGTGATTCACATTTTAACCAGAATTGTGCAGCCATATGTTAAATTACCATAATGAACGTAAATAAACCTTTCAGCTAACACATCTCTGAGTACAGAAATCCAAAACTACTGTGAATAAAGACCAGACTGCACTAACCTTGGTTGTTGCCATCAAAGATGTCTCCTTTTCTCTTCCTGATTTTCTTCTCAGGCTAACAGAAGCAAAAACAAACACATATTTACACATGTCCTACACAAAAACAGCTTTGCACTGCAAATCTCATTCAAATTCTCATTAATAGTTGGCATTATCACACATTCAGCCAAACCAACCTCTAGTTCCTTGTCACTCAGCGACTGGTTTGATGACTCGCTGTTGGCTGAACTCTTCAACACAGAAGGAAACAACAGTTACATCCACAGTAAGCTAGTAGCATCTACTGGAGACTTGTGTACAAGTGAATAAGATTACAAAACAGCAACCAACAATTACACATTGTTTTCAGTCATCAGTTCATGCTGCTTGTAATTGCTACTTGTACCTAAATTGTCAAGAGCGTTTGTTTCCAGGCAGATAAAGGTGTAAAAGGAATGCCTCAGAGCTAACGTTTTGGAGCACCACAGGGGTGTGTATTCAGACCACATCCAATTTAAATGATCATGGTCAGCTGATAGAAGTAGCTCCAAGTTTACTAGGCCAGTGTGTGTGTGTGTGTGTGTGTGTGTGTGTGTGTGTGTGTGTGTGTGTGTGTGTGTGTGTGTGTGTGTGTGTGTGTTCCTCAGACAAAGACAGCATCAGGCAGAGAAAATGTTTCCTCCTCAGCATCCAGGATGTTAATGAATCATAGGGCTGGGCGATATGGCCTACAATCAATATTACGATATATTGAGGATTTCACCTCGATAACGATGAATGGACGATAACTACAGGTATGTGCAGAAACAAAAGTTGTCCACTAGATGGGGCTGTCACATGTATTACATTGGCCTTGTTCGAGTTGAGCAGCGCCTCGCCTGGAAAACAGACGAGAGCAGACAGATGCAGCAGGGGGAGTGGCTGAAAGCCGGCGTTTAAGTCGGACAGATTTAACTACATGTGTAGCTCGCGGGTGACGTCGGATGAAGATATTGCGTTAGTGTTCACACTTGTTTAATTATTTATTTTAATTCTGGTGCCTGTTAGCAACTGAAACACATCCTCACATGCTTGAAGATATGACTGTAATAATAAGTAAAGGTTATCAGCTGTAGGTTTAGTGTGCTCACAGGAAACGTGACAAAATAACACAAATCACATTTCTCTTTATGGCCTATATAGTAATCATCAACGTTATGTAATGTCCAGTAATGGTCAGTTTTAAGTACAGTTTGACCTTTCAATATCTGGTCGACATGGAGACACGAGTCTGCATGTGTTTCCTTTAATCTGCCGGATTCTGCATCTCATCAGCTGGAGTTCAGAGCCTTTCTGCAGCTCTGAACACAAGATAACGTATTGTCAGCAATCATGTCCCCTCCTCAAGGCCTCATGAGGTACAACACATTGAGATAGCGTCTGATGCTTTTTGATAATAATCAACTTCATAGCTTAATGCAAACCAAATTCTTTCCCTTTTACACCCAGAACTCAGCTTTCCTATATACGGAAGTTCTGATAACATCATATTCACACATAGGCACCATACATCACATCTCCTCCATCTAGATTCATCCATCACAGTAAATATTAGTTAACGTGTCATGTTTTAATTGTTTGGAAAATAAATTCTTACTCTTACAAACCTGACTCTTTCTTGAATCAAACAAAGTGTTTACAATCCCTGAATAAATAAGAATCCTAGAATCTTCTGATTAAACATCCAAAGACCAAGCAGGTTGATGTTCTATATTTATATAGAGTATCACAGCTTATTGGTCATAAGTAAAGGTAATATATTGAGTTCTTAAAGCACTCAATTTACCAAATCCTACAGTTTCATGATTTACAGAATACATGTGACCAACTAACATTTCACATTCTACCACCGGATGTTTGGATCAGAATGTGAACCAATCACATCTTAGATCAGGCGAGAACCAGGCGTTTCCCGTCATGCCCTAGGTTTTGCAGCCGGTGGAGAGCAACTGTAGCTCCTTGCTCCAAAATCTGTGGCCGCCTTGATCTCACAAGGTTATCGTTGCCAACGTATGCATGACGTCAGAGCAAGTCGACATCAAGCCGGACACAAATCTAACCGGCAAGCACTGCGCACCGATCACCGTTGATCGAATCTGCGCAGAACTGGCTCATCTCGAACACGGCCACCGAGTCACATTTTTACATGACTCAAGGTGGTACAGCTTCTTAAAAGGACATGAACGTTGCCAACCTACACATCTTTTCATTTTTTTATTACCAAATTTATTGACATGGGAAAAATGATCTCGATAAGAGTCAGAAATTTCGATAACGATAAATTTTCAATTTATTGCCCAGCCCTAATGAATCATGCTTGCAGGAAGTCCCCGCTGGCTGATTCTATCAGCCAATCGGAGGCTCCCCCTAAATCCTAATTTTTACTTCTCCATCTGCGTCGGTACGGAGGCACGCAACGCTATTATAAGGTAGTGCAAGGGCTCTCCGACGCGCTCGCAGAGGGTGACAGAGAAATGCCGCAATTTTTAACTATCAGTCGAATAACAGAGACCGCAGGGTTGTGATTGGTCAGAACGCTGCTTCCTGTAAATTCATCATTGCCCCATCAAAAAGTAAAAAGATATTCAGCTGCAGACTAGTGATGGGAATTCCGGCTCTTTTTAGAGAGCCGGTTCTTTTGGCTCAGCTCACCAAAAAGAGCCGGCTCTTTTGGCTCCCAAGTGGCTCCTCAGATTTTCTGTTGCGTAGAGTACATTTATAACCAAAATAATGCTAAACTATATGTAAATTAATTTACTAATGTAAAAAAAAGCAATATATCAAATATTTATCATTTCTATGGATTTAATAACTGAACACTTTAAGAAATCTCCACTTTCCGACTGCTGGCGCTCATTTTCTCACAGTCTTCGTCGCACTCTCCTCCCTCTCACTCGCCTTTTTCCTCCTCCTCATTCCCTCTCGTCTCCCTCCTCCCACATGTGCTCTGCTGTGTGTCTGTCTGAGTATGATCCTCCCTCTTCCCCGCCCCATACTGCTCTGTGTGTGGACAGTCTGGACGCAGTTACACACATGTTGACCAATCGCCTGTGGCTTTCACCGGGGCAGGGGGGAGGGGGGAGGGGAAGGGACGGCTCCCAATGACGAGCCGGCTCCCGTCGTTCACTTCAAAGAGCCGGCTCTTAAGGTTGGTTTATGCTTGACGCGTCCGCGAGGTCCGCACGGCTCCGCGCGGAAAAGTAGCGTCATTTTGCATCATTTTAACAACCACGCCCCTCCACCGCGTCTCCGCACGGCCCAAGATTTCCGCAACGCGCACCTCGGAAAATTTCTAACCACGCGGAGGGTCGGACGCGGAAAAACATGGCGGACCGGCACGGCAGAGGTTCGTAAATACAGACATTTGTATGATTCAGCTCTCAGAGATCACCGTGATCAACATGTTGTTAATAATTCTTGGAGAGAAATAGCTCGCACCGTCGGAAAAGACGAGGACGCTGTTAAAAATGCTGAAATACCATGTTGTAAACAGTGATTTCTACTTCTACTGTGGTGTAGTGTTGGATGCATGCTGTAGAGCTCCATGCTGCCCCCTACAGTTTGGGAGAATATTGGCTCACCGCAGAGACGAGCCGCACAAACCATAAACGCTGCGAGTTGTGAAGCGCGTTCCAGCCGCGAGCCGCATCACCGCGTGGAAAGTGAATGCGTCAAGCATAAACCAAGCTTGGTTTATGCTTGACGCATTCACTTTCCGCGCGGTGATGCGGCTCGCGGATGGAACGCGCTTCACAACTCGCAGCGTTTATGCTTTGTGCGGCTCGTCTCTGCGGTGAGTCAATATTCTCCGAAACTGAACGGGGCAGCATGGAGCTCTACAGCATGCATCCAACACTACACCATAGTAGAAGTAGAAATTACTGTTTACAACATGGCATTTCAGCATTTTTAACAGCGTCCTCGTCTTTTCCGACAGTGCGAGCTTTGTCTCCAAGAATTATTAACAACATGTTGATCACGGTGATCTCTGAGAGCTGAAGCATACAAATGTTTGTATTTACGAACCTCTGCCATACTATTTCTTGCCGGTCCGCCATGTTTTTCCGCGTCCGACCGTCCGCGTGGTTAGAAATTTTCTGAGGTGCGCGTTGCGGAAATCTTGGGCCGTGCGGAGACGCGGTGGAGGGGCGTGGTTGTTAAAATGACGCAAAATGATGCAACTTTTCCGCGCGGAGCCGTGCGGACCTCGCGGACGCGTCAAGCATAAACCAACCTTTAAGAGCCGGTTCGTTCGCGACCGACACATCACTACTGCAGACACATAACAGATTGAAGAATGCATCACAGAAAAAGTCTGAAAATATGAACATTTTTTCACCAGTGACTGGAGGAGCACAAAGATATGCAGCAAGCATTTTATTCCTTTCGAAGAGGACCAACATATAAAAGTGCTCAATTCACATAAGCTGAAGCAATTAATGCCAACAGAAAAACAAATTATTATTATTTTGTTTTCCAGACTAAGTTTACAAAGTCCAGACATTCATGAAGTCTGGCCTCTGCAGAAACAACCCACAACTTAAACAGCTCATCATAAAGATCATCTCTATGTCATCACTGACCTTCGTAACAACGGCTCCGCTAAAGCGAGCTGCAAGCAGCCCCTGTCTGCGTGGGCCCAGGTTGTGGAGTCCCTCCATCATGCCTAGACAGAGCGGCAAAGACGGTGAATAAAACATAACTGAGCTGGGTTTGGATTTCACCAAAAGAGATCAAATCTACTCGGTGTCGACTTCTTAATGGTCCAAATGGGGTTCTTTACTTTGGATTTGACTCAAGTGAGCCATCCCTTTAGTTACGCTGCTGGCAGCCTAAGCAGCAAGGGACCTCATAGACTTTACTCTTAGTGCAAATATTTAGAATTACTGTTGCTAACTTTGCGTTTTTGTCTATCTCCACAGGTATTTTTGCTTCTGTGTTTGGATTCATATCTGCCCTCTCGACCCCCTCCCTAGTTGAGGTAGAAGGCTGCACATCTGGTTCTGTTAAATCTGTTGTGCGTCTGCTCAGGACAGGGGACAGCTTCAAAATAAACACATCTATTAGTTCCTTAAAGTGTCTATATCTGAGTAACTCCTAAAATGAACTGATTGTTTTGAACTATAATATAATATGATTGAATTAAAGCTGAATGTAAGCAAGTTGGGTTGCGATGTAATTGGAATAAATGGGACTGAATCGAGCTGTTTGAGAGACGTATCTGAATTTATTTGGACTAGATTGTTTAAATGTACAACACTCTGTGGCTTTGGTTGGTTGTGCTTTACGACTAAACAGAAAAAGAAATTTTTGAATTACTCTGCATGTCTGAGTAAATCATGCTTAAAGTTTCACTTCTTGTAAAACTAAATTTAGAAAAGAAAAAAGGAAACGCAGATGTCGTGTATATATATATATATATATATATATATATATATATATATATATATATATATATATATATATTTACACACACTAATCCAGCTGGGAAAATAGCAACACATTTAAATTTAAAAGTACTGGGGAACCAGTCATGATGACTTATCCACTAAAACACATGATTCTTCGTGACACAGCTTAAAAACACCACCAGATTGTATAACAAACAAATAGTAACCCTCAGATCTTACATGACTCGAGCTTTACTTTTAAACGGCCTTTTTTAGCTCAAAGGTTTCGCCCTGACAGACTTTTTAGAAGTGAGTGTAAACACCGATGCTGCTGAGGAATCTAAGCGTAATCATTACAGTAATCTTCCATTGAAATAAAGCCAAAACACAGCATTACACAACGAGCAGTTGCGTAACAAGCCACAACGTTGACACCATCAGCTAAAATAATAAGGGCTATTAAATAACACCTAAGGTTAGCTAGCTAGCTAGGAGGCTTACTCAGAGCAGCTAGCATCAAGTTAACAGGCTCACCTGGGAAACCGGTTAGTTTTCACAACCACGCACACTCCAATAAACGATGTTGTCCATCCATCCGGTCACAATAAACTCTTCAGCAGCTCCAAGGCCCAAACATTCCCAGAAACCCATAACGAACACTGGGTCAAGTTGCCTGCTTATATTTGATCGTTATCCGGTTTGTTAGCTTGGCTAATGCTAACTCCACAAAAGTGTGCTGCAGGCTCGCGCGGGTGTCATCCGGACAGGGTCCGTGATCACCGGGGTTTCCTGGTCAGACTGGGTGCCCCTGCATAGAGAGACAGGGAGCTGTCAACCCTGTGAGTCCTACTCACAAGTGTTGTTGTGACCTGCAGTCATTGGTGTGACCCGATGGGCAAATGCGCCGACAGGCAGGACAGGTGGAACCATAGTGGACTGTGGACCAGTAGCGGTTTTAGGCACGGGCAGACAGGGCAGTTGCCCGGGGCGGCATTTTTTCATGACACAAAAGGGGCGCACAAGCGCTGAGTAAAAAAAAAAAAAAAAAAAAAAAAAGGAAATCTGCGCCGCACCGAGGTTTTCTATTATCTGTCATATGACAGTGTCTGGATTGGAAACAGCAAGTTGGCGCCCCCTGCAGCTCCAGGCGCTCCGTGCACCGTGTGTGTATGAAGAAGAGGAAGGGGAGGGGTGCGGCGGGGGAATTCACCTCTGGGTGGGTCCAAATGAAATGAGCGGGTAGGGGCTGAATCAACTATCAACATGGCTAAAGTCGATCACATCTTGATGTTCTTCCACATTTCATTCATAATATCATAAACACAGGCCTATCATTCTTTCAGTTGTTTCTGAATTGTGTGAAATGGCCGAATAAAAAAAGGAAAAACAAAACGATTTTGTGGTCACCCCCCCATCAAGGTCAAATTGTTTAGTCCTGACTAAAGGAAACTTATTGAGTCAAGAGCCAAACAAGAGATGAACATAAAAAGGCTAAAACCACCAGGTGCCCGATTCAGGAATAAAAAAGAAAAAAAGAGGAGAAAAATAAAGGTATGGTCGCTCTCATGATGAATGTTTTCAATTTTTTGAACCAGTTAACTGGGATTTTAACGGTTAAATCCGGTCAACTAGTTGCTAACAGAGCTAATAGGGTTGAAATATTGAAACGAATATTCAAATGGTTCGAATAAATTCCTTGAATCGTTTTTTATTGATTCAAACTAGGATTTGTTAAATGCTCGCTGCAGCCTGTGGCCTGCCTGAACAACAACAAACACATGTTGATCAAGTTCACATAATAATAAATAAAACAACTCTACAAGCAGAAGAAAACACCCCAGTCACCACTAACTATCCTGTTTATTTATTGCAGATGGCTGCACTGATTATTTTTTACATGATTTGTTCTGTAAAAGTTGGTATTTTTGGTAGTCTACAGTTTTTTATGTCAGTTTAAATTACAATTTCAGAGGCAATTGTAAAATATTATGGATCATGAGATCTATTGGAGATCTACCCCAACTTTTGGACTGCTCTGCCAGTCACTGTGGCTCAAGCTGAGAGGAGCTTTTCAAAACTTGATCAAGTCATACCTGAGGTCACCTATGTTTCAGGGGCAGCTCACTAACCTGGCTCTGATTAGTATCAATCACTCAGTAGGGGAGCAGATTTCATATGATGACATTATTGATGACTTTGCATCAAGGTTAGGTTTTAATTTTAGTTTGTGTTTTCTGTTCTAAGTGCAGTGCTGTAGTGATTATCTTTAGTTTGTTATGTGTGAAATATTTTTGCTATTTAGAATATTTATTATATATTATGTGCATATATTCTTAATATTTAGTTAGTTTAGTTGTTTTTGTATATTTGATTCTATATATTTTGATACAGTGTATAATGTATATTGCTTTACATTCTGACAACTTCATAGTAATTAATGTAAATATGTGCAACTTAGAAAAATGAATGTTCAATAGTCGTTCTAATAAAACATGCCTGTTTATGGAAAACGTGTGTGTTCGTGCAGGTGGGGTGGTGTGGTGGTGGTGGTGGGGGCGGTTGGGGGGGCGCTCAAAGGGGGCCTCGCCCGGGGAGTAATTCCATGTAGAACCGCCACTGCTGTGGACAGATGGCAAAACGGTACTCTGAATCGGGAGTAATGCACAACAAGAAGGAAAATGTGCAAACATAAGTGGGAGTTGTTGCTGATAAAATACTCCGTGGAGGGTGGGCATAAACATCCCAGCTGCAGCTCTTCATGAATAATTAGAATAATTATCTCTGCATGTGGAAAAAAGTTTTACCATTTATTAAAAGTCTTGTTAAAGGCATAAACCTCTCTCTCTCATGGGGCTGGGTGATATGGCCTAAAATCAGTAACACAATATATTGAGGATTTCACCTCGATAACGATAAATGGACGATAACTACAGGTATGCGCAGAAACAAAAGTTGTCCACTAGATGGGGCTGTCACATGTATTACGTTGAGTCACATTTTTTTTTTATTTATTTCGTGTCCTGTCTGGTGCTGTTGAATCACATTTTTACATGACTCAAGGTGGTTCCGCTTCTTAAAGGGACATGAACGCTGCCAACCTACACACATCTTTTTATTTTTTATTATCAAATTTATTGACATGGAAAAAATTAAACAACAAAAGAAAAGTGTTTTTAATACAAAAAAGTTAACCTTCAAATAATTATGTTCAGATATGCACTCAATACTTGGTCGGGAATCCTTTTGCAGAAATGACTGCTTCAGTGCGGCGTGGCATGGAGGCCATCAGCCTGTGGCACTGCTGAGGTGTTATGGAGGCCCAGGATGCTTCGATAGCAGCCTTAAGCTCATCCAGAGTGTTGGGTCTCGCATCTCTCAACTTTCTCTTCACAATATCCCACAGATTCTCCATGGGGTTCAGGTCAGGAGAGTTGGCAGGCCAGTTGAGCACAGTAATACCATGGTCAGTAAACCATTTACCAGTGGTTTTGGCACTGTGAGCAGGTGTCAGGTCGTGCTGAAAAATGAAATCTTCATCTCCATAAAACTTTTCAGCAGATGGAAGCATGAAGTGCTCCAAAATCTCATGATGGCTAGCTGCATTGACCCTGCCCTTGATAAAACACAGTGGACCAACACCAGCAGCTGACATGGCACCCCAGACCATCACTGACTGTGGGTACTTGACACTGGACTTCAGGCATTTTGGTATTTCCCTCTGCCCAGTCTTCCTCCAGACTCTGGCACCTTGATTTCCGAATGACATGCAAAATTTGCTTTCGTCTGAAAAAATTACTTGGGCCACTGAGCAACAGTCCAGAGCTGCTTCTCTGTAGCCCAGGCCAGGCTCTTCTGCTGCTGTTTCTGGTTCAACAGTGGCTTGACCTGGGGAATGCGGCACCTGTGGCCCATTTTCTGCACACGCCTGTACACGGTGGCTCTGGATGTTTCTACTCCAGACTCAGTCCATTGCTTCCACAGGTCCCTCAAGGTCTGAAATCGGTCCTTCTCCACAATCTTCCTCAGGGTCTGGTCACCTCTTCTCGTTGTGCAGCGTTTTCTGCCACACCTTTTCCTTCCCACTGAGGTGCCTTGATACAGCACTCTGGGAACAGCCTATTCAATCAGAAATTTCTTTCTGTGTCTTACCCTCTTGCTTGAGGGTGTCAATGATGGCCTTCTGGACAGCAGTCAGGTCGGCAGTCTCACCCATGATTGCAGTTTTGAGTAATGAACCAGGCTGGGAGTTTTTACAAGCCTCAGGAATCTTTTGCAGGTGTTCAGAGTTAATTAGTTGATTCAGATGATTAGATTAATAGCTCGTTTAGAGAACCTTTTCATTATATGCAAATTTTTTAGATGGGAATTTTGGGTTTTCATGAGCTGTATGCCAAAAATCATCAATATTAGAAACAATAAAAGGCTTTAACTACTTCAGTTGTGTGTAATGAATCTAATATATATGAAAGTCCAATGTTTATCGGTACATTACAGAAAATAATTAATTTTATCACAATATGCAAATTTTTTGAGAAGGACATATATATATATATATATATATATATATATATATATATATATATGTATGTATGTATGTATACTGAACAAAAATATAAACACAATACTTATGTTTTTGCTCCCATTTTTCATGAGCTGAACTCAAATATCTGAAACTTTTTCTACAAACACAAAGGACACTTTTCCTTTACCAATACAATCCATCCCAAATCACAGGTGTGGCATATCAAGGGGCTGATTAGACAGCATGAATAATGCCTGAGACTTCATGTGATTGAAAACATGACAGCTGGGATGGGTTACAGAATTGTAAGAACTACTGGAGAAGAAAGCTATAAAGTCATCCAATGAAGCACTGGGAAGGAGTGGGGAAAGCTAGGGATGGGTCAGAAGTGATTTTTTTAGCAGCAGAACAGGTTGATGCCAAGAACGTGTAATACAGATACTACCTTTGCCAAAGAAGAAGTGCTGAGAAGGAGAGAAGGATGTGCATTGTGTCTTTATAGATTCAGATAAAGCTTGTGATGGTGCTGAGAGAGGAGCTGAGGTGCATGAGGAGATCTGGAGTAGCAGAGATGTATGTTAGAGTTGTGCAGAACATGTATGAGAGCTGTGAGGCAGCAGGGAGGCATGCTGCAGAAGTGACCGATGAGTTCAAGGTGGAGATGGGAGCATCAAGGCTCTAAGCCCCTTCTTGTTTGCTTTGGTGAGGGACAAACTGATAGATGATAGAGAAAAGTCTCCGAGAACTATGATGTTTTCAGATGACAGAGATCTGCTGTGTGAGCACAGGAGGAAAAGCCAGAGAAGTGGAGATATGTACTGGAAAAGAGGAACGAAGGCAGAATATGTGTGTGTAAATGAGAGGGATACAAGTGGAACGGTGATGGAGAGGACATTATGGACTTGGGGTCTGCGGTACAAAGAGACCTAAATAGAGGGAGGAAAAGTGTGAAGCAGGTTGGAGTTGGTGGAGAACCGTGTTTCAGGTGTAGAAGACACTAGTAAGACTTGCCATGTTGTCTGGTTTAGAGACCTTGTTCATGAGGACAGAAGTGGAGGTTGTAGCTCAAGAGGTTGAGGTTCTCTTTAGGAGTGACAAGGATGGATAGGATCAGGAATGAGTCTATCAGAGGGACAGCGCATGCTAGATGTTCTGGAGACAAAAGTCAGAGGCAATAGACTGAGATGTTTGGATGTGTCCAGAGGAGAAACAGTGACAACGTAGAAGGCTGCTGAGGTTGATGCCACCAGGCAGAAGGCTGAAAGGAAGACCAACAAGGAGATTTAGGGATGTGGTATTTTTAAATAAAAATCCCTAAAGTATTAGATGGTGAATGTCTGTCTTATTCGAACAGTGTTTTTTCAAAGGAGTATTTCATTTGTTTAGGTGCAGCAGAAGACGTCATCAGTACTGAGCCCACTAGCTGCCTTGTTCTCTAAAGTTAAACGGATGCTCCAGCAGAGGTCGCTGTTTGTGTGAGTTTGCACAAAACAGCTGAACTGAAAGCATTTCTGTACACAGGCATTAGGAATAGAATAGGATCCTCAGTCCAAATTAGAATGATTAGATGTTATTTTTTGACCAATGAGGACGTCTCTGGACATTTAAAATGGAATAAACTTTTTTTTTTGCTTGTGCTTTTATTCTGAGATGATTTTCCCCCCTCCTAAAGGCAAATCTAAACACCAAAGAGGGGAAAATACAGAATTTCTCAAAATTCCAGTAAACTAATTATTATGTCAGAATGAAATGACATAAAACAGAAATATTTTGTTGGGACAATGAATGAAAATCCAAAGTGCCTCTTATGGTTGTCTGACTGGGCGAAAATGCTCTTGCTGCTTGCATTTGTGAAGAGAATCATAATAGAATCATAAAAATCAAATCAAATAAGATAAAAAAAATGGAAAAAAATTTTTTGCAAAAAAGTATTCCAAAAAATTTAAATAAATAAATTTGAACAGGAAAAAACTTTGAAATGAATTGATCTTTCTGCACTTTGTCTAAAATTCATAAACCATAAATCCCACAAAGAAAGTAACCAAGTTTTGTGTCTGCTCCTCATCATTATTTATTTTACCTATTTTATACGTTCACATAGGTAATTTCTGTAAAAATGTCATTCTCTAAAACAGAGTTGCAAATCTTACAGTGATGTATTCATCATGTTTAGACAAAACAAGTTTTTATTCTGGCTGGATCAACACAACAAATCTTTACAAATCACACAAACCAATAACCTTTATAAGTGTAGTACGGGTGAGTGACCCTGATATTCATGGGAAAACATTTCTACATATTTACACACCATTCATATTGTTTTGACAGTAGAAGCCTGCACATGATTTGTGGCATTCTCCCAAAGGACGGTAAGTTCCTTATTTCCTGCTCTGCTCGTCGTCTTGGTTTAGTAGCATAGCATCAGTCTTTTCCTCTGTAGGTAATGTTTGTGAAGGTAGACGTGGCTCCCTTGTAAAGAGGGTTGTGTCCCTGTTATTAAAACGTAAATTAAGACGTGTCAATGTGAGGTTCAAAAACACGACAAGGGTTTGAAAAAGGGAAAGAATAAAACAACAAAAAGCATGGTACAAATATAAATAATATATTTTCTGACCTGTGAATAACACCACATTGTTTCTAGAACATATTCTTGAGGTTTGAGACCAACAGGTTTTGTGTGTTTTTGAAGCTCAAAAGTTAGCGTTGGCTAATTTAAACCCAACCCTTCCTCTGGTTGCCTTTTGTTCTCCTGGGAGTAACAGCATGTGACTAAATGATAATAAAACAATCCTGAAAAAACTGTAAGCTAAAGCTGCATGTGTGGCCTTTTACACGTGTGTGTGTGTGTGTGTGTGTGTGTGTGTGTGTGTGTGTGTGTGTGTGTGTGTGTATGTAAAGAGGGAGGCTTTGAAGGTAGAAATGTGTAAAACTGACTCAATCATTATTAAATTGACCCAATTTCACACACAGCAGCTACATTTGTGCTTAATTCACCCACCGTGTCCCACTTGGCCCGAGCTCGCTCTTCCTCAAATTTGGCGAATTCCCGTCTGTCGTGAATGGTGACCAGCAGTTTCCAGATCAGGAGAGCAGCCAGGCCAAGGAACAGGACAGCTCCTGCCACTGAAAGAAGCACCACTAAAATGTCTGGCCCCTTCGGACAGTCTGGACGGGGGGTGGAAGAGGTAAAAGCATGAGTAGAAAGTTTGTTTCCTGCCTGTGCCACCAAAACAAGCAGACGTAAAGCCTGTGGGTGAACTAAACGTGCCCTTTAGACAGGTGGTTATAGGCTCTGTTTAATGATGATCCATAATGTAAGCTACAGATCAAACATAGAGGAAGGACTACAGTGGAAATAACTGGCATCTTACAGCCAACCCACAAATCTCCCCTTCACTCATTATGGTCTGGAAAAAAATGCACTAGGAATCTGATTCGCAGAGTTTCAAAACTGGCCCGCATTGACATGAAAACATTCCTTCATCAGAACCGAGGAACACATGACTTGTTGCACTACCCTCTGTTTTTCCTATCACTAGATGTTCCACAGAACTTGTTCTAAAGTTATCTGCAGAATACGTCGCTGCGTCTTCAAGTGGGAAGTCAAAAGTGCTGCTGAATCGTTTTTGTATGTCATGCCTACATTCACGTTTGGGGCAGCAGCAGCTCAGGAGGTAGCACGGGTTGTCCAGTAATTGGAAAGTTGCAGGTTTGATTCCGGCTCCCACCAGAGAATGCTGCTGTTGTGTCTTTGGGCAAGACACTTAACCCTCCCTGCCTGCTGGTGGTGGTCGCATGGACCAGTGGCGCCTGTTCTTGGAAAGCCTTGCCTCTGTCAGTGAGCCCTAGGGCAGCTGTGTCTACAATGTAGCTCATCACCACCAGGGTGTAAATGTGTGAATGAGTCACTCTAGTGCAGCGGTACTCCGTAGGTGGCCCTGAACCACGCGCGCAACGATTGTGAAAGTTGTCCCTTTCTGTATAAAAGACACCTTTCCACACCTTCAACCACTCCAGCCTCCACCATGGCCAAGACCGGAGAGCTTTCTAAGGGCAGTGTTGCACACCTGCACAAGACTGGGATGAGCCAATCAGCAGTGAACAAGCAGTTTCTGCCTCGACCGATGGCCTCGACCTGGGGCTCCATGCAAGATCTCACCCACAGAAAACCTTGTACAGACCATTTACTGCTGCAGCTTGAATCACATTTTTGCTAATTTTATGACAATTTTTGTTCTTCTAAGCAGACACGAGTTAATTTACATATAAAATATATTTGCCAACTCTTTTAGAGACGTACCAAAAACTCTTCTGGTGATTGAAATCAGCCGGTATCAACCCTGATGGGCTGATCTCAAACTCCGGGAGCACAGCATTGTCAAGCAGCAATGAAAATCCTGACATCTTTGTGTCTGAACTCACCATCCATCATTCAGCACTAGTTCACGTTAGGAACAACAGGTGGACCTTTTTACTTCCAGAATCACGATTAACAAGTCAATGCAATTTAAAAGAATTTGGTTAATTATATTTGATTATTACAATTAGCAGGTGTACAAGTATCAGCCCTAAAAACTACAATCATTGCATCTCTAGCCTTTAGTTTTTTATCATTTGTTTTTTCTGGTGAACTTGGAGTTATGTTAACGCATTTCACCGCTGATGGTCTTTGAGCACGTGGCCTCATGTGCTGTCTGCATTTCTACAGCAAAGTCAAGAGACAACAGGAGTGAACTTTTACAACCAACATCAAAGCCCCTTCCCTCTTCCGCTCTCCCTCATGTAACTCAGCTTTATTTCACGTTTTTAGCCAATTGTCTTTGACCCCTGAGCCGCCACATTTCTGTTTTATACAGAAATCATGCTATATTCATACTTAAAGACCATTTTTAATTAAGGTTCCCCTTGCTTTCCTTCAGCTGTTGCTGTCCTGACGTTCTCCTGAGGATATGTAGCATCAGCACGTTCCAGCACTGATGTTTACAGCCCTCTTTGACACAGCGGGGTGTACCTATGTTCAAGGCTAATTGTGAAGGTGCTTCTCTGTGTAAATTAAACACACACGCTCAGTAAAGCTGTAGTTTAAAGGGCAGACTTTCTCTGCAGGCTGCAGTGGTCGTTAAAAGCTTTTTTACCGCACGCGTTCTCTGTATGGCCGAGTAAATTAAGAGCAGGCATCAAGGAAGGGATGGCTGGAAAGAAACTGAAATCTGCTAAAACCTTGATGATAATATTCATAATAATAACGCTGTACAGCGGTTCTCTTCATCTCTCATACAAAGCATTCAAAAGCAACAGATCAAGCGTAAATGCGTATTGACTTGAAACATTTTAGCTTCATGTAAACAAAGATGTTAGCCACAAAATAGAACTGACTGCAAATTAGTCACAAGATTAAGAAAAGAGAAAAACAACACAGGAAAATAAACATTTCTAAATGTTGTATAAAAGCACTCTCAATACCACTGGTTTACGTCTAGACTACAATCTGCACAGAAAACTTCCGTCAGTGTGTGTTGTTCTTACCCGGCTCTTTGATAACAAAAAGGATGGATTTGCCACTGGCGTCCTCATAGTACTGGAAACGCACCACACAGTCATTTTCATCCTTGTAAGAGCAGTTCACTGCGTTTGTGTCATGGAGTACTGTGTGAAAAATAATTCAAAAAATGTTTTTAGTAAGTTTTAGTTTGTACTGTGGACAAGACCACAAGTTGCTCCCACAAGTTGTCTTTGTATCTTTTTGGGATACGTGAGCAAATGTATCAACTATTGCAGCATTGCTGCACCATTTTCTCTTAATCGTAGACCATGCATCATTTTGTGAGAGTCCTGTGAAATGTCATGTTCCATGTCCCTAGTGTGTTCCCATGCACATTTCTTAGTGTTTTTTTCCCCTGTGCGTCTTAGTTTGCATTTTTCCCACAGCCCTTTAATTATTCTAGCTTATTTTCCCAGTTTGCTTTAATCTCCTTGTATTTCTGTTTTATTCTCCTTATCATCTCCCAGTTACTCAGGCTACATTCACACTGCAGCCAAAAGCACATCAAACCCAAGTTGCAATCTCTGCAGGTGGTAATACAGAGTAGGCCACTTCAGTTGTCAGGACACCGGGAGCTCCCGATGGCAAGTCCACCACTGGTGAGAACGTAGCCTTAATTTTGTGTTTCAATTTCTCTTCATTGGACTGACCCATTCTTTCTACTGGATGTGAAAGGGGTGCGAAATGGCTGCGGAACGTACTACATGGCAATTAGCCATTACAATGGACAGGGGCAGGACAGTGTAAAACATCCGGAAACTTTCAAAATAAAAGTTTCGTGCAGCGTGTCATTTCCTGTGAAACACCCGTAGGCGATGTAAACAGAACAGACATATCGTCTTTGTCAGATGATGTATCGGGTGCTGTACCTCGTTGTATGATGGGATAGCTGAGTGTATAATCACTGTGTGTCGTGAGCTCATAAACCATGCTACACTCGTGTTGTATTAAGGGCTGCCATGCCAGGTCATACTAGTACAAGAAGCAAAAAACTTGATAACGACGTAAGATTTTTTTGGTTTCCTGCTTGGATGAGAGCTTCTGGACAGAAAATAGGAAAACTAACAAAGAGATGCCTATGTCGCAGCTGTCTGAAGGAAGGACATAAACTTTCGAAACTGCACCTCCCCACATGTGTGATTGCTTGCAGCATTTTCATAAAGGAAGGTAAAACAGTTGTTTTGTGTAAGCCATCTAACTGACTGTCCGTTTTTGGGCCATTTAAAGTTGGTATCTCCCAAACATGAGGGGTAGCTGAACACAGAGGTGGGTAATTTACTCAGAAAATCCTTTCTTCTGCTTAAAATGTATTATGTTATTTATTTATATATATACATATATATTTTTTGTAATTAAAATGCCATTATTTGTACACGATGTTACTCAGTACTACTCATGGCCAGTTTTTACTTTTAATTGATAAGTATGCTTACTCAAGAGATATGTTTTTGGCAGTAATGAACGTTTGAGCTCCATTTGTGTCATTTGAGGTCGTAGGGATCTACGTTGCCAATTGTAGACAGTTTCTGAAAATACCGATCCCTAGGACTTCTGAAATCACGTGTGGTGTTGCAGTTATCCCGTGATTTTGTGACCTCATGGGATCAGCTGTGTGGAACGCTTTTGCTCCCATTTTGCGTCAGAATTCATTATCAACAGTAAACATGTACAAGTAACATGTACAAAATAGTAAAAGTCACAGTAGGTGTTATTTAAACTTTAATATAAGCTCTAACATTTAAAGTTTTCCCCAGCTGCAGCTTGTGTCTCACCTAGTTCATCCACAAGCAGAATCTCATCCTTACAGATCCGACCGCAGATGTTCTCGCTATACAGCTTGCCCCTCTTGAAGTGTTTACACTCCACGCACTCCCTACCAGAACAATAAATGATAACACACAATCACTTTATCTTAAATAAAACAACAACTTGATCCAACAATTTTGCATGGATGTTTGTGCTTTTTGCAGCCTCACTTCTTCATGGTGCAGGCATCCGGACAGGTGGGGCACTTGTCACATGTGGCTCCATAGGCCCCCAGCTGAGTGCACTCACACACCCCACAAACACACTGGCCTCTGCCGCTGCACAGGAGGCCCAGGCTGGACATGCAGGTGTCGGTCCGTTTGGAGCAGTTACAGTTCTCACCCTGCCAGTCTGGTGCACACTGACAGAAGCCACAGTTACAAACACCGTGACCTGAGAGGGAAGAAGTTTAGATTAACACTCGGATGAACAGGCTTTGCTTCAGCTCCCACATTTGGCATGTCGAGGTTAAATAAAGAGGGAAAATATGACCGTATACGTTCTCCAGACTGTGGTTAAATGTGGCAACAAGGAATTGTAATGATGAGGAATGTGATCTAAATGACTAAATGTTTGTTTTAAACAGTTTAACCAAGAGTGTTTGACTCACTTCACAAATTAAACCTTATTGCAGACTCTGTTGAGTAGCATCCTGTCTGTCTTTGTCTGATCAATGCATCATAACTACGTTTGCTGCAGTCCAGTCTAACTAACTATGGAGCTCTTCATTCAGGTACAAGTGCTTTTGATCTCAACTTAATTAATAGAAAACATTCTTTAAGTTGAACGTAATTGATTGTAATTATTTGTTCTCACTTTAAATACAACTATACCTATAAATCATTTGTTAATATTATATAAATAGATTGTTGACTAGTTAGCAAATAACATAAAATTATTGCAACAGTCCTAAGACACTGAAGAAGGCTCATTATTTGGCAAGAATCAAAACTTTATTAATCTTTTCATTAAATTCTTTATTACTATTTATCTTTAGTTTATAATACATTTAAAACTTCATTCAAAAATGAATATCAATGGATTATTTGAAAAGATAGTTTTATTGTAAAATGGTGCCTATTATTCTTAGGATTTTGTGTGTTTAAGGCAAAAATTTCAGTCTAACACAAGTAAAAAAAAAAAGTAATCGGTTGTGGTCAAATACAAGAAAAAGTACTGCTTGGGTGTGAGCACTTAGAAAATACAGAACTAAAGAAGAAAGGTTCCTACCACTCTGAAAAAGCAACATCCAGCTAACTCCTCTTAGCATCAACTGTGTCAAGAAAATCACAATTAATGTGAATTTAAAGTCACAAAACAGCACCATTTCACAACTTGAAACGTAAATGATTAAATATAGCTTTTACACAATAGTAGGTCATGAGCCTCTAATGGTTAGGTGGGGCTGAAGTAACCATGTCTGTGTTCGTTTTTACACCAACTAAAATCATGCTAAAATCAAAAAAGGGAGGGCTCTCATCCACCTGAACACTCAACACAGGCACCCCACAGGGACATGTGCTCAGCACCCTCCTCTACATCTTCTACATCAGTGTTTGCCAACCCTGGTCCTCAAGGCACACTGTTCTGTATGTTTTGCATGTTTCTCTTTTAAACACGAGTGTTTCCCTGCTGCCACACAGCTTACTTAAATGAATGAGTGATGGACGGGCATCTGCAGCACTTGGTGTCCTTCTGAGGAGGCAATGCAAATCTGGTGAGCTGAAGCAGAGACATGGAAAACATGAAGGTCAGTGTGCCCTGAGGACCAGGGTTGGGAAACACTGTTCTACACCCCCGAATGCAGACCAGCCCACAGCAGCAAATCATGAATAACATGACAGTAGTAGTAGGGATCCTGCAGGTCTCTGCATGGTGCTCTAACAAGCCAAGTCTGACAAAGGAGATCTTCCTGGACTTCATAAAACACAGAGGAGAACAATTACCCATCTCCTTCCAGAACAATATCTACTCATCCTGCAACCTCAGCCAAACACAGACCATCATCAGAGACAACACCCATCCTGCCCACCTCCTGTTTGACCTGCTGCCCTCTGGCAGGCACTAAAGGCACATTAGAAAAAGGTAAAGTTTCGGGTGGTGGTCTGAGGGACTGGTGGCGCATGTGCTCGGCAGCCTCACTTCTGTCAGTGAGCCCCAGGGCAGCTGTGGCTACATTGTAACTCATCACCATCAGTGTGTGAATGTGTGTTTGTGTGAATGGATGAATGATACACTGTTGTGTAAAGTGCTTTGGAGTCCTCTGACTCTGAAAGGCGCTTTACAAGTGCGGGTCACATTATCATTTCTTCCCCAAGCTGCACTAAACACTCCATATGTAATTCAATTAAATTCAATAATACTTTATTAATCCCAGAGGGAAACTAGAGTTTCAGTACACACAATTCTGAGATCAGACATACCTACATACACACACATGACAAGAATTGGTGACTGTGGTCATTCGCAACCCGAGTCGCGCTACCATGATAGATCAAGAGGGTTTATATGAGGACAGAGTCAGGGGGAAGGGAAAAAAAGGCACTTCAGAGTTACCCTCAACAGAGAGGGCAGCTTTGCTATGCAAAAAAACACCTCAGACAGAAATGTTCACAGACTTCAGACATTACACAACATAAGTGTCCACTAGGTGGGGAGGTGGGGTTGGGACTCTCCTCACTTCAGTGCGTGCAGCCGCAAAGCAGCGCGTTTCACCTCCGTTTGGACAGGGGAGGGAGACAATGGGTTAGAGAGCACAGTGACTCCTAGATACGGTTCCACGGCCTTCACCTGTCACAGTCCCGCCCAGGCTGGGATAAGGAGAAAAGTTACCATAGTGACAGCCGCATTCCGCATTTCTTCTGAGGGGGGAGTTTTTACTTCAGCCTCACAGGCTCCAAGGGCACCAGATTCAGATAAGAACTTGTTTTGGGACAGACAGAGATAATTTCCTCTCTGCCTTGAAGTTCTGTTGGTCATCAACCCCTCTAGATCCAATAATGGCGTAGTTAATCTATCCAAATCCATAATGATCCGTCCACAACTCTGTCCTTTATGGAATCCACCTTCTGGGTTAGAGCCTGAATCTCAGCCAAAGTTCCAAGCTTACGACTCATCTCGACAATTATATGAGTTTGTGCGTTCACAGCGTGATGCATTCCATCCCTGAGCTCCAGGATTGAGCCAATATTCCTTGAAAGCTCGTTAATTTTCCGGTAAGCCAGGTAACCGCTCAGGCCAAACAGCAGGAATCCTGACACCAAAACCATGAATATCCAGACATCTTCAGAATCCTCTACAGACAGTTGAGAGAGGCATACCAGGTTCCACTGTTTCCAGGAGTCCATGATATACCCAGCTGGCTCTGTCCCAGAGGGACATCCGGGAGCCCCTTCTCCCGTTCTCATTGCTGAAAAAATTTTGTCAATCGCGTTGAGAGACCAACTGACCAGGTCCATTTGAATAATTTCCAGTTTTCAGAAAAAAAAATGCAGAAAGCACAGAGCACAAGACAGGACAAAGAGCCTTGGGATAAGAGAGGGAGGATGAGGAGAAAAAAGCGTCTGTACTCTCCAGAACCGGAAGAAGAGAATTATAGAGTAATAATGTAAGCACAATGCCTTCCCTTTCAGAGGCCAGCAGCGTTTAATGTTGTGTTTTTTTATTTTACATTTCTTATCAATTTTACTTACATATTAGGACCATCACCTCTAAGTACCACCTTGCACTTTCATTGTGCCAACAGCATGTCCTGTTGTACTAAAACAGGGCAGCTTTCTAACTTCTAAGCTCATGTTATGACTAAAACACTTAGTGGTTTTATATTTGTGACTCTCTAGACTTGTGGTTAAAAACAGTGGAAATCAGAAGCGCTGACTAATGTTCCTGAAACTGCTGACCGTTAAAACCTGCTCTGAGGTGCTTCTTTTTTAGCTGCATGATTAAGGTAAAGCTGTGCACATCACTGGCTTGTTGTTACTCAGTACAACCATGAGTGACAGTGCAGAAAACTTGAGGTCTAGAGCCAGAGAAGATAATGCTCAGACCAACAATGACACAGGAAGCTGTTGGACGGACCAACTGGAGGAAAGATGTCATTACCATCTGACCTCAGGCTTTTAATTACACCAGTCTGTGGCAGGAAAAGAATGGCCATGGGTGACATGAGTATTTGAGGACCAAAGAAAGGCGGGTTCTGCTCAAACTCCCAGAACATTTTCAATCTCTTCTCTGACCAAACATGGATTTATTTTTAGCCTCATTACACCACATTCACCAGTGAGTAAGCTGAGAGGTATTTTCATGTTACTCCGTGGACTTTGGGGAGTACGGCTAAACATTTCTGAGTGAAAGGGGGAATGGAGAGGCACGGTGCATGAGATCCGATGATGTAATGATGCATTAGACAAAAGTGTGAGCCAAATCTTTGCATCATACATTTAAGCTTTGTTCATCTGTCTTTGTCTCCTGTTCTATATTTAATCTTAACCAAAGATTGTTGGCATTTAGGAAAACAGTCATGTTAGATCACTCTCATGTCTGTTCTTTAAATACAGAATGAATCTGGAGTTGATTAGTTTAACCCACATAACAAATTAAAGCTAAGGAAAAACAACAAAACTAAATACATTACAAATTATAACTAGGAGCTAAAGATTTAACTTGACTATTTCCATAGGTTGCTAAAACTTCTTCCTGTTATATAGCATCATTTCCAAATGGATGATGTCAATTTTGATCTTATTTCATTACTGAACCAAAGCAAGAACCATTATTATTACAGCAAATGACACTTATAAGCAAAAAACCTTAATTTTAGGTTTTCAAATCTAAAGCAAACACAATCAACCCAAAGTGAAGCGTGTATATGGGGCCAATATGTGAATGGAAAATTCCAACTTTACTATGTCTGTTGTGCTAACAGGCTCAGCTGATTGTTACATTACATCACATCTGTGACCGTGGTGAAGGATTTTAAAAACCTGAGTCTATTCAGTGGATGAGCTATTTGGAAATGTGCTGAAAAACAAGGATCAAAGAGAGAACAAGTAAATGATCATAGCACGTTTGACTAAGTTTGGCTTAGTGTGATGTAGAGGGGCGGAGACAACTAGCCTGCCTGCCAGACTCGTGCTCTAATTCTACACAGAGAACAATGCTTCCCATGAGGCAGCATGGGGCTAGCTGGTCAGGCTATGGAGACAAGAACACACATTTATGTAAAAAAATTCTTGATGCTCTGCTCCATAAGAATTGGTGATTTTCAAGTACAACACACCAAAAGGTTTTAAACTTGCTCTAATTTTGTTGTATTTTGTTTCAAGGAAGCCAGACTTTCTCATACTATTTAAAAAGTTGTAATCATCTACAGATTGATGATCTTTCAAAGTCTTTTCCTTTTGACTTTAGATTGTTTTTGGCAGTTCTGTTAACAGAATTAAAACAAAGGTTAAAAATAAGAGGTCAGGTGACAGATTTGAAGAAATAATGAATTATGCATGAAAGTCCTGAAACGGGACCTGAGATCCTCTATGGCTGGTTTTCAGTTAACTCTTTGGGAATGTTAGTGCCTAAAATACTATGATGTGTAATGTGATTATGACTAAGTTATATTTGGGGCACAACTTGTGTCTTTGTGAATTTATCAAATTCAAAGATGACTTTTCGCTTCAGTGTCTGTTGTGTTGAACCAAGACCAGCTCATCTCTTTAGTTTAGGAGCCCCTTTTATGCCTAGATTTCTGATAAAGCAAGAGTTAAATGACTGAAGTAAGAGAAGAATACCAACAATAGCCACTACTAGTTGGAAAACCAGCAATTAGGAACCTTTTTGAATATTAGTTTATTTTGCTGGCTCATCTTGTCTTTAGGTTTTTTTTACTCTTTACTCTTAGGTCATGTTAGTTTCCTCCCTGATTAGTTAATTGCTTTCACCTGGTTCTCTCTCCACACACCTGCAGCCTTCTGCCTCCCATTATGCCCCAGTGTATTTAAGCCCTGTCTGTGTCTCATTGTCTTGTCGGTCCATTGTTTTGTGTCAGTGTTGTTTTGTGCTCTAGGTGAGCTTTCGTTCTCCTGATGATCAGGACTTGGTTTTTTTGACTTCCTGCCCTTTTGGATTTTTGGTTCATCATCCTAATAAAAATGATTTTACTTTTAAACTGCTCCTGCCTCGTGTCATCTGGTGTTGTCTGCATCTTGGGTCCTAACCTCCTCCGAACCTGCAACGTGACAATGACGGAGTTTGTCCGACGGCCAACATTGATTGTTCCAGAGTGTTGGAGCCGTCACTAAGTAGGTCCAATCACCACTTGTTTTACATTTAGTGCGTGGAACAGTAAGTCTTGTCCAGCTGATCAAAGTCCCCATGATGGGGCATTTCTATTTCGCAAAGCAGCAAAGTAGGGAGGAGCACTGCCATGCAAGACTTTAAAAGCATAAATGAGGATTTTGAAATTGGCCTGCTAATGCACCTGATGCCAGTGCAAAGTCGCCAGGACAGGTGTGATGTGTGTTAAAAACCTTGCCACAGAGTTCTGAACAATTTGCTGCCTCGCAACATAGGTCTGGGTCACTCCAGCGTACAGCGAATTACAAAAATCCAGTCTCTGTCATGTGCGCTCAAGACAACAGTGATTTAATCCTAGAAAGTCGACGTAACTGGAAGAAACGCAATCTTAAAACAGTGTTTATTTGCTCATCCATTTGAAGAACTGAATCCAATTTTACCCCAAGGTCAGTGACAACTGTCTTCTCATTCGGGGCTAACAATGCAAGGTCATAGTAGTGGTTCATCAAACTCTTCTCACTAGGTTTAAAAACTAATTAGGGTTCAGGAAATGTAAAGACATCCAGGAACTGACATCTACCAAAAACTCTAAATGCATTTGGATTGATTACATTGAACGCAGCTGCAGCGGGAAATAGACCTGGCAGTCATATGCATAAAGTTAAAATTTTATGCCGTGTTTGTGGAAAACTTACTCTAATGACTGTAGGTACACAGCCAACAAGATTGGGCCAAGAATGGAGCCTTGTGGTACCCCCATTTAAGGTTCCTGCTGGAGGTTGAACACTATCCCACTATGACCCTAAAACTCCTGTCGATAGGATCCTACCCACGGCGAGGCTGACTCTGTGAGGCCAACCCACTGCTCCAGCTGATTTAGTAAGGGAGAAAGCCAGAAGTGTTATATATGACATCATCAACTCCTGGCAGAAAAAGAATCAGTTTTTGCTCAGTGATGCCAATCTCCCAAAAACCTGATCTTTCATTTCTAACTGTACTTAAAATTTCAGAAGAAACAACCTGATTTTCTCTCTCACACACAAACATGTGGTGAACACACAATGGCATATGTTTCTTGTGAAAGGAGCCCATGTCCTGTGCAAATGAAGAGTTGTTATTACATGTAATTCTTTCCAGATGAGGAGGGTGGTAAGTCAGCACAGTTTAAAGGTCCGAAAGCCTCAACGTTACCATAAACACGTTGTCTGGATCCACCAGGTTTATAAACAATATTCACCATGGTCAGTGGGTATGATGGAAATGTTTGTGTTGCACTAATAGAAAGCATAGAAGTTAGAAGGTGCAGAACATGTGATAAACAATGGGTGTTGCTGAAAGACACAAACATTTGTTTACATCCTGTGATTTCATCAAAGCGGAGGATAAAGATGCTTGTCTGGTTGGTTCCTGCTCTTTGGAGCAGATCAGACCTAGCATCAGGAGGAGGGCCTCATCTGTACCTGGTTTTCTCGCAATGTGACTGAAATAACTTCAGATTCAAAGACAACCAGGGACATTCTCACTGGCATGTGGAAAATTTTTCCAACATAGTGGATCATTTCTATCATCAAAGTGCACTCATATAAGCAGGTCAATATTAAGTAATGTAATGGTCTGAAAAAAAAGTGTCATTTGACTTAAATGTAGATTTTTAAAAAGCAATAAGTAGAAATTTATTTCACTACATAAAGCTGGGAATTGATTTCCCCCTTTTTTTTAAAGATGTTTCTAATTTTGAGGATTTTTATTCATTCAAAATTTCAGCTTATGAATATTCAAAATTTCATTACATTTATTTTTAATGGTGACCCAAGCCATTTATTATTTAAGAAACCTTTAAAGTAGGTAGTTTTTTTAAAGCACGTTTCAAGACAAAAAACATCAAAGTGTTAAACTCTAAAACAAGTTAAACAAGAGCAAAGAAGGCCAAACTAACTAATTCTATTATGAAAAATATAGTTTTGAGTTTTGAGCTGTTATTTAGGGATGTTGCTCACCATGGGGGTGTTGAGAGCTGGCGACTTCTCGGATTTTAACAGTGAATTTAAAACTGACAGTTTTACATTTGACCTCAAACCTTCACTCAGATTTTCTGTCTTTTTGGACAAGACAAAGAAAATGAATCCCAACAGAATTATCCATTTTTAGCTTCATGAGCGTAACACTGGCTGCATAGTGGTGCAGGTGCACCAAATAAAGTGATTTTAATTAGACCATGATGCCTAAACTTTCTTCTTTTGTGGTTTAAACAGAAGCAGATTCATATTTTAGTATTTCTGAAGACTAACTAGATAAAAATACATTTTGTTCAAGTTTAAGGAAATGTGCAGCTCATACCTGAGCACAGTTCTCCTTTGTAGTGCAGGCAATTGAAGTCATCACACTCACACAGCTTGCCCCACACCTTTCCAAAGTCACTGCTGTGACACACACACTGGCCACACACACAGTCCCCACGGCCGCTGCAGATGGCAGACTGGGATCCTCCAGCTCCTGCGGGTCCACTGCAGCGGTCCTGCTCGGTGGGATTATAGTCACCCTCTGCACACTCGCAGTACGGGCCCAACCGATCCGGGTGGCACAGACAGATCCCACACTCATAGGTGCCGTTGCCATGGCTACATTTGGGACTGTTCAGCTGGGTTTTGGTCTGACACTTGCAGTCACACTCAAATGTGACAGTAATAGAGAGAGAGTCTTTGAAGCCAACTGGTTTTATGACGAAGGTTTTCTTCTTTTGTTTGGGGCAACCACGAGCACGCGCCTCCACACTGAAGGAGACCTGCAGGAGAGGAATCCAGATGAAAACGTTCAGATCCTGCTTTAAGACTGAAGTTTGCTTAATTGCTACTTATTTGTCCTTCTTATCAAGTTATTATCAGAGGAAGCATTCCTCTGCCTCCAAGTGCACTCGATGGGATTGTTCAGTCAGCATTGCACCCATTTCTGGAAAATGTCCAAAAGTGGGCAGGTACTAGCATGGAGAGAGATCCAAATATGGAAATAATAAGAGGAGCCTAGCCAGAGAGGGGGAAATGTGCAGAGGTTAGACAATATCACCTAGACTGGAGAAAACCAGCAGAGAGACGCTGAGATACAAAAACAACACAAAAGGAAAACTTTCACAATAAGAAAATGGAAAATAACCCATCTTTTTGACACCACGTGGAAAAGGAAAAAATAAAACTTTTAGACATTTAAATAGCAACAATGAGGGAAACGGAAAAATCAAGCAGACCATGCTTCCTAAACTTAAAGCAAAAATAGAAAACGGAACATGTTTATCTTTGCTCATACGGACAGGATTATAGCTCACAAGTGTGTACAGATTATTAAAGTAAAATCTGTGAAGTGAATTATGCAGCTGGACACTTTTTAGAAGCAAATAGACTTTGTCTTACAAATAAAAGTAGGAACACGATTTGAAATCACCAGGAGATTCTGACATACTGACCACTCGAGATACAAATCCAGTACATTAAATTGGCCTTGTAAATGCGCAGAGAAGTCCATGTTAACAAACCGTGTCCCCTATTTTGAGCCCAGAGCAGGATTTGAGGCCTGGGATGAGCTCGCCATTCAGGCAGGTGGCGTTAAAGGACAAAGACAGCTCCTCAGGGACACCGAGAAGCTCCAGCTCCACCTTCGACCGGATTTTCTAAAAGCACAAACACCACACTGATACAGCTATAACAGGTGACTTTACAACACCACATTTCTATGAGATATAAATGCTTCAATCTTAAATTTAGGTTTAGGTGTCTCTCAGCAGGAGAAACACCACATGTGTGTGTGATGTCCCTAATTTGATTATATATCAAAAGAAAAGCATACTTTTGGACAGCTTCACTCTTCAGACATTTTGGTGTTTCTGCAAACACTCTGGCTGAACGCGCGTGACTCAGACACTCTGGGAGTATGTGTCAACAAACATCGTCTAGCCAGAGATGAATGTGTGTGTAAAAGTGTGCGCGCGAGTGTGTGTTGTGCTTACAGCGTAGGCTTTTAGGATAAGTTGAATAACATTTCCAGAGTCGTTGGACAGCCGCCCCACTGTGGTGCCAGGTATCAGCTCACTGTAGTTCTACAGAACACAAACACAGTCAAACATCAACACATTTGTCTTCAAACACAGGGTTATGGAACACCCGCCAGGTATAAAACACGTTAAAATAGCACTAAATCATAATTTAAATTGTGTTCAGTTTTTTTATTGCAGCACAAACGTGACATGTTTTTGTTAGGATGCTTTCTTGCCAAAACATTTTTGTTGTGTTTGAAATAAATTAACACTCAGTGTTCAGTCACATGATGTAAAAGAGGAAATCCTGTTGGTTATAATAACTTTTATGGTTTGTCAAAACCTCATGTTCACGTGAAAACGTGCACATACTTTGCACAGTTTTGTTCAGTTTGCACTGCCCAAATGGACAGGAAATGAGAAATGTGTTTTACATTTATTGTCGTCGTCGTCTTTCTCCGCTTATCCGGGTCCGGGTCGCGGGGGCAGCATCTCAACTAGGGAGCTCCAGACCGTCCTCTCCCCGGCCACCTCCACCAGCTCCTCCGGCAGGACCCCAAGGCGTTCCCGGACCAGATTGGAGATGTGACCTCTCCAACGTGTCCTGGGATGACCCCGGGGCCTCCTGCCGGCAGGACATGCCCGAAACACCTCCCCAGGGAGGCGTCCAGGACGCATCCTGACCAGATGCCCAAACCACCTCAACTGACTCCTTTCGATCCAGAGGAGCAGCGGTTCTACTCCGAGTCCCTCCCGAATGTCCAAGCTCCTCACCCTCTCTCTAAAGCTGAGCCCGGCCACCCTACAGAGGAAACTCATTTCGGCCGCTTTCTTTCGGTCAATACATCACAAATAATTATACATGCACTAAAAATGGCCTACTGTTATATTTTTAGCTAATAAACGCATTTAGATATTTTGCTTTTCAGCTGCAGAGTTACTTACTGTGAGACTGAGCCATCATTACTGAGGAAGACCAGAGCCATCCTCAGAATCACGCTCCTTCTCATAAACCAAGAGCAAAATCATGCACACCCCACAAAGGAGGATATTTACGTCTTCATTGGTATTCCTCTCCAGAAAAATCCAGACATTTTTCTCTTGTTATAATTGGCACACATAAACTGTCCAAGCTCACACACTTTAGTTTTAATTGTTAGAAGAGTAGTAAAGATATTTTGAGACGCATGTGTGGAGTTGAATGAGAGCACGACATAAGTGTTTGTGGTCTTTGGAGGCAGAAAGCTCAAAATTTTAAATTCTTTTTAAGGGTTTGTTAAAAAGTTGTCATCCCATGTTGTAGTAGTACCAGAAACAGGTAAACAGGTGAAAAATCAACCCAGCGCCCAAGACTGCACAAATCCTGACACGTCTGCCAATCCTAAACCTGCATGTGACCAAAACACAGATGGGCTTAAACATCTTAGCTTGACAAAACAGAAAAACATCTCACAAAACGAGAGGAATCCCACTGCTGCCACCATTTGTTAAGATAAAACCTGACAGAAAAACTTTAAAGAAGCTTCAGAAATGCTGTAGTTTATAGGAAATAACAAGCGAAACACTTTAGCTTTTTTTCTGAAATATTCAGACTGTTGAGGAGTTAATAATTTTTTTTATTTTCTGCATTATTTTACTGACTTGTTGCCACTTTAACAGGTTAGGAAATGTTCTTCAAACTGGTTTTCTTTGGCCTTGAACGACCTTTTATATTCATTTTTACCCTAAGTTTAAACATTTGCTTTATCAACTTTGCACACTTTTCTATCGAACAGATATTTTAAATATTCATTTTAGCTGTTAGTGTTTTATCCAATCACTCAAAGGGATGTAAGAATACACTGATACAGTGAAAAATCGTGATATTTTGTGTTATGATACTGAATCAATATTTAAAGGCAGGCGATTGAACTTTTAATTGAAAATGTACATTCAAACGTTTATTGTATTGCTTCATGCAGTGCAACTCAAACTCTGACTGCTGGGTGGTGGCCCATTTTACTGCCTTCATACTGACTGAACGAGATCTCCCAATAACACTGGATGTGTCTCGGAAGTGTCTGGCCCGGGAAGTACATTTAAATTTACCAATTTCACACAGGTGGTCCTGCAAGGTCACCAAATGACCGGAGAACTGCAGAACTACACATGATTTCTGTATTTCACGCAATAGCAAGCATAAAGAAACACGGCAGCATGAATCTAAAAAAGTCTGTGGTTTATTCTCTGCCCTGTTTACCTGTAGAGGTTTCACAAGTAATGACGTGCTTTTTTAAAAATGCTATTTTAGTAGCTGAAATTCCACATGGGACTTTTAAATAGAAAGCTTCCAGATGTTTTACAGTACTTTTATGTTTGACTTCCTGTCCGGCCTGATCTGAACTGCTGAGCCTGATGCATTTTGGAAGCGTAGTAAAAAATAGACTCGGATAATCACAAATGTCGTGTACCTACGTTTCTGACAAGACTCCAAAACGCAACACTTCACGGCCAGTGGAAACGCATCCATCTACTATAATGGCAGCTAATTGCTGCGTACTGCGTTTTACAGACATTAGTTGATGCTTAAGCATCAGGTGGACAAGCCTGGTCAGGCTTAAAAATCACAAATTTCATCTGGCTTTCAGTATCGCAATATAAGCTTTTGTGTGGTTACCCCTTTATTCTGATTTCCATAATGTTGCAATATTTTTGCCCAAACTTTGACTGATTCTACAAAACAAGCTAGGCTTTGAACACAAACACGATCACAGAACACTCACCCCTCCCCTCATGTAACTTTCCTGGTTCCACATGCGCCGGAACCGCAAGCCCACATTGCCAGGGGAAATGAGATAGAGCCGTTTTCTAGGTCTAAATGTCTCTTGTTGTCCGTGACTTCAAATTATGTTTATCTTTTTGGGACTCTGGTAGTTTGCCCTGAAGTTGAAGTGGTAGCAGCCAGCTATTTCTCCTTTTCTGATATTGTTCAGCGGAGAATAAGTCTCACTCTGGTTTCACATTGAAAGCATCAGCAGAGCGGAATAGCAGCGGAACGTCACAACTTAAAAAATAATCCATTATAGTTTATGGACTGTTTCAAACCAGCAGCAATGCAGCGATTTCCAGGCGTGTCCCAGAAGCTGCTCGCCGTGCTGTGCCGCTAAAGGTAGGATTGGGTTCTACGTATATTTGCAACGAGCCGCTTCAGGGATGCGCTAAAGTCTCTTTCCGGAGTATTTCTCTTATCCGATGGCACCATCTAGTGGCTGACAAGCATATCAAACAAAAAGTCAGTCGCTCCATTTTTTTTAAGATGGAAACTTCACGTTTCTTGTTTATAAATGTGCTTCTGTAGCCGACTAACAGAGCTAAAACACGTTGTTTTACAAGTATTGTTCTCATGTCATGCTGTGTTCTCATATATTTATATTTTAAAGACTTACTTGTCCATGAAAAGTTCATCAACTCTGCATCAGCCGAGGTATTCCTTAAATTTGAAGCATGTAAGCGGCAGTCTAACGTTATTGGTTAGTTCTGGTTAGCGCTCAGTTTCCTATTGCACGGAGCTCTGCGGGACAGGGGGTGTGCTTAGTATTGCTTACATTATATCACAGTACATGATAAGATAATCACTTTTACGGATTTCTGAAAAATCATACATCATTTCTGAAAAGAGAAAACTCCGGAAAGCCACTTTTACATCAACAGTTAACATAGGGCTAGACAGGAAATCACACATTGTTACAGTGTAAAATCCCAGGTAATTTTCAAAATAACAGTACTGTAGCAATGCAATTCCTTATACATGAAGCTTACGTGTGACCCAACGGCTCATTTACTCCCAGCATTGTTCCAGAAGTGCAGCTGTGTGTTTTTATGGCTTTAATCCTGGCAGTGGAGAGGAACAACATCATATTTGACATCAAACAGCGATATCAAACGTGATTTCCTTCTTTTTGGTTTAACTGGCAGTTGGCATAAACAAACCTTGATCTGAAGTCTCGAGGGACCATGTGATCTTGTGAGTTCAGCAATGAACACAACGAGGAAGCCATGCCGCTGCCAAGACTCTCCCGGTGTCAAAAAGACCACGTTGAAGTTCACGAGTTCCCTGCCGCTGTTCGCCGCCGATGCTTCCGTGAAACCGAGGTCACGCCACTGGTGTTCTGTTGCTAAATACGTGAGTGTGTAACGAGTGGAGGACCCAGGGAAGTGCAGAGGTTCTGTGAGACAATCGATGGTCCAATAGTTGCTTTCGGTCCGAAACGTGTTATTGGTGGAGGTTTTAAGACAAATGCAAGATAACCACTTCATTAAAAAAATCTTTTAAATCTCCACACTGTGTTTTTAACTATCCTACGTTAGAACGTTGTTAATAGGTAGGAAAATAAGTTTTCTTTTCCAAATTTGCCATTGTAGCTTTAAAGGTGTGTATTTTGAGAGAACCAAGTCAATAACTTTCAGTTGTTGAACTGTGTTCAAAAAGAGGGATGTTTGAGTTTCTGTTTAACCTCCAGAACAACAGCCAAGAGTTTCTATTTTTAACCCAAAAGGTTTGTTTGTTAAACCAAACTCTGTTTCGGGGTGGCCAATCCTGGTCCTGGAGGGCCGGTGTCCAGCAGGTTTTAATTTTTAACCCTGCCAAAAGTGAACCTGACAACCTGACTTCAACACCTGAATTCACAGGTGACTCAACCACTGACTCAAGTGTGTTGGAGCAGAAAAACCACAAAACCTGCTGGATACTGGCCCTCCAGGACCAGGATTGGGCACCCCTGCTCTATACGTAAATGAGAAAATCATTGAACTGACCTGGTAGAGGGGAACCACAGAGTTGGTGACAGCAAAGATCAGGTTGATGTTGTTCTCCGACATCTTCTCTGTGATCAGAGCCAGAGATGGGTAGTCCTGAGGGTCAAATTGGACCATGTGGTACAGTCAAAAGAAAATAAAACGCCCTTTGTAGACGTGCATGTTCAGATAAGGGTCACACTGACCATGGTGGTGGACATTCTGTACATATTTTCTGAGTTGAGGTGGCACTGGCCGTCATTGGGCTGAACAATTCCAGCCAGTCGACCGTCCAGAGCCATGTGAGTTTTGGCATCAGAGGTGAAAATCAGGAGGTGGGATGCTCCGGGACGCCAGCCGATCTGCTCCTGATTTATGTAAAAAAACAAATCAAACAAAAGTTACATTCATTCTTTCATGTCTTTTTATGTAACCACAAAGCATTTATGGGTATGACACAAGCAGAGAAGAATGCAATATAAAGCCAAGTGTTGGGTGAGACAATAGCCATCTCTCCACCTTGCACACAGCAGCCTGGATGATGGCGTCAAAACCCCCCTCTGGGGCGTCTCGGTTCCTGGACACCATCTGCTTCTTCACCTCCTCTGTGAAGCGACCCACTTCCTCCGTCAGAGACAGAACGTGTTTGTAGCCAAACTGAGGCAGACAGGTGGTGTTAATGCTGTCAAGTAAAGAGAAATTAGCCGCTTAATTCAGATCAGCGTTACCCCAGGGCCTTTAAAAGTGATGTCCTGTTCTATTGCTATCTCCAAGCTGAGCTGGTCTGTTGGATTCATTGGTGTCGGTGGAGAGCTTTACCGACCAGAGTTTTACTTCCTGTTTCATTTTGTAGAGTTGCTTCCCTTTAGTGATGCTCTAAGAACTTCTATACTCTGATTAAGACTCTTGTTATTCATATGTGATTTCTGTATTTATTACCAGAATCTTGTCATCTTCCTTTGTTCTCCTGGACTTAGTTCAGCTCTAAATCAGCTTCATTATGAAATTCAATTTATTGTCCCCGGGGAGCAGAGTGTACAACACACACACACACACACACACGCGCACACACACACACACACACACACACACACACACACACACACACACACACACACACACACACACACACACACACACACACACACACACACACACACACACACATGTGTCTTTCCATCATAATGAGGACCCTCCATTGACTTCCATTCATTTTTGTGATTTCACCAAGCCTAACCCATACCCCAACCCTAAATATAACCAACGCTGATCTATTCCTAACCTTAATCTTAACTAAAACTTAATTCACACTTTACCTCTAACAAGTATAGTAAGCTTCTGGTATGCTTCTAAAAAAGTGATGACCAAAAAAATTTCCTCACTTTGTAGAGAAAATGGTCCAAATGGTCCTCAGTATGTAGTATGTACAAGAACACACACACACACACACACACACACACACACACACACACACACACACACACACATACACACACACACACACACACACACACACACACACACACACACACAACACACACACACACACACACACACACACACACACACACACACACACACACACACACACACACACACACACACACACACACCAATAAACTCTTAAAAGAACAACAAAGAAAGACAACAGTGTTTTCAAAACTAAAAGAGGAATGTGGTCTAGATATTCTTCATGATCTTTAGACTCTTAAAGGCCTGGAACTTTCCTATCTCCAACCTTTAAACATTTAAAACTCTTGTAAAGACCCACTCTGACTCGCTAGGATTCAACCAGATTAGATTAGACTATTTGATACTATTCTTTATGTTAAATTGTCCAATGATAGAATGTCTCTTGCTTTGAAGGTCCATGCTTTACTAACATGACCCCTCATATTGTGTGGTATATTTTTACCATTTGTTTCACTGTTTTTACTTTTCAGACACTGAACAAACACCATTGCAGGGCAAATAAATAAATAAAAAATAACAACCCAGTAATTTGTGAAATCCAACACTGAGATAGTACTTTAGTTTTATTTTAAACTTTATTTGTAATTCCAAACACATTGTTTAAGACAATAAAAAGTGAGGACCATGGTGAGGACAGCCTCACCCAGCCCGATCCTGACAGACAAAATCACTTCCTGTTGATTGTTGTGGTCACATTCTGCCCACATGCTAGGCCATATATGATCACCAGTTGAGAATAAGCTGCACTTGTTCTTCACCAGACGTTTGTCTCGCAAGAACAAAGTGGAAGAGATAAAAACTGAGACATTTGTTGTAAGAATTAGCTACAATTTGCCAAAAGAAGAGCAGAATCCACTGGCAGAAGTTTAACTGATGAAACTCAATGGCTTCTGCAAGGCGACTAAAGTCACTGTAGTATATAATCGCAGCTGCAGTGGTCTATTTTACGGGCATATTAGATATGTGTTTGCTTTAATAAAGGTTGTTTAAAGGCACACTTGGAAGTCTTGCTTGCTTTATTTTCCTCTAGTGTCAGTTTGTAGAACCAAAAGTGAAACTTATTTCCTCGCTGTGCATTTGTCTTTTTAACACCTTAATCTAACAGCTGAAATGCCTTCCCAGTCTTCATTAGTTTCTACAGGAATGGTTCATCACTAAATCTAACATATGAGCTGTGTTCATAAGCAATGCAGGAAATGTGCTCCACCAGGTCAGCTTTATTTTTTCTAAGTCCAACAGGTGGCAGCCTGCCACTCTGAAGTTGCAAGTGTGGTATTCTGGCCACAGAGGGCGGTGGGGGTTTGAGTGGCATTTCATTAACCTTGTAAAGGGTTATTTTAGCATATACTAGCTCAAGAAAATGATTAAAAAATATGAAAAAGTTGGGTAGTATGCCTTTAAGAGGGGCTTCTGCACTGACTTAACCTCTTCCTCTTCATACTTTACATGGCCAAACTGAAATTCTTCACTTGCGTTATCTTTAATTCAAGCATTCCTCTTTTGTCTGACTCTGTTTATACAGAATGTAAATGTCCCCTGAGACATTTAGCCAAACATAACAACTCAAAGCCCGGGTGATATACGGTGCAGCAGCTTGTTTTTAGACTCCTACTCTAGAGAATGATTCACAGCAGCTGACCGCGCACTTGTTGGAGCTGCCGTGAGCCTTTAACAACCGCTCTGCCTCCGTCTGTGCTGCTTCCAAGCTATATTGTGATTAAAGATGTCCTTACAGAGTAACGTCACCTGCAAGGTGAAGCTACTTTCCACACGCAGACATAAACAGCTACTGAAGACAATCCTGATGGGGACAAATCAGTCTGGATTCTGTTTAGGTACATGTGTAGAAACAGTTCACATGGATACTTCTGTTTTTCTTTAGTATTTCACTTTCAGCATTCTTCATATGAATTTTTTTAGCCTAAATTATTTTTGCTAGTAAGGAATCAGATTCTAACGGTTCAGGTCACATGACAGACTGTTTAAAGACAAGTCAAACAACAAGTCACAAAGAGTTGTTCCTATTTCCTTTGTTAAATCTATGAAAAACACCATAATATTTTTGTTTGGTTATAAAATTGTGTTTTGCAGTATTCATACCCCATTGAACACAGCTTGACACCTTGCAACCCCATACTTGTTTTTATTGAGATTTTCTGTGATAGACCAACACAAAGTAGCACATAACTGCTAAGTGGAACAGAACTGATGCATGGTTTTAGAAATTTGATCCGGCAAATAAAATCTGAAGTGTGGCGTGTTTTTATTAAGCCCCCTGTGCTTTGTGGAGCTACCTGCTGCAAGTCTTTTAGGGTATGTCTCTACCAGCTTTGCACTTTTGAGACAGAAAATGTTGCCCGATTGTTGCTGCAAACTAGCTCAAGCTCATCCAGACTGGATGGAGATAGTCTGTGAACAGTAATTTTCTAGTCTTGCCACAGATGCTCAGTGGGATTAGGTCTAGACTTTGACTGGGCCTTTGTAACACGAGTATTCTTTGATCCTTTCCATTGTAGCTCTTGAAGTAGTTTTAGGTCATTGTCTAGTTGGAAGGGGAATCTCCTTCCCAGTCTCAAATCCTTTGCAGCAAACAGGTTGTCTTCCAGGATTGCCCTAATTGATTCATCTTCCCATTAATTCTGACCAGCTTCCTTGTTCCTGCTGAAGTAAAGTATGCCCACACCATGATGCTGCCACCACCGTGTTGCACAGATGGTGTGTTCAGGGTGAAGAGCTGTGTAACTTCTCCAGCCACACGTGGAGCTTCGGTCTAGTCCAGGGGTCGGCAACCTGTTCCCATCAAAGAGCAATTATTACCCGTTTCCCACAGTAAAGAAAACACTGGGAGCCACAGCAGCCGCGGCGTTGTGGGCGGGGCCTACCCTCAGACAGCAGAGAGCTGCTCACAACAGGTGACAGCAGCCAGTACCGGTCGCTCGTGTACGTCAAAGTTATCTTTCATAAGATGATAATCAATAAAACGATTTATATAAAGTGGATCCAGAAGTTGTAGCCCGTCTCTGTCTACAATATTTTGATATTTTTCACCCTGTTGGTGGTTTTACTGAGCAGGTGCCACTTTTGTCATACGTTTCTTTTTAAAACATGTTTAGACTGTTCAGAATACAAATCCAGGCTCTGTCACATTTGATTGTTGTAATTAAACTTTGCAGGTGGGGAAGGTCAGAAAAGGATCCGATCAATTTGTTTTCCCCTCATTTACAGTGACGGAGACAACGGCGCAGTGCGCCTGGCTCTGGTGTTAATCAAGTTAAATTATATCTCTTTGCAACAATTTTCACAAGAAAACAAAACAGTTAAAAGCAGGGCTTGTGTTGTGTTGACCGGACAGTTCCCATATTTGACCGTTTATTTTGACGGAGAAAGAATAGAAAGAATGACCCCGACGCATGCAGACGAACTGACACTTTATTCGTTACGCACATCGCAGATGTAGCTAAATCACTCAAGAAATGATTCCCATTTGAACATCTGCTTTTTTTGGAAACTGAATTTCCCGAAGGAATTCACCCGAGGGATTAATAAAGTTTTTTATTATTATTTATTATTTATCTGAGCTGGACACTGCTCAGCGCAGCTCACTGTCAGCGTGTACTACATAAGGTCCACAGCGAGCTGAAGATGTGGAGAGGGGCTTGGAGCACGTCGCAGAACCAGAGCGCATGCGGGAAGATTCCTCCGACTGAAGCGAGACTTGTCACTTAGAAAATGTTCCCTGATTATGAAACTTTGGCTGAATAGCGTTTGTTCCTGTCTCCAATGTGGCGACACATCCAGGAGCCGTCTGAGGAGAATCCCAGAATCTCACATCCTCTTCAGCTCAGAAAGTGCCTATGATTACGCACAAGCCTGACCCGTCAACCCGGGTTGGAACTGTTCAGGTTTACGCAGACAATCTTTACATTTAGAATTGGCATACAGATGTAAAATTAATGCAGTAAAATATAAAGCATCCATTTGTTATTTTACAAGCACAGAGAGCCTCATCAGATGGATGGAAGAGCCGCGGGTTGCCGACCCCCGGTCTAGTCTGACCAGAGCACCTTCTTGCAGATGTCTGCTGTGTCCCCCACACAGCTCCTAAACAGGACTTTTTATGTCTTTCTGTCAAAAGTAGTTTTCTGCTCCCCACTCTTCAATGTAGGCCAGATTGCCCCGTGGACAGATTATCACACCTGAGCTGTGGATATGTGCAGCTCCTCCAGAGTGACCAAGGGTCCTTGGAAGCTTCTCTGACCAGAGCTCTCGTGGCTCGGTCTGTCAGTAAAGGTGGGCGGCCATGTCTTTGTAGGTTTGCAGTTGTAGCATATTATAACCTAGCCCTGCTTTAATCTGATCTAAAACTTCATCCCTGACCTGTCTGGTGAGTCTTTATGATGCTGTGTGTTCAATATTGTTCTCTAACAAACCACTGAGGCCTTTACACAATAGGTGTGAATACAAATGAACACCACACTTTCAGATTTGTATTTGCTTGAATTTTTGAAAACCATGCATCAGTTTCTATGAACTTCATAATGATGTGCTACATTGTGTTGGTCTATCTGTGATAATCTCAGTAAAGACATTTAAGTTTGTGGTTGTAGGGTGTCGAAATGTAAGAAAGGCTATGATTACTTTAGCACTAACAGTGTGGTTGACACAGAGATGAGGACATGAGGTATTCAGTCCTGTTTCTTAAAGAGCAAGTCACCCCCAAATCAACATTTTTTGGCTGATAAACGATATAAATGAGTGTTGAATCGTGCTGTAGACATGTGTAGTCAATAATTTTGCACTTTAGAGCATTTTAGTTAAAATAAAAATTTTCTGCCTAAAACTGTCAGTGTTGTGCCGTCGTCAGGTTAAAAACTCTACACTGCATTTGAATTTAAACCCACCATCGCTATCGGCTAAGAGGTACACTATGACGTTGGCTGGAACATTATGATGTCACAATGTCATTGTGAACCTGTGTGTGTGTGTGTGTATTTGTTAGCGGCTCCGCCCTCTCGGTCTGCGAGGCAACAGCATTATTTGCATTTTTCAAACAGGAAGTGGGAGTGGGGTAAGACTCTGGTAGGGGGTGACTTGCTCTTTAAAGACACAACTTTCAGATATATATCATCTGCTTTAGAGGTCGTGTTTTAGTTCTGAACATGTCTTCTGTTGCCCTCCTCTTGTCCAGCCTAAGCACGCACTGCTGCATAAAGCACTGATAGGCTCAAGTCAAAGACCTGAACAGGAAGAGTGAAAATGCAGCCAATTTCTAAGAATAACCCTTGAAATGTCTACAGAAAACCTGAAGAACTTTCGATCAAGGCTTAGACACACAGGGTCTGCCTGCTTATGGTTAAAGGGATACTACGCAACTTTTTCATATTTTTAAATCACTTTCTTGATCCATTGGGTGCTAAAATGACCTTTTACTGGGTTAATGAAAGGCCACCTAGCATCAATGTGGATTTGGGTGAAGGTTTTTTCCCACAATCCATTGCTGCTTGAGAATATTGAGAAGGCGGAGCAAAAGCTCAAGTGCCTTTTTTGAAAATATGTATTTTCAAATGAAAGAAGTTTATTTTAGAACAATTAATAATATTTATTCATGCTCTGAATGTTTTAGATGAAGATTTAATGTGGACAGCAATTAATGTAAATCAAATCAAATAATTGTTTGTTTGTTTGTTTGTTTGTTTGTTTGTTTGTTTGAAAGTTGTTAATAAAGATTTTTTGTAAAAAGTAAAATCTCGACCAGAATCCTGGCATGAGACGCGTTCCATGACGCAATGCTCTCTGTACCAATTCGGCTAATTTTTGCACACCTGTGTGCCACGCACTCGAAGCCTTACTGCACACCTCCTCCAAGTACACGTCACAGAAGATCGTAGGGCACAGTGCGAGTGTTGAGATTGGGTCTTGGGAAAAAATGGAGCTGCAAATGCTGAAATGTCACTCAGACCCCCATCACCCCTGTGGCCAGAATACCACACTTGCAAATTCAGAGTGGCGGGCCACCACCTGTTAGACTTTGAAAAAATTGAACTGACATGGTGGACCGGACTCTGCTTCCAGCATGTTTTAGATCATGAACACAGCTGATTTGTTTAATTTAGTGATGAATCGCTCCTGTAGACACTCATGAAGGCTGGGGAGACATGTCAGCTGTTAGATTAAGGCGTTAAAAAGACAAACGTACAAGGAGGAGATAAAGTTTGCTTTCGGTTCTACAAACGGACGCTAAAAGCAAGCCAAAACCACCTTGTCTCCCTTTAACATAAAAGCATTACATGCGGTGAAAAAATTACATATTTTTTTTATATTTGAGGAAATGTATAAACTCTAAATTGTAAATAAAGTTTAAAGCAGCTTTTAATGTTAGAACAACGTTTTCCTGCTATGTTCTACTTGATTGTGAATGAATTGTGAAATCAAAATGATGTCACTGAAGACCCACCTGACAGATTTGAACAAAGCTCAAAAGTAAACATTTAATCTTATATTTTCTATTTTGGATGTTGAGGTTATGTTGTGGCTGAGGACAGCACATGCACAGCTTTGTACCTGTAGCAGGGGTTCCTCACAGCCTCCTTAGGTGAGATGTACATGTAAGGGGAGAGCGGCTTGTCCACAAAGGCACCGAAGCCCATGCGTAGGTTGCTGGTTGTGCGGCTCATGGCCTCAGCCAGGCCTCTGCCCAGCGTCCTTAGTCGGAACAAGTCATCGTTCATGGAGTAGGAAAGATCCATGAGGTAGTACAGGTCAACGGGGTAGTCTTCCACCTGGCGCACCTTCACCGTGAAGCGCTTGGCATCATCTGGAACATGTCATTTTCTTAGCTTTATTGATTCAAATGTCTTCTGAATTAGTTGCAGCAAACTTGCTGGTTTATGTTTTATTCATGGACCCACCTGGCCTGAGAGTGATGTGCAGCTTTTGGGGTTTTATCTGGGTAACATCTTGTGTGGCGCCTGCTGCCTTGTTGCTAAGCGGCCGGTCCTCTATCACCTGTAGTTTGCTGGTCGGAGACTCCAGAGATGGCGAAGCACAACCGGCTGCCAGCAGGTTTTTCTTTAGATCACAGCGAGATGAGCCAGAGAAGTCCTGACAGGGGTGGAAAAGGTTTCACAGAAAAACAAGTCCAGCTTGTAGATTCATCAAAACCTTTAATGGTTTAAATCTGAATTACAAAATACTGAGGAACAAATCAGACATTGAGCTTAACACTTTAATCTCTCGGGATGGTTTTCCTGAGTTTAACAACATTACATCATTGCTTTTATAGGTTTGAATCAAAAAACATGACTTTATCCTCAGGAAATCAGTCACAGGATGTGATTTACGTAGCAGCTAATCTAAATCTGGAAAACTTTTTTAACTGTAGAAAAGAAGTTAAACTTTAAACTTCCAGAATAGATCGTTTCTGGCTGATAAGAGGGTCTGTGTCAGTTTGGCCAGAAAAAAAGTTCATTACTTATAAAGTGAAGCAATAAAAACGAACACTCACCTCTTGGACGCACCAGGCACAGCTGGGGTGCACGGCCAGACACTGTTTACACGTGCTGGCTCCTCTGGAGGTGCACACGTTGGAGCCTGAAACAATGAAAAGAAGAAGAATCAATCCTCCAGATCAGTTGTCTTTGAGAGAGGAAAGCCTGTTAGTGTCTTTTACTAATGTAGCGGTGTCCTTTAACTATCATTACAAATGTTTAAAATAATGCTATGCTGTCAAATGACAACAGATCTTTTTTTTTCTTAAAAAAAGAGAAAAAGTTGTGCAAAATTAGCTCTTCAACTCTAATTTCACTGTTTGACACAGATCTGTAAAGGATACTCTAATGCATATAAGCTGTTTATTATATAAATACCTATATTTCTGATTGAAATTAGGTATATTTTTTTTAATTAGGATTGCACTTCTCCTGTAAAGCACACCAGCATATGTTTTAGTTAGAGGTAGTGTGTTGAATAAACCAAATCATTAGAAGTGGTGAAACAGCGGAGTTGAACGTGTAAGAAAAGGAAAAATAAAATCAGACAGCTGTCAAAAGATACTATCCTGCTTCTGAGAAGGTTAGTTTTAATATTGGGTTGATGCAAAGGAAAAATGAAATTAAATATGTGACTGAAACATCTTCAAGCGAGCATCTACCTCATTCTTCAAAAACAAGAACTCTGCAAAATGACTAAAAAGATCCCCCCCCCCCCCCCCCACACACACACACACATTAAAGGTAAAACCATCCCAGTGTGAGGTGTTTAGTTTAGTCACAAACTCTTGACATAAGTTAAAGACTCACCGCTTGCTGCTGCTGTCCCTGCAAGAATCAAACTGCACATGCATAACAGTCTCTGTGCCTGGAAAGCTCCCATCCTGCTGAGAGGATGCAGCCTGCCACTGAGCTGCTGTGGTGTGAGCAACACAAGGAAGGAATAACAGGAGGAAAAAAAACATCTGTAATTCAAAAAGTCCAAATAGAGTCAAATGTCTAAAAGCCGCCCATCTACTCTCCGCCTGCAGCTGCATATTCATCCAGTTAATCGGTGGGTGGAGGAAGTTCTGTGTTTAACCCTGTGGAGATGGAGAGCAGCAGGGCGGAGCACCGTCATATAAAATAGTGAACAAAATAAAATAGTGCTTGATGCTCATTCCTTTTTAAAGTAAGTATTTCGAGTCATAAAAAAAATTCAGGTATGTAAAAAAAGTTAAAAAGGAGTAACATAAACCATGATGAAAAACTTATGAAGGTTTTTAGAAGAACTACACTGACCTCTAGTGGGCAGCAGCTGTAATGACATTATAATGACCAAATCTATTAAAGCGGCAGGGTTTACTCCTAAAGTTTTATATCAATGTTAAAACTCTCCAAAGGAAATAAACAAATCTATAAATAAATTCAGATTATGAAAATAAACAAACATTAACAGTTTACCTATTAATACAGTTGATCACCCTCTTGATAAAGTTTTCTTGCACTAATTGGATAAATGTCAGCAGGATTCCTCACTATTAGTTTATCAATAAACAGTAAGAACCACTGACTTGGTATGTTAAATAACAATATATATGGTTTTTTATTAGTGAAACAATGGAGGCTTCATTTTCTTCAAGACTGTAGAACAATTTGTAAATTTTCAAACTGTACTACGGAAGAGGATTAGGGCCACTAAAAAGACAAGAAAAGAAAGAAAATCTGACTTTAATCTCCGAATTCTAACTTTTTCTCTGGATTCTGATTTTATTTATAAAATTCTGATATGTTTTTTTGTAAATTGGACATGTTTCTAAGAATTCTGACTTTAATCTCAGAATTCTGACTTTTTTTAGGATTATCCTGAAAGTTTGTTTTCTGAGAAAAAAGTCAGAATTCTGAAAAATAAGTCACAATTTTTAGACTAAAGTCAGAACTCTAAGAAAAAAACCAAAATTCTTTCTTTGCTTTTTCTTTTCCAGTGGCCCTAATCCTCTTTCGTACACCTAACTGGCACCCACATGTTTTTTCCTTTTAATTTCTGATAAAATGCATATTTATGAAACAATCGGATTTTCTTGAACAAATAACAGAATGCATTCATTGCAAAATATCAGCTAACCCTGACTGACCTTTAGTCAGAAGCACATTGATCTGACAAATGTAATTTACAGATAATCTGAGGTTTGTGGAGGATGCAGTGAAATGCTTCTTTGTCCTCAGTTACACTACCATTTACAGCCACTAGAAGGCGTTTTGTAAAGGCTTGAGAGAACTCGTGAAAATAGCTGTATCATATGTATTCCTTCCCAGGTCTTGAAGTAATTTTTATTAGTATGAAGTATTATTAACTTAAACCAGAGTGAAGATGAATTAGTGAATTAGTGAATGTCTGATTGTGTGGGGTGGAAGTGGTGAAGTAAAAATGAGTGCTCCAGAGTTCTAGGAGGGAAACGGTTATCTCCCATCTCACCACCAGATCCCTCCACAGAGTTTCTGTCTGTCAGACCGCTGGAGCACAGCTGCCTTCTCTCTAGTGAACCACCACAACCCCCAGAACATTTTTCTAGGTAGATGAATCCATCTTCCCCTGTTGTGTTGACTAAAAAATAAAGAGATTGTTGGCAAACAGTGCAACTATTCAAGACTGACTAAATCAGAAAACCAGACCCGTGACCCTAACTCATCTACCTCTGACAGTGAAAAATGCCTGAGCTATTATCTGCTCAATAAAATGCTGCAGAAAACCTGATTTAACTGCAGGCTTGTGTGCTTCATCCAGTAGAGCTGGCAATGCAGCGAGATGTGAGTGGAACCAATGATTGGAGCAGAGTGCTGAATCAAACCATATGGACACAACAAAAACAGACAGACACAATGCAGCGAGAGCTGGACCCAATTTATTTAGCCTTGTTTATCAGAAAAAATGTGCAAATGGGACGGAGCGGTTTAGCCTTAGAAATGGGAGACAGGAGAGTTCATAAATGTATCTCTTTTGACTAAACTTGAACACAACATTATTTTTCAAGTCTTTATTCTATCTCCTTTCTTCACATTCATTGTATTTTATCTTCTGTACAATTTTTCTGGCCAAGTTTCAGTTTTCCTCTTGGAACACATGTCCCTGTTTCTCCAGTTTTCCTTGTAAACCCCTACATGCAGTTGCACAACATTTTCTGAGGTAAAACTCTCTTTGTCTCCAACAAGTTAGACTGAAAGCACCCTTTGCTCACTCACTTTATCGTTCTGTGCGTGCATGTGTGTATGTGCTGCATATGAATTTGCATCAACCTACAACCTGTAGAAGTTTAACTGCAGCATTTTTGTCCTCAAAAGATATAGGCGCATGTGTGTGGATAATTTACCTGACTGTGTGTGTGTGTGTGTGTGTGTGTGTGTGTGTGTGTGTGTGTGTGCATGCATTTTGCAGAAACTGATCTCCAAAACCAGTCCAAAGGTGGAGAAAGAGCTTTTTTGCATTGATTCATCTGAAGCGAGTGCGCACACACACACACACACACACACACACACACACACACATACACACACACACACACACACACACACACACACACACACAGCAGACACAGGGGCAGTGTGTTGACTCAAGAGTTAATGAATGGATGATTGAGGGCTGCAGGAGTTGAGGGAGGGGGGCGGCGCTGTGGAAACAGCCCCTCTTTCCCAGGAAAGCAGCATATAACTTGAGTTAGAAACAAAGAACTTGGTAGAAAACCAGAGTCTCACAGGCAGAATTAAAATTTAGATTGTGTGTGCAGAGCCTGGAGGTATTTTTTTAAATGATGAGGGGGTGATTACTTAAAGGAGAAGCATTTGAAAAGCTATTAAAGCAAATAGCATGTACTTGTCAAAGACTCAAAGGGAAAGAAAGCGAGAGAGAAGCAGCTGTTGGAGGAGGAGAGTGAAACAAAGACGGAGCAGGGGGCTGTCCTTACTTGCTCTTCACTGCTAGAACTGTATGTGCGAAGAGGCAGTGGGAGAACAGGAGCTGGAGTGGGAACAAGGGAGGAAAAGAGCAGTGAGCAGCATGTTTGGCATGTAAAGGGACGTCTGACATTGTCTCTGAGTGAGTTCTTGGTCTGTTTGTTTGTTTCCTGTGCTGCACACTCTTGGTTGTGGGGCGATGCTGCAGAGGTGGACTCTTCTCTGGCTCTTTGCTCTCCTGCTCGGGGTGATGGGACTCCCAGTGTCAGGCTCCGACTTCCAGCATCACCGATACGAGGACATGGTGCAAGCCCTGCTGGCAGTGCAAAACGAGTGCCCGTACATCACTCGCATCTACAGCATCGGGCGTAGCGTGAACGGCAGACACCTCTACGTGCTGGAGTTCAGTGATAACCCGGGTATCCACGAAGCATGTGAGTACCACCTGATTCCTCGTCTGGCTCTGCAACATGAAAGCATTTTTTCCCCATCTTAATGAGAAGTGTTATAAATAAATGTGCATACCATCAGTGATGGGGATTAGTGAGATAAACATCAAAAGGATTTCCCAAGCACAGGCTGTTTGTTTGGTCTTAGGGGTGAGAACATAGCTGGCAGGAGATTGATCAATCTGCGGGGATCCTGGTTTGGTACCAAAAAGATGGAATTCAAGCTTTCACATTCGTCCTCATGAAGCCAACTGAGAACACTGAAGAGAAAAACAGGGAGTCATTCCAACACCTCTCTGAAAAACACCAGTAAGCTGTGGAGAACCCCAAGTGAAAAAGAAAATGCAAGAAGTGAAAGAATTGTTAAAACATCTGTGTTTCATCTTCATTTTCTTTTGCCATCCAACCACTAACAACACACTGGTTGTAATTCAAAGCTGAGCAGATGACTAATAGGTTCACTTTGAGTCACTAGCACTTTAACCCTACAGCCTTGCTTGTTTTTCCTCCCTCTCCTCACCACTGAATCAGCTTCTCCTGGGTTCATTCTGACAATTGGTTGCAAATTGAGAACCATCACCTCATTATGCCTCATTTTGCTGTGGGTAATTGGTCGTATCGTATGAGATCTAGGAGATTTGATCCCTTCTGGGACCTTCTTCAGCAGCTGGCTGAAAAATAACCTGACAACTGCAAAGAATGTTTTTTTGGCTGCAGCTGAGCTTGCATTTTTTCTTCATTCTGTTAGCACACGTACGGGCTTCCTTAAGTAGAATACGAGGATGTGTGCCTGTTCTGTTGCAAGGTGACAAGGGTGAAAAACAGGAACTGTAGACTTCATGGAGGGAAGTCACCCAGGGTCTTGTGCAGGTCAAGCCTCTTTGCACCCATATGGAAATTCATATCACTGTGTGTGTGTGTGTGTGTGTCTGTTTGAGCTCCATGTTCAAGCCAGCACTGTTTTCTTAACTTGAGATCATTTAGCCCTGCAGGTAAAGAGAAAGAGGTGCCTATGGAGCCTGATGCAATCAAAGAAAGGGGTTAATGGATTTGGACACTCGTTTTTTCCATTCCCTTTTATCCCAGGAGCACCTCCACTCCTACCCCCTCTTTAAAAACCCAAACAACTCCAAAAATGATGTTCCACCACAAAACCACTGTCAGTAGGTAATCTGTCTTCTAGTTCCAGAGCTTGGAGGTCTCAGTCCCAGCAGCACTGCAGCAATGATTAATAAAGGGGCTCTTGGGAAGGAGGAGGGGTGGTCTCTAAACGAGGGTAAAGTTTCCAGATATTAACAAGAGGACCGAATTACCTTGTCCTAAAACAATCATTTACTCCCCTTTGTCAGAACCTTGAGTGTCGTTATCGAGACATCCTGTGTAGCATGTGTAAACATTAAACAATCACACTCTTGCAGCTAAACACTCACAATGGTCGCTGGTTTCACCTCAGACACAATGACATGTTTAAAACACTGTAAGATGTGTCAAATGTTTGAGAAATTCCCTTGAATCGCTTGAAGCAGAATAACTTAAGGTTGTGAACATTGTATGAAAAATTGATGCAGCATCAATATTACAACAGTGGCTAATGCTAAATCATTAAATATATGTCATCTTAATAAGTCAGTTGCTGTTCATGCATTTTCTGACTGAACGGCCTCACTCATTTTGTCTTTGGGCATCACAGCTCTTGTTCAAAGAGCCAGGTGAATGCCTTTAACGGTAACAACTCAGCAGTGTAGCTAGACGACGGATCAAATTTAAACTGATCAGCAACTAAAGAACTCAGAAAATGTGCACAAATCTGTTGTTTAAAGGAGCCATATTATGGCTTTTTTCTTAAGTTCAATAGTTGAAACACATTCAATACAAAACACATTCATGAAGTTCTTTGCACTAAATCCATTTCAGTACCTTCCAGAATGAGCCGTTTCAGGGCTCTGCCACTTTAAAAACACAAACTGTTGCTGGCCACGCCCACCCATACCCCACTTGGGCTGCTTTACATTGAGAAGCACTGATATCCACGAAGGGTCAGAGAATGTGCGTGGTGGTTCTATTTTAGTTTCCCCATTTGTGACATCACAACCGGGGATGTCTCATTTTAGGCATTTAATTCCTAAAACTAAACACTGACAGCAAATGGATGAACAGGGTTTTCCGGAATACATTTTTGCGTAATATGTTCCCTCTAAAGGGATAGTACTTTCAAGTGGGTTTCTTTGAAAAGGGTCTGAACAATGAAAAGTCTACCCATAGAATGTGCTTAGAAAGTTTGAAAAGAGATTCAACCACCTTAAAACCAACTCAAATCTGGAAAATTAAATGCCAGCTTGTGCAAACATGTACCCCAAAGTGAATTTATCACTACATGTTTTTTTTACATGGAATTTATGTGTGTGTGTTTTTTTAACAGTAGAAATAAGTTTATTGGCTATTGCACAATAAGCAGTAGCACTGATGACTTCCGTAAAAGCAAAGCTTCCTAAAAAGATTGAACTTTCCACCTCATAAGGTTCTTTAGAATATATTATCACATGTTCACACACTCTTTGTGACTTCCTGTTAATCTCCACATAAGGAGGGATAGTTTAAGAGTTTTTTTTTAAAATATTCACTCGGCCAGTTTGGCCCGTAACTCTCTGTTGTCCAAAAGAAGGCTCCATCCCATTTTTAAAGGGTTTTATTGTGCAAGTCACCTTAGGGCAGGGGTAGGGAACCCTGTTCCTGGACAGCCACTATCCACCACGTTTTAGAGGTTTCTCTGCATCAACACGTATGATTTTAATAATCAGGTGATTAGCCGGCTTCTGCAGAGCGTGATGAGCTGCTGAACAGGTGAATGTACTCTGTTGAAGCAGGGAAACAACTAAAACATGCTGGATAGTGGCTTTCCAGAACCAGCATTCCCTACCCTTGCTTTTGGGAACTGCTGCCTGTTTCTGTCAGGAATTTTTAAAAATGTTGCCAGAAAAAAACAAAAAATGTGAAGAATGCAAAATAGCATTTGCACAGCTGTCAGTTTTCTTGTGATTAGAGTTGTTTTCAAACACTGACAGTGGAATCGCTCTGACTATGACAAGTTGTTAGCTTGTTGATCCAATCAGAACGTTTCCCCAAACTGAGGCCACTCAAAAGGGAATGAAAAACACAACGTTTTAGAAGTGTGTGAGTTTAAGGAGTGCAGGGATTATTTTGGCTGCTTTTAAACTTTCATCCTTCCTTTCACTTCTACCTCCAGTGGAGCCTGAGTTCAAGTATGTGGGCAACATGCACGGCAACGAGGTGCTTGGCCGTGAACTCCTCATTAAGTTCTCCCAGTTCCTCTGTGAAGAGTATCGGGCCGGAAACCAGCGAATCATGAGGCTGATCCATGATACACGCATTCACATCCTGCCCTCCATGAACCCTGATGGCTACGAAGTGGCAGCCAGACAGGTAACGTAAACTCCTGACATTCTTGTGAGCTTTTTCTTTTTTTTTTTTTTTTTTACAAGCGCCAACAGCGAATCTGAGAAGGTCTCCCTCAGGGACACTACTGACTGCTTTTCTTCTGCAATCAACCTAGCAAAAAAAAAAAAAAAAGAAAGAAAATCCAGATTTCCTTGTTATTGCCAGCAGAATACGGTATGATTGTTCAAGTTCCCATGTGAAACTAAACACCTGCATGTAAGATCAGAGCAGAACATAGTTTATTTGACTCCACGGAGAAACATGTTTAGATTTGAATAGTTAGAACAAAACAGCTTCAAAATAGTTTGTGTCTGAATCAAATCCTGATTTGAGCTGTGAAGCCACAAATCAAATGCATTCTACTGTAACACAAACACACACACACACACACACACACACACACACACACACACACACACACACACACACACACACACACACACACACACACACACACACACACTTTCAGTGCATTTGAGACTGATTATACGTCCTGAAGCCAACCGCCAGTAGCACAAACACACGCAGTCCCTGTCCTCGCCACTCAGGGATGAATCCTGCACTGTAATTTGCTGCTCGACAGATGTTTTGGAGCTGCAGCATCTGGACAACAATGGCATGGCTGTTTTGTTTTCCAGCAGCTTGGATGGCATGGTGTTGGTTCAGTCTTATAATTTTGCTTTTGAGGAAAGGAACAAAACAAGCAAAACAGTCTTCGCACAAAAGTGGCCATATATTCTATGAGGTCAGTCCATTTCAGTGGATTTACACAGCTCTATGGAGCTTAAGTTGGTTTCTGTTACGGCCAGAGGGTAATTCATCATGTTTCACTACCTTACACATCTCTAATCTACCCTTCAAACATGGATTAGATTATTCTATATTAATAGCTGTATCCTTAAAACTCAGATTATTATTAGTGAAACCTTTACTTACTTTTGCGAATGTTCAATAAAGGCCCATTTCAACACTTTGAATAACCCAGAGCACCAGGACCTGAGTACTAGATGAGAGGCATTCAACATCAACTGAGCAGACATTGCTGTCATGTGGAAGGCCTCGAAAGGACAGGAACTTTAAAAAGTTTTTCAAAGTTGGGCAACATAAGAACAGTAAACTACTTTTGAACTTTAAAGCTGGAGTTTGTAGCAGAGGATCTTCAAGGAGAGGAGGCTCCCATCCTGCGAACCCCTCCCCTTCTGGTTGGAACTTAAAGCCACGCCTCCTAAAATGCACACAAATAGTCTTGTAGCGCTAACGAACAAACAATGTTGTTGATATCTTCCTGCATTGACACACCTGATTCAAACCAACACATTCTCACACCTGAAGCGGATAAAACTGACGATGGGTGACCAAGCATTTGTTTCCGACGCATTGGGACACGACGCGCGGTGCCAGAGCGTCGGTTTCCGAAGCACGCGGGAAAACGCATATTTCACCGACATTTAACCAATGACCTCTTGCTACTTAACCTTCCCCTCACCCCCATCCTAACCTTAACCCTGTTTCTCATTCTAAACTTCTCGTTAACCGTGTTTGAGATGGACGATACAACTAGAAACAATCACCAGAATGATGTCATTGAATCAGACATGGAGAAAAACAAAGGGAAAATGGCTGCAAGTTCAGCAAACTACAAATCTTCCTTCAGGAGGAAAGAACCACCATAAAGCTGGCCGGTAGCAGCTACGCTACGCTACGAGAGAGGGGATTATGTGTTGACGTCATATACGCGACATGCCCACGTCTGATTTGCAGTCATGCTAATTACAAACTCTTACAAGCTCAAAAATCTCAAATTACGTGACTGGCGTAGTCAAAACTGGGCTGCATGGTGGCGCAGTGGTTAGCACTGTTGCCTCGCAGCACGAAGGTTGCAGGTTCGAAACTCGGCTCGGCTGCGGCCTTTCTGCGTGGAGTTGCGTGTTCTCCCCATGCATGCGTGGGTTTCCTCCGGGTACTCCGGTTTCCCCCACAGATCACAACATGCCCTATAGGTTATAATTGTAAGTCGCTTTGGGTAAAAGCGTCTCCCAAATAAATAAACATAAACATAAAACACACTTCATTACTTTTAATTTAAATATGAGTACAACATATGTGCGATCCAGGGCGTAAGGCAAAGCGGATTAGAAAATAGCTGTTTTAGTCACGTAGACACATTCATTTGATCGTTCTTCCGGGGACCCATGAGCCGACTGGAAAGGGAAGAGACTTAGGCTCCCTATTGTGTTTATGTATTGCAGAGATTTTTTAGGACAGACACTTCTTCATGCAGTCACCACCTCCACCCACTTCTCTCGTAGTTTTCACAATTAAAAGGTTTTCTGCATATCTTTCCCTCAGTCACATTTTTTTATGTTTGTATCATTGAACTCTTTCCGCGAGACGTTCAATCTGCTCTGTGTCTGACGCTCGATTTGTTCGGCATTTTTTAAATTTTTCTGAGGGGGAATTGCAGTGCTTTTGACGAAGCTTAAGGAAGTGGCATCCTGACCAGTCACAGGCTCGTGGTTGCTTTTGACGGAAAGCTAGAAAAGTGGGCTCTACTCCATCCATCCAGCCTGTTGGAGAGCCCTTTCAACAACGGATAACGGCGATGTGTGTCTCCACACCTCCGCAGATGGAGAAGAATAAACTGGGCTTTAGGGGAAATACAAACTATGAAAGATTACCAACTTTTTATTGTAGAACAAGGTCAGATGGTCACCTGTAAGCTGTTTTTAAATTACTTCAAACTTTTTAAACTACATTCCCAAGCTTTAAAAAACATTCCAGTAATATGTCCTGCTAAAGTAAAATTAGGGACCTTCACGATCAATTGGCTTTGTGTGGAGATCCAGCTATACTAACAGCTCACAATAAAACCAAATGCCTTGCTCAGAGTTCCTCAAGGGCCACGTCCAACATGTTTTAGTTGCTTCACTGCTCCAACAATTACACTTTCTTAGAAAGAATAAGGTCGGTAGGATGCTTTTAAAGATTAAAACAAAGATCCAAACATTCTATCTGATGTAGTAAAAAAGAATGAGAAGAAACAACTGACTGCAGTTGACCTCTGCAGGTTTGGGACATCATCCAATTGTTTTTTCCTCTTCTGCTTCCAAGCAAAACGAAGCCTACAAATTCCTTCCCTTCCAAGCCAAAATTCAATCATTCATGGAATATCTTGGGATAGACTACTCAGCATTTTGTATGTCAACAGGGTCCAGAGCTGAATGGCTATCTGGTTGGACGAGGGAATGCCAGGGAGATTGATCTGAACCGGAACTTTCCAGACCTGAATGCACTCATGTACTACTACGAGAAAAACAACGGACGTAACCACCACCTTCCTCTGCCGGACAACTGGGAACATCAGGTCAGTTCTCCTGCAAGGAGTCCTGCTAAACTCTGCTTCTGTATCTGTGAGTCTCTGTGCAATTATATAAATAAATTAAATGTTACAAATATGGAAGAATTTCAGTAAGATGGATGAGTATTCTTGTGTAAGTGTGCAGAGTAACGAGTGACTTGATGATTAATCTTGGCCTCGGCTTTGCTAACGTAAAACAAGTTTGTGAGATTTGCCCGGGATCAGAGTCCCCTCCCAGCACTTTAATCTGAACAAAGGGAATCTGTCCAGAAATGTAAACACTATAGGATATCTGTTACATGTTGTGAGCTTTCATGATAAATCCTTTTGTTTGCTTGTCTTACTATAAAATCTGTAAATGCACAATGCAGGAAAAAACTGCTGACTCACTATTTTCAGCCCAGAAAACTGTCACCCACCCAAACAAGGCAAAAATGCCTGTCTGCGCCTGTGTATGTGTGTGCAGAATAAGTATAGAAAGTATTCACTGGATGAATATAGCAAAAAAAGCTTTAAAGCCACCTCTTTCATGTCGTTACATATAAAGCTCATATTAAATGTTTCACTTCAGCTAAACATTTTTGTCTTTCTGTCAGTCGTATGAGAAGCCGAGCTGACCTAACGTCTGTGTCGGAGCATCTGAGCTGTTTGCAGACGCCTCATATCTGCAGTGATTTACTACATACTCCAACAAGATCACATTTTTAATTTTTCAGCGGTGATAAACCACAGCCTTTTCTTACCATGAGGTTTTCTAAAACCCTCTCAGGGTATAAACTGACTTTTCACAAGAAACTACAGTTCAAGTTTGGAGACAAACGGCTTTGTTCTGAGTGATTAAATGGCCTTTAAAGTTTGCTTGCTTGCATATTTTAGGTCACTGAGGTGTAAAATGAACAAAAAGGGAATTTTAAAAGCATGTGCTGTCAAACGTATGCCAGAAATCTGCCAAAAGGCACATTTCAAGTATTAAGGTCAGATCCTTGGAGATATATTGACTTTATCTTTACCAGGCATGGAAAGAGCTGCTTTTCAGTATTAACTCTGTTCAGCGTTTTTCCAAATTTGCCTACATAGATGAATGTGTTTGCAAATTTAAGGTAACATACAATAAAACTCCACAAATGAGTGTCCAAATTAGTTATTTAAATCGCTGCAATGAAAAGTAGCTGCTCAGAAGTATGCAAGAACCAACAATGTCTCCAGGTTTGACCGTCTTACATTTTGATTCTGAACAGGACAAAGAGTGGTTCTGTTAGGGAAAACATACATAAATCTACATTTTCAAACTGCGGCTGAACCCATTGAACTGAGATCTAAGTTAGCCTGGCTTCACCAGACAGAAAAAGCTAAACTATGTCTGGAACTTGTCAGTTCATTTCCATTTTGAAAGGCCAAGACATGTCGAGTACACCTAAAACCAGCCAACAGGATACGTGAACATTCAGAAAATAATTGCACATGTGGACAGAATCAAACTACAGTTGGTAAAAAAAAAAAAAACAAGTAAAGGGATTGGTTGATTATCTGGCCACCACTTATACCGGTACATGTTTTTTCAAAGTGGCAGTGTGCAGTTTCCTGCCTGTAGGGGGGCAGTACATACATTTAAGGGTAGTTTCACACCATATCGCCATGATGACTGTCACTAGTTTAAAAAATAACATTATAGTAAATGTTACCTGTGAAGCAGAAAAATGCAAGATTGGCGTGACTCCTCAGACTTTGATGGTCCTTCAGTTAATTCCATCGAGAGAATGCAATGCCGATGCTAGTATTCTGGCGCTGTAGTTTCCGTTTCTGCTCGGCGTCCTGTGCCTGCCAGTGACGTCACCAAACTACAGCAATACCACTCAGCCAAAATATATTACATCTCTTTTTTGAATCTGTTTGTTCACATATGTTTTGGAAAGAGACAGCAGTTTTGTTTTAAATTCTTGTTTTTTAATGCCTAAATGTTTTTCAACATCGTAACGTAACTTCCGTAAGTTGTACGTTCAGCCAATCATCTAGTGTGACGTCATCGACAGGCGCAGGACTCCAAGCCGGCCAGATGGAAACATGGCATCCCGCGAAGACGCTAGACCTGCGCCCTATGTACATTAGACCTTTTTCAAGGGTAATTGGTACAAAGCCGCCTATATTTCTCAACAGCTAGACATCATTTTATTCATGTTCAACAATGTTTCAATGGATATTTCCAGAGATTAAAGGTAGGGTTGGGCATCGAGCATTGATTGGAACCGAGACTAACTGTCAGTTTTTCCCTAGTCAGATCCTAGTTTTGATTCCCAAGCTGTCGACCAGAAGAGGAATCCTCGGCAAATCTCTGTGAAAAAAAAAACAACGTGATCTGCAAAGTCTGATCAACGCTTTTCAGAACCGATCACACCAGCGAGTGTCAGTGAGTGTTAGGGCTGGGCAATAAATCAAAAATGTATCATTATCAAAATTTCTGACTCTCATCGAGATGTCAATAAATTTGATGATAAAAAATGAAAAGATGTTTGCAGCTTGGCAACGTTCATGTCCCTTTAAGAAACTGTACCTCTCCCGGATGACCGAGCTTCTCACCCAATATCAAAAGGAGAGCCCAACCACCCTGCAGAGAAAACTCATTTCAGCCGCTTGTATCTGCAATCTCATTCTTTCAGTCACTACCAAAAGCTTGTGACCACAGGTGAGGGTAGGAACGTAGATCAACCAGTAAATTGAGAGCTTCACCTTTTGGCTCAGCTCTCTCTTCACCACGACAGATTGGTACAATGCCTCCATCACTGCAGATGCAGCATCAATCCGCCTGTCCCTCACTCGTGAACAAGTCCCCGAGACACTTAAACTCCTCCACTTGAGGCAGGACCTCATCCCTGACCTGGAGAAGGCATTCTACCCTTTTCCAACTCAAGACCCTGGTCTCGGATTTAGAGGAGCTGATTCTCATCCCAGCTGCTTCACACTCAGCTGAGAAGTGTTTCAATGAGAGCCGGAGATCACGTTCTGATGAAGCCAACAGGATCACATCATCTGCAAAAAGCAGAGACTCAATCATTAGGCCACCAAAATAGATCCCTTCAACACCTTGGCTGCACCTAGAAATACTGTCCAAAGGCATTTTAAAGAACATTAAAGATGCACTTTAAGGAACTCTGGGCGGATCTCGTCCACCCCCGGAGCCTTGCCACCAAGGAGCTTTTTGACCACCTCAGTGACCTCGGCACCAGAGATTGGAGATCCCAACCCAAAGTCCTTGAACTCTGCTTCCTCACTGGAAGTGGTGGGATTGGGGAGGTCTTCGAAGTATTCCAACCTTCTGATCCACAACGTCTCGAGTAGAGGTCAGCAGCACACCATCCCTACTATAAACAGTGTTGGTAGCACACTGCTTTCCCCTCCTGAGGTGCAGGATGGTGGACCAGAATCTCCTCAAAGTGGTATGGAAGACCTACTCTATGGTTTCATCAAACTCCTCCCACGCCCGGGTTTTTGCGTCTGTGAGCACCACATTCCACTTGGCCTGCCAGTATCAGCTGCCTCCGCAGTCCCACAGGCCAAATAGACCTGATAGGACTCTTTCTTCAGTTTGAGGCATCCCTTGCCGTTGGTGTCCACCATCAGGTTTGGTGACTGTCACCACAACAGGCACCGACTACCCTGCGGCCACAGCTCTGACACTGGACGCTTGGAACATGGTCCACTTGGACTTAATGTCCACTGCCTTTTGGAAGTTCTGTCGGAGGTGGGAATTGAAACTTCTTCTGACAGGAGAATCTGACAGACGTTCCCAGCAGATGTTAAAGCAAAAGTGGAATTTATAAGCAAACATATTTGCATTTACATGTATGTGATCCACCCACTTTTTTTATTAGGCACAGCTGAAAACTCCGCTGCTGCAGTTAATATTTAGTTTTTATCATCTTTTGTTTGGAAAAGTTAAAAAATTACATCTTTACTTCGAGAGACACGACTGTGATGCTATTTATTCATGCAGGTCGGGACTCGACTCTCAGCCCCTGATAACATGAAGACTCATGATCCTCTATGTTACATTTAGTGATATAGGCTCATTCTCTAGAGTGTGTTTGATGGAAAAGGATTCACTTTGGACACTTTTACAAAAACAACAAAGACCCTTTTATTTAAATCTGCTTTTACCAAAAAATTTTATTATCTTATTTTTAACTCAAAATTGCTTCATTTGTTTTATGGTATTTTATAATTTTATGACTTAGTTTTTATCAGTATGATTTTAAAACATTATTATTATTATTATTATTATTATTATTACTTTATCTATGTGAAGCACTTTTTGATTATCTGTCTGTGATGAGTGCTATATAAATAACATTTACTTACTTACCTACTTTTTCTTCACCAAAATACTGATTTCTGCTCTAAAAATGGTACAAAAAGAGCAATTTAATGAATATTCAGTCAGGTCAGTTAATTTAAGTTTTGAAATTAGTTATTCAATTTAAAGAGACAATGTGTAATTTTTACCATTAATCTCTGGAAATATCCATCAATATGTTGTTGAATATTTATGAAACGATGCCCAGTTGTTGAAAAATATTGGTGGCTTCGTAACATATCAGTGGTGGGCAGTCAGGGCCAGCAAAGCCTTCTCTGCTGGCCTAAACGTACTCAAAAACGTAAATGTATTTTTTTTTCCATTGGTAAATATTTTTAAATAAAAAAAATGTTCACTGGTCTATTTTCTTTATATCCTATTATACCCACTTGGCTGCGCTGCTTCCAGTGTTAAAATACCAAGGCTGGGTGTTATCCAATCAGATTTAAGCTAGCTTGTGTTTTCAGGCAGATTAAGTCTGCCCTAGGCCTTCAGAATCAATCGAGAAGCCCACTGTCCGCTGTAAGTGAACAGAGACGAGCCAGTTGCGATAGCCAATCAGCTCACGAGTCAGCTTGGCCCGGGCCAGCTAGCTGGCCTCACGCAAAAGTTGACATGAACGCATCCTGTGATTGGATAAGCAGTAGTTAGAACTTTTCTAGCGGCATGAAGCAAAATATCTAAACTAAACACAGAGATTTGTATCTATAGGCAGCTATCGGTGTATTTTTGAACACATGATAGCTGAAAGAGGAGAAGGGACGGACTTGGTTGCAGATTAACTTGCCACACCATTTTCCAGACGGACCTTTCAAGAAAAAATGGATCTTGTGAGAACAGGTTGTCCGACTCCAATGCTAGCTGGCTTGTCCCAGCAGGGGAAAGGATTTGTTCGTCATTTTCAGGCAAGCAACTATGAACGGCACCCATGGCAAACAGCTTCAGAGAACCGCTGCAGGTTATTCTGCTGGGAACGCCTGTTGCTCGCATCAGATGGATTTGGTAGCATTAAAGCGCAAAACGTACGCCAGAAACATGACCGGACAGACACGTCTTTCAGCATTAGCCTCCATGTCCATAGAAAAGGATCCACTCATGGACCTGAAGCGCACAGATGAACTGTACAGAGCCATTGAGGTTTTCCTGAGGAAGGAAAGAAGGATGGATTTTATTTTCAAATGAGCTTGAGAGGAGGAGATCCATGCTCGACATTTATGTTGGTGAGTAGAAAGTATTTTTTAATGTTTTGTCATTTCATTTTGTTAATAATAAATGGTAACGAAATAAAATGTCTAAATGAAATAATTCTATGTGTTCTGTTACTATTCAATTTATATTGTGTATGACGTGGTGTGTGCAGCTGCGCCAACATGTTCAATTGTTTCGCGGTGCAATTTTCTCCAAAACAAATGCAAATAATGTGTTTGCTTTACTTATTTATTTTTTTGTCTCATCTCTTAAACCCGTCTTTCATTTTTGAGATTTGACAGTATCCGTGGTCTTAGCTTCCTACTCTCAATTGGGAATGCGAGTTTGATTTTAAAGGCTCCGGAAATGACGTCTTGCCCAGCCACTGGTGTGTGTGTGTGTGTGTGTGTGTGTGTGTGTGTGTGTGTGTGTGTGTGTGTGTGTGTGTGTGTGTGTGTGTGTGTGAGAGAGAGGTTTCTCCAGCTGTGATGTCCTATTGATGGTATTTTAAGGTGTGTTAATTTAGATTGGACTGAATAGGAAATCACTGAAGGCCCAGGGGTGGAATGCACCGCCCGCCACTGTAACATATAACCATAAAAATTGTGTCTAAAACATATGCAAGTGGGTCTAAGGGTGTTTCTCAATGTCAAGAACCTCGCCTCAATGCCATTGGTCCCACTGTAGTTGCCTAGGAGATACGTGATCATGAATCGCCAAGGCGTGTTCCAGTCAGTTCCAATGTTCATGTGCTACTGAGGTATCTGTTATTTGTTTATCAATCGTTTAGCTAATTAATCAAGGATACATGCAAGGTGCCTTGCTGCTCTCTCTTGGTCAAACATTTCCCAGATTGCAGCACAGTATTTTCAAAAGGATGGATGAGGTGTCTGATGAGGTTTTTATCAAAAACTAACTCAATACAACAAATTCTTTTACACCCAGATTTCACAATTTCTCTCAGATACAAAGAACAGTTTTTACAACATCTAGCTTCCATCACAACATCTCACATCCACCACACCACATCTCATCATTCATATCTTGTCATGTATAAAATATTAGTTTAGGGAAAATAATTTAATTCATTTTAAAACTGGTACACCTGACTCTGTCTGAATTAATACGAAGTGTGTTTATGGTCCCAAAAGAAGCAAAGAACCCTAGAATCTGCTGATTAAACATTCAAAGATCAATCCGATTGATATTTCATATTTAAATGGAATCATTAATATGTATTAAATGCTACAGACTATGAATCCCTGTAGCATGTTGATAGTTTTTAATTCAGCAGTTATTTCCAGTGTAATTCACAGACATCTTAAGTCCTGCTTGGTTACAGCTGCTGTGTTCAGGGTCAATGAGCTCTGATCAGCAGACTGTGTTTATTGTCCTACATACTTTTCTCAAGGAGACGCAGAACGTCTCGTCTCCAAACACAAGGTAGGATTCAGACGTGCGTGGATTGTTAGCGCTGACAGTGAAAATAAATAGCAGCCCAGCGTGGAATTTCAAGGCTTAAGACTTACGTGCTCTAGAGAGACCATCTGGTAAAAGCTGAAGCTGTGCAGAATTACATGAATAAATTAACAAAAATGGCAGTTTTGTGTTGCTTTAATTTGCATGCTGCATATTTTCTGTAGAGATGGCAACTGTGTATTCATCATGGAGAAATATTTGCTCAATTTTAAACACTAGATATGAATAGAATCTCTTACAGGAGAAACATATAATGTTCTTTTGAAATCGGATCGATCACTCTTAGTTTCACATGCAGGCTGAGCATGTTGAGGTGTTGTCTCTTAAACCAATTTCCTGCATCAGGTGCCAAAAGAAACTAGACGGGGAAACTCTCGAGTTAGAAAAAGCCACACAGATGTATATCACACTGTAAATTAGCATTCGTGAACTCACCCTTTTTGTCCCATGATGGGGAAGGCTGTTGTTGGTTTACTGTCCAGGAGAGAGCAGAGCACGTCTCGCCTAGTAGAAGCATTACTGTTAGCCAATTAGAGGTGAGGTGTCCAAATATCAGGAATAGTTATGGGTAAGACTCTGAATGCTGAAGTTTGCTGACCCTCTTCTCAGGCTAACTTCTACTTCCTGAAACAGGAGTATCAGAGTTTTTTTTCCACAGAAGGACTCACAAGGTGTTCACTTATTCTATCACAGCAGATGTATTGAAATAACAAGTGTATGCCCAATTTAAATACAGCTAAGTATTTCAGTAAATGCCAATAAGAGGATTGAGAGTGTGATTAAACCTTAATTTTATTTTCTTTCTAACTAAATACTCTGCAGGTTGAACCAGAGACTTTAGCGGTCATCAAATGGATGCAAAACTACAACTTTGTCCTGTCTGCCAACCTCCATGGTGGAGCCGTAGTGGCCAATTATCCCTTCGACAAGTCGCGAGACCCCCGCATCCGAGGACGGACCATGTATTCAGCAACTCCAGACGACAAGATCTTCAGGCAGGTGTGGGGCCCATTAAAAATTCCTTCCAGATGGCTAACATCTGATGTCATGGCTATCTGTGGTGTGTTTATGTAAACATGTGGATGAGTGGACCCATATGCATCTGTGTGTGATGACAGTTGGCAAGGACGTACTCATACGCTCACGGCTGGATGCACAAAGGCTGGAACTGTGGAGACTACTTTAATGAGGGGATCACCAATGGGGCCAGCTGGTACTCCTTGTCTAGAGGTATGCAAAACTCACTCATAGTTGTCTTTACTTTGGTTTTGTTTAGGCCAGTTATAGGACATCGCTTTAATAGAAACTAAAGCACCTGATCTGACCCTTAAATAGTGTAATAGTAGAGATGCGTGTTGGCAAGAATCTGGAGATGATATATAGTTTAGCCTGTGGCGATGTATTGCACTGCTCCTTTCTTCGTTTTTATTATATATATATAAAAAAAGTATGTATCCTAAATATTTAACTTAAATTTTACAAACGCAAACATTTCAGAAAAATACATTTCAGTTACTTAAAATGTTACTTCAAATTTTATTTTAAAATGTTTTTTTTTGTTTAATTCACCTGTTGATGTGTTCACAAAAAACTATATGGAGATAAAAACGTTTTTAAAATGGTGAACAGTAGAAACATATGTATTTTTTATTCTGATTATTTCTTTACTCATTAATTGTGTTACTTTCATTTTGTTTTACAATTATGTCTTCAATAAATAAGATCAATTGGGGGCGCCATTGGGGTGCGGAAAGTGTTCAAAACCCTGTCAATTTTTCACTCTTTGTTATATTGCAGCCATTTGCTGAAATAAAAAAAAATATTCAAATTTTCCTCAACACAGCACCACATGTTGACAGAAACACAGAATTTTTTAAATTTCTGCAGAGTTATTAAAAAGACAAACTGAACTATCACATGCTTCTAAGTATTCAGACCATTTGCTGTGACGCTCATATTTAACTCAGGTGCTTTCCATTTCTTCTGATACTCTTTGAGATGGTCCTACCTACACCTTCATTGTAGTCCAGCTGTGTTTGATTATACTGATTGGACTTGATTAGGAAAGCTACACACCTGTCTATATAAGACCTTACAGCTCACAATCCATGTTGGAGGTCATGTTATATTACAATGCCAGAAATATCAGGCGGAAAGGAGGACGATGGTTCACACTCTTGGTCAGCTGAACGTGAGACTGGATCTTGTTCATTTATTGAGACAAAATTCAAGGAGTGACTGTTTTCAGATTTTATTTCGGTTTTTGAGAGATAAGGGTGTTTGGGAGACTTTGAGGTTGTTTTTTTTTCTCTTTCCCTGTTTGGTTTTGTTTTGAGGCTGCTGTTCCAGACCATACTCCACACTAGTTGGTGGCGGTAATGCACCATTGGTTGTTTGCCAACCGCCATTAAACCTCCAAAAGAAGAAGAAGAATCCATGTTGGAGCAAATGAGAATCATGAGGTCAAAGGACCTGCCTGAAGAGTTCAGAGACAGTCAGTATTTCTCCCTTCAGAAAAATAAAAAATTACCCAGAGGGATGTAGTTACTGTTTACAATTTGTGAGCCTATAAAGTTGCAGAGTCTGCTATGAGCTAACGCTGCAGCGCAGGCATTAGTAATTCGACACTGGCATGCAAAAAGCTCCAGAGTCGATTAAGGAATCAAACCCTGTAAACAGGAGCAACCAAGAAGCCATGACATGTTTTTGTTTTACTCCAATATCAGAGCTCTCAAGTTGAAAGATAAGTTGAGGGAGATTTCTGAAGGAACAAAATATTGTCTTTGCTTCGGCCGCTAAAGCCCCTCTACCTCGCTCTCTTTTCCCAACTGTTTATGTTTATATTTTATTTACATCTGCCTTGCTACAAATAACCACAAATAATAACTACCTAATCCAGGGGTCGGCAACATTTTCCCATCAAAGAGCCATTATTACCTGTTCCCCACAGTAAAGAAAACACTGGGAGCCACAGCAGAGAGCTGCTTTAACCAACAGGTGGCAGCAGCCATACTGGTCGCTCGTGTACGTCAAATTTATCTTTCAGCAGAAGATAATCAATAAAACAATTTGTATACAAAGGATCCAGAAGTTGTAGCCCGTCTCTGCCTACAATATTTTGATACTGTTCACCCTGTTAGTGGTTTTACTAAGCAGGTGCCACTTTTGTCACACTTGTTTCTTTTTAAAACAAGTTTAAACTGTTCAGAATACAAATCCAGGCTCTGTCTCATTTGATTGTTGTAATTAAACTTTGTAGGTGGAGAAAAGGATCCGACCAATTTGTTTTTCCCTCGTTTGATAAAGGCACGGTGCTGGTGTTAATCAAGTTTAATTTTATCCCTTTGCAACAATTTTCACAAGAAAACAAAACAGTTAAATGGCAGGTTTTGTATTGACCAGAAAGTTCCAGTATTTGACCGTTTATTTTGATGGAGAAAAAATAGAAAGAATTACCCCGACGCATGCAGATGAACTGACATTTTATTTTTTAGGCACATCGCAGATGTAGCTAAATCACTCAAGAAAAGATTCCCATCTGAACATCTAAGCTGGACACTGCTCAGCACGTTCATAAGGTGCACAGCGAGCTGAAGATGTGAAGAGGGGCTTGGAGCGCGTCGCAGAACCAGAACCATGCAGGAAGATTCCTCCCATTGAAGCGAGTGTTTTCCAAACCCTGTCCCCCAGAGAGACTTGTCACTTAGAAAATGTTCCCTGATAATGAAACTTCGGTTGAATAGCGCTTGGTCATGTCTCCAATGTGGCAACACATCCATGAGCCTGTCTGAGGAAAAAGTCCAGAATCTCACATCCTCTTCAGCTCAGAAAGCGCCTATAGAGACATTTGATAATGCACAAGCGGGTGACCTGTCAACCCGGGATATCCTCACTGCTTTGTTAAGTCACAGTATGTTCCCTAACAAATCTAGAACTGAAGTTATGCTTGAATCAACAAAAAGTCACCAGTAAATAATTAAAATCTTTGTTTCCATCATTTCTTGCACTGTTGTCTTTCTTGAAGTTGTTTTGGGTATAAAATTCCTTCAGCTTCAGCAAGAAAGTTAAACTTCTCATTTTCTCATGTCTGGTTTGAATAAAGAGAAAATATTTTCATATTTTCCTGAATATTGAAAGTGATGTTTTGCCTAAGAATAAAAAAAAATGTCAAAAATCATCAAACTGTCAGGGCTTAAATGCAATTTGAGCCAGGATAACTCATAGCTGAAACAATACCCTCTTCTTTCATGTGTTAGTTGAGGTCTTGGATGTTTTTCTTCCAATGTTAAAACGTAAAGCTGCAGAGCTTTTCGTTTGAGTCATACAAGCTTTTGAATTCTTTGAAATGGATGCAAACAGCCATGGTCTCATTTAGCAGGAGCCCGTTGTGTTTATTTTAACAAGTGGTCTTGCTCCAAGAGTGGTGTCACGGTCTGTGAGGTCACATTTGAGCCGACCCTCCAAACGCTGCCTTTGTGCGTACTAGCCTTGATGAAAAATAGAACCTATTTGCAAAGGTAGAATGGCTTCATCTGGATAATAAAATCAAAGATTTGGATCAATTATAAAGATTTGCCAGTCAAAATAAAAACAAATAATGAAAATATACTCTCAAAGCAAAAAAGGGAGCCACTTAAACCGGTTTTTAGATATTCTTACTGAAATTCAACATTACAGTATACAAATAAAGACTATTATGTGTTTATCTCTGTGCACATTGTAGGCATGCAAGACTTCAACTACCTGTACACCAACTGCTTTGAGATCACTCTGGAGCTGAGCTGTGATAAGTTTCCTCCTGAATCATCGCTGCCCCGAGAATGGCTCGGCAACCGAGAAGCACTGGTTTCATACCTGGAACAGGTCAGAACACACAACTAACGCATTTTATGATCTGGATTTCGTAACAAAGTTGGTTTTCATTTGAATAAAAAATGCTTTTAACTACAATAGGCATAAAAAAATGGCCTTTTATAAACATTAAATGTGCTTTCACTGTATTAAAATTCAAAAAATTTAAACTAAAAGTCTCTAAACATGAAGTAGAAATGCATATATTTTCCACAGAGCTGTTAATATGAACTGAAGTACGAAATCCCTGCAGTCTAAAAGTAATTAATAAGGTTTCATGCTTTGGAAAGTTGGGTCCGAAATGTAATTCATGACCTGCTGTCAGGGCCAGATTAACACTTTGTTGTACCCTGGGCAACAATATTAAAGGGCCCCATCATCATGACCCCAGGATCACCATAACATGGTCACAGAATATTGTACTGTAACATGCAGTAAATATACTCAATACTTGAATGCCTGACATCACGTAACCCGCTCAGGGTAACCTTTGACCCACCTCGTGTGGACTGACCAATGAGGAGAGGGTCTTAACTTGAGGCTCTCTCTTCATTGGTCAGTCTGCATGAGACTGACTCTCAACGCTCTCAACTGACATTCAAAGTCATAGGCAGCAAAGCGTCTCTGTGCAGCGCAAAAGCCCGGGTGAACAGTTTGTTTAATATGGGGTGACCATAAAAGCAGCTGAAAACTCACTTGTTCAAGCTGGCTTTTGTACGATCTTCTTCATCACTCTCTCTTTATTCTGCTCTCCCCACCTATTACACCTTACTCAGGATCCACTGATTTCCCTCTTTCCTAGTCACTCTCTCTTTCTTAACATTTTTTAAAATCACAATTGTCAATTTTTTGCTCATTTTAAATATATTTTAACCATTTTCTAATTTTTTTAAATATTTTTACATTTTTTGTTTTTGTGAAGCGCCTCGTGATTTGAGAGGCGCTACAGAAATGATATTTTCTTCTTCTTCTTCTTCTTCTTCTTTTTCTTCTTCTTCTTCTTCTTCTTCTTCTTCTTCTTCTTCTTCTTCTTCTTCTTCTTCTTTCCATTTTCAAAAAAGAGGACAGGGGATCTGTGCCTATGACGTCACACTATGGCAACGCCACACAAACCATGTCGGGACCCATTTTTTTGTAAGAACTAAATTAATATCAGATTCTGCCAATAAAAGGGCTCTAAAACAATTCATATTTAAATATTTTGCAAATTAATTGCAAAATCTCATTGTTCTGCTTTAGTGCTGCAACAAGGTTATATTAATAAGAAATTATTTTACCTTTTGTTTGACTACAGCATTGGTAAGCTTCCTGTGCACGATTATTAAGGATGCTTGTTTCAGCTGTGAGATTAGACGATAGGATCAATGAGAAAAATAAGTTGTCAGACACTCCATGGAAACTTTCAGAGAATCCACAAATAGAGGCTTTCAAATAGTTTTGTTACTTTTTGCAAGTTTAGAAAAAAAGCAGATGAGACAGCATGTCTGATAATTTAGTTTTTCATCTGATAATATGACAACATGTCAGTAATGTCTGAGTTTTTTTTTAAAAACACTGTATGACTAATACTCCTGGAGAGGGTATGAATTACACAGAGGCTTCTGGGGAGCCCTTTTTTTTTGGGGGGGGGGGGGTTCTGTTTTGCCTTGGCCCCCAAAATGCCTTGAAATGGCCCTGGGTGTGTGACTGAGTGTTGAAGGTGATCTGAATTGTATCAGGTGTATAAATATGACATGTGTATAACTTATTGTTTTTTACAGGTAGAAACACATAGTAGACATACATCTACCTACATTTTACTTTTCAACACTTTGTTTTGTTTTCTTGTTTTTATTTAACTATTTTCCTGTCCTGTCTGTCTCTCATCTTCCTGCATCTCCTCTAAACTCTCCAGAAAATCTGCTGCCTGGATTCTTACTTTTTCACCTCATCAGTTACTTTTGAGCAGATCAAAGGGATCTCCTGACCGCAAAGCGGAGAGCGCGTTTCGATGCTGCGTCTGTGAGGTGAAATCACCGCAGCACAGGTGATGAGCTCCGCAGTAGCAGAGCGCTTCAAGCACAAATAAGACAGAAAATAGAGAACATGCGGACATGAACGATCGTGTGTTAATTATAGTTTTTTGGTTGGGCCACTTTGAGAATGGACCGTGCGCTGGACGCAGCTGCCTGGAGCGCTGCGCACCAACGATCATCGCTCTGCCACTCTCTGCTCAAAAGAGTCCATGAATGATGTAATATAGGAAGAAAACTTTTTTCCGGCTCCCCTGGATGTGTAGGATATCCAGCTCCCCCATAATTCGATCCCTGCTCCTGGATGAAAAACCGGACATTTTCATCAAAAGACGAACCCCCCCAGACGCCCGGACAGAGAGTGAAAAGTGGGCATGTCCTGGGAAAATAGGACGTATGATCACCCTACAGTATTTTGCTCGTGCCCTTGCTGCCCTGGGCCTAGGCCCTTTAGAGTTCATGGACCCCTGGGCAATTGCCTAGTTGCCCATTTTGTTAATCCGGCCTTGCCTGCTATGTTGATTTTATTGGAGCACATCAATAAACAGCAATATCTGCTATTTAATCTATCAACACAAATATGTTTGCCCCTTCAAACTCTGGTCATTTGTTAAAGCACACTATTGTGTAGAGTAATAGTTTGAATACTTATAGAATCATTTTTTTTTCAGGTGCATCACGGGTTAAAAGGCATGGTGTATGATGAGAACAACAACCCCATCAGTAAAGCTGAGATCTCGGTGGCTGGGATCAACCATGATGTCACCAGTGGTAAGACCTGCCTCTACGTTTCCTGCTGTTTATGATTTACTCAATGAAAAAAGCTGATTAAATTTGTAGTAAATAATGATATGAATGCATTATGGTTGCAATAGAAGTGCCTTTGATCCATGCTCTCTACTGTCCCCTATTGGTGAAAATGTGTAAGTACGCTTTAAAAGGAAATTGAACACTTGAGATCAATTTGGAGACACCGGGAGACATTTACTGAAATATTAGTGCAGCTCTACTGTTCACCTAATGATAAAACAACAATAGCATGTAAATGTGTTGATCCAAGGCTCATTTCCTTATGTTTAACTTCTGATGAGCTGATGATTTTTGAAGATAAATGCACTGTTTTGCACCAGAAAGAGATCTAAAAAAGTGAAATTATAATACAAATTAATTTTATAATTTACCTCCAGGAAATGATGGTGACTATTTCAGACTCCTGCTCCCAGGCACGTACACAGTGAAAGCCTCGGCTCCAGGTTACCACCCATCCACCAGCACCGTGACGGTGGGACCAGCTGAGGCCATACAGGTTTGTCTTCTGTTGTTGTTCAGGCTGAGACAAGAGCATAAAACAGCAATTATAATGAATTAGTTTTATTTTTAACACAAAAGAAGATTTTAACTGAAGTAAAGACGCTTTTGGATCAAAACCTGAGGTGTGAGATTAATGTTTGTGTGCATGGGTAAAACCTCCAATAGGTTTTCATACATTTATTTGTAATTTGTTTCCTGGCAGCTTCACTTTTACCTGAAAAAAGCTCCTAAACAAAGCCACAAAATGAAGCCTCACCACGGCAAGAAGAACCTTTCCTCTCACAAGAATCCACTCAAACTGGGCCCAAGATGAGACATCTCTCTCTCTCTCACACACACACACACACACACATACACACACACACACACACACACACACACACACACACACACACACACACACACACACACACACACACACACACACACACACACACACACACACACACACACACACACACACACACACACACACACACACACTCTGAAGGTCTAGTAAACACACTCCTACAACTGATCCGTATAAATGATGTATGTTTATCATGTACCTCTGTAGTTTTGGGGTAATGTGTGTTAAAAACTGTTGATTATGAGTTGTGTGACTGTAATAAGGATTTTTGCCAGCCTTGTGTATTTATGTAGCAGTGTTGATATGTATGGTATGAACACAAATGACCTATATGTGTACAAAGACCTTCTCGTTTGTTTTGATTTCAACAATTTGATGAGAAATGTAAAAGGAATTAAAAGGACATTTTTACAATTTTTACTATTCGTTTTTCCTTTCTTTTCATGTATTTTAGGAACTCAAGATGACAAAGTTTTACTAATCAGTCAATCAATCAATCAAGTTTATTCAGAGTGCTTTACACAGTCAAAGAGGCAACCAAAGTGCTTCACAGTAAGAAATAAAATCACTAAAATCAAATTACCAAAATAGCAATAATATACCTATATAAACAGAATAAAACAAAAGACCTCAATAAGAGCATAAATCAAAAGTGTGGGGACCCCTAGAGATAAACCCGATGGCAAAGAAACGTCTTGTTTTAAAGAGTGACTGGTCTGTGGTGTTATGTAAGTCAGGAGGTAGTTTGTTCCACAGCTTTGGGGCTGCTACAGCAAAAGAGCGATTCTCCCGCTGTTTGAATCTTGACTTGGGTACATCCAGGAACAGCTTGTTATTCTACTGTGTGTACATAATGATAAAATGTCAAAGATGTGGGAGGGAACAGTGCCGTGAAAGTACATGGATGTTTTATCCAAGGTAACGGCAGTCGAGGAATGGTTTGACCCGAGCTCATAGTCTTATTTGGAAGAAGTCGGCTTTGACGATCTGTTTATCAAACTTCCTTCCACTGTCAAAGATGGCACCTGTTCCTCACCTGCTGTCTGAAATTAGTGGCAAGAACTAAAGTTTCACAGGGGGTGCTTGGCAGATTAGCAGTAGGAAACAAAATACACCCAGCCTTTTTGTTCTTAATGAGACATATAATAAAACAGACAGGCAGATTGGGGCAGCGTCTACAGTGATGCGGACACAGAACCCGTCTGTTGTGGCGAAGAAGGAGTTGAGCCAGAAAGCAAGGCTCTCGATTTACCAGTCGATCTACCGCCCAGTCCTCACCTATTGTCATGAGCTTAGGGTAATGACTGAAAGAGCAAGATCGCAGATACAAGCGGCCAAAATGAATTTACTCCGTGGAGTGGCTGGGCTCAGCCTTAGGGATAGGGTGAGGAGCCTGGACCTGTATGTTTTACTAACGAAAACACACATCTTACCGTCACGTTTCGAGAGAATGACATTCAGCTGCTGTTGGAGACAAATAAATATGGCACTTTTCTGTATTCTGTTTATTTCCTTAAGTCTCAGCCTGGCTGGTCACCACTGGAGAGGAGTATCTTCCCAGACTCACACTAAACATTTTACCTCAGGGCCTCCTGATCTAACAGAAAAACCTGTAGCTCCATCCTCACTCTGCTCTCCACATTTCTCATCATCTCTGGAAGCCACCTCCCACAACACTGTGATGTTACATATAATTTGTTTTTCAGGCTAAATGAAACCAAGTCATCTGCCATCAGACTGATTGTTGCAGCTACAAATGACTAACATGAAGCCTTGCAGGTCTGGTAAAGGTCAGTTGTTTTTAATCATCATGTAATCTTCATTACAGCCTTTGAGTTTTAACATCATCTATGTTTTTGTTTCATAGCTTATTGCTACACCTCACTGTTAAAAGCTTGTTTTCAATTCAAGCGCGTTTAAATATTTATGGGCATGAACAAAAACAGGAAATATATCAATTGAGATTTAATTAATATAACAACTAACTGTTTAGAGCAGGAAGGAGCCATTCAAAGGCACATTCTTCTGGGAGTTCCTGATCCTGACGACACTACCAGAGGAGACCCAGCTGCTGACACCAGAGGATCACCTACGACCAAGAGAACAGCTGGTAGCAGTAAATAATAAAATCAGGGCAGTTTTAGTGGGATGTTTGATTGTAACATAAATTAACACATTACAGAATTTTCTCATGGGGTATTTTTATAACTTTCTCTACAGCAGACAGTAACTTTAGCCCAGGGTAGGTGGCCGTGTCCTAGAAAGCTGCTATCCAGCACGGTTCAGTGGTTTTCCTGCTTTAACAGGTTAGATTAGCTGTTAAGCAGCTCAGCTACTTGCTGCTGATTAAAATCAGGTGTGTTGAAGCAGATAAACCTCTAAATCATGCTGGATAATAGCTCTCTAAGGCCGTGGGGCCGAACCATCAACATACATATATGGACAATGGGTTTCCATAGGCTCCAATAACACGTTTTGGAAGAGAAATGGGAGGTGGCTACTGTGTCAGGTTCCGTCAAGCCCAGACAATTCCACAGAAGGGAAGAGAGGTGGAGCTGAGGGTGGGGCTGTAAGGCTGGGATCAACTGACGACACCCGGTCGAACTAGCTACAAGCTAACCTGAAGCTAATGCGGAGGTGGGAGCTAAGCTAAAGGAGGTAGCAACCTAGCTACAACCGGAATTAACTGTGCACAGCACCAGAGCTTCTGAGTCAGAGATACGCCGGGCTGACCGCTGGGTAAAACCGGGTGGAACACAGAGGTCTCCCGAGAGCTCCACAAGCCGGCAGCCGCACAGCAGACAAGCGCCGCTGTGATCTGAGATGCGCAGAGCTGCCGCTGGGGAGAACTGGGTGGAAAGGTTTCAATCCCAGAGCTCCACAAGCCGGCAGCCCGCACAGCAGACAGAAGCCGCGATCAGACAGAGATGCGCCGAGCTGCGGGGAGGGGAGAAACGGGTGGAAAACATCGGTCTCCCGAGAGCTCCACAAGCCGACAGTCGGAACCCAGCTCCACCAACATGTTATATTTAACCCATTTTCTAAAGTGCAGCATTATGTTAAATGCACTGGGTTTTACCCTATTACATTTAAGTTTCATGGTTAAACAGTACATGTTAAAATCTAAGCTCAGCTCGGCAGTGACCTAAAATACATAAATATAATTTTACTTATCGAAAAAAATGGAGTGTAGACTCCTTGGATGCTCTATTAGTGTAATTAATGCCACAGCAAGTCATTTTGTCCAACAATTGCACAAAAAATATCCAAAAAAGAATACACAAACGCTACAAGTAATGGTCTAAGTTGAGAGACTGAAAATGACCGAACAGTTTTAAGGTGAGGCCGAGGCTCAGACTGAGGCCTTTCTCCGGAGCTAGTTCTGTGGTCATGTGGGTCTGATGCTCATTAATTATACAGAATTTTAGGCTTTTAATACACTTAAACAGAAGAGTGAGAAAAAAATTCACCCCCCTCAGAGTTGTCATGATTCATGACACTAGATAATTTAAACAAAAAACATGTTTTGGTACCAGGCTGTAAACATGTTTATTTCTGCTGTGAAACTGGTATTTTTAACATGGGAGTCAATGAGGATTTGCTCGCTTCTGATGCCAGCCCCCAACGGATGAGGGTGGAACTGCAATTTATTTCATTTCTGCGTTTGCTTCAATTTTTGACCCGCATTGTGGGGGCTTTGGCCGAACCCTGCAGCTAATCTAATGCTATGCCTAACGGCTACCTGCCATTCAGAGCTGGTTCTGTTGGGTCAGCTCCAGTAGTTTCAGGAAACTCAAAAGCTCAAAACAATAAGCCTCAGGCCTGCTTGGTCCCGTTCTTCTCGAGTGTCTGGGTAAGGATGGGGAGAAACTTCCTCCACTTCTAATGACTGCTCAGAGTGAAAAAAGCTAGCTTTGTCTCGTTACCCATCCGTCTTTGTCACTGCTGCGGCTCCGCCCTCTCAGTCCACCAGGCAACGCCTACTAATGTTGCATTTTTCAAAATTGATATGTGGTTGAAAAAGGACTCTGACCCCGGCTTTCCACAGGAGCCGTCAGCAGCACGTTACTGCAGCAGCACGTTATAGCTGCTGATAGGAACCGCTGTGGTCAACAGAACCTTTTCCACTGGAGCCGTCAGCAGCCGTCAGCAGCGTGAGTCGTCCGCGTCTCAGGAGCAGCATGTCGCGGCCTTTACGCGCCGGTTCTATTTTCTACGCGCGACGCCTCTGAAACGGGTCAAGTTCGACATTTTTGGGGAAGGAAAGACAGGAAATCGGACGAGGAAATGGAGAGAAGCTCCCGAGATTTTCAGAATAAAGAACGTACTGCCTTCCGGTTGCTTTACTTTAAAAAACAGTTACTAAATGTGCGGCCCCGTGAGAAGTTATCACCTAACTAGCGGTCTCCTTTGTTTTTCAGGTCCGTATTGGCGATTATAAAACGGACAGAACATAAAACACAAACCATGTTGTAGTTTTCCCCTGCTTGTTGTTGTGTTTACTGACGAAGTCACTCGTGTGACTTCGTGCTCTATCGGTGACAGCTGCTCCCCTGCTGCTTCGCGTCTCGTGGGAAGGGCCAAGCAGCAGCTTACGCGAGCAAGACGTGCTGCTGCAGTAACGTGCTGCTGACGGCTCCCGTGGAAACCCGGGGTGAGGCAGGCTTGACCAGCCCTTTAAAAATTTTCAAACAGAAGTAGGCCTGTCATTAAACAATGTTGGATTTGGACCCTGGTCTTTATTTGAGCTTGCAAACAGTCAACGTTGCATGGTTGAGCAGATCATGTCTATTTTGCAGAGATGGGAATTGTGGCTTCAATAAGTCATCTCCATGTCATGTTTTTGTTCTGTTCAGCAACTGAACCAGGTTCATTCACTGTGCTGATTGAAATCACCTGGTTTTTTGGCTGAACCGAACGAAAAGCCGACATGGAGATGACTTGTTGCCACAATTCCCCATCTCTATTTTGGGTCCAGACCACATGTGACCTGTTACATATTACCTTCTTCAGGAAGGGGAAACCAGGGAGACAAGAAGGAACTTGTGTAAAGAAAAACAAATGTATTAAAACATTAGAAGATAAAAACCAAGGACTGAAAATCCTAACAGCAATACAATCAACACAGCCCATGAAACTCAAGAGAGTCCAATGTTAGTACAGAATAAAGCAAGAGGCTAAGGCTCTGATCTTTTAACTGGCACCAACAAAAGAAAACCTATCAGACCTAAGTGTCCAACAGGATGGTACAAAAGAAAGAAAGATGTGGGATGGATTAACTAAAAGACTCAGGGTTATTTCCAAAACCTAAAGAAGCTTTCACCTTCCACAAAAGACTCTCAAACTCAAACAGTGGCCACTGTTGTCCTTTCACTATGAGTAATTACTAAACCCAATAAGAGACTTATTAAAAGCTAAGG